ATTTGCGGGAGAGGACCCCATGCATCCCCCTTCTTTTTGGTGCTGTGTGGCAGGGGGGGGGGGGGGGGGGGGGGGGGGGGGGGACACACTGCGGAATCTGGTTGAAATGAAATCAAGGAAGTTCACTCTTCGGGCGGGAAAACAAGGGGTTTGGATCACGGTGAGAACCGGGGGCTGAAAGGGTAGAGCACATGACCGCCAAGCCTCGGGCGCTACGGGTCCGGAATCTGCCCAAGTGAGAGATTAGAGTGGAACGGAGCTTCCCCCCACTGTTTTGTGTTGCGGTCCAGGAAACCTTGAAACAAACCTTAGAACCTTAAACCCTTGGAAGAAACCACGAAGCACGGGGTATGTGAGATGTAAATTAACACCATACTTGCCTATATCAATATCTCACATACCAGAAAGAGCTTGGAAACGGAGAGAGTTATCCTCTGAGTCCCCAAAAACTTTTGTATTGCATTAGAACTGTATCAATGGCTCTGTATTATATTACCCCTGACTATTCCGCGATACAAGAGTACATAAGAGATTATCAGAGAAACAAGAGGCGAAAATGTAACATCAAATTCATCATTCAATTCAGAGACGGAGAGAAAGAAGAGAGAGAAGAGCAAGCAAACTATTCTAGCTACCTGACTAGGAGCGCTGCAAACAGAGCAAACATCGAGGCTTCAACAGAAATCGTTCTCACTTTTAGAAGCCTTTACATAACTAAGCTCTTTTACATAAAGAACGCAATAATAAATTTCAGGAATACGGTCTAGAAGACGAGTATAGTGCACAATAGACAGTATGGATTGCGTAAAGAAAGAGAATGTCATGGTTCGCACACATGTCATGTGGGTTGCATGGTTTGCTCGCCCTTCCTTCTTTCTTGCTTCTCTAGCTTTAATGTCTTCGTCTTCAGACCTTCTCATATGACCATTTATCATCAGAAGCCTTGCCATCTGATAGAGAAGAGAAGAAGAGAGAGAGAGAGAGAGAGAGAGAGAGAGAGAGAGAGAGAGAGAGAGAGAGCTAAACTAGAGAGCTACAATACTTGACAGTGGCCACGTGACCCACTCTCTAACAAAAAAAAAAAAAAACATACACCAGTGAGGATTCGCTGGTGGTCATCTACCCAACTACTAACTCACCGGTGTGTGGCTTGAGTACAGCTAAATGGACGAGATGCCTTGTTCTCTACATCCTGTGGTCGTATAGGAAGAAAGGAAATCTTGCGTGAGATGTTTAATTTCATCTACCTATCTACTCTGAGCTCTGCTAGGGTCTGTTAAGTCAACTGTCAGTGAACAACTTCAGTGTCGAACACCTTTTTCGTAGCCAAGGTCAATGTGGGTGTCGCTGAGGTGAGCCACTTGAATAGGCTTCCGACCACTCGGCCGAGGACTAGAGGTTTTAGGCTTCAGCTTAGAGAATTTCAAATCGTGTGCCATCGGTTTAGGATCGAACACATGGAATAGCCTAGTGCAAAATGTTTCCCCTCCGTGGGAATTCAGATCGATGCTCCTTAGCGCGTAGAAGGTGCTGGGTGTGTCTCGTGCGATGACTCCCTTGCACAACTCTTCCGGGATTTTTTACACTTAACTAGCCATGAAACCTGTTCTTCACGCCCTGTAGTCGTATGTACTGGGAACCCACGAAGAAAAAAATGTATAGGTTAAAGTTTCAATTTACCTGTTAACGTCGCTTTTCTGCATTCGCGCTCACTCTTCAACGTGGAATTTGGACTATCATTTGGAGTTTATTTTCTACCATTAGGCAATCGACTGGGCATATACCTGCCAGACGAGTAGGAGCATTTCAATTTTGAGAGACACGCAGCGAAATAGCCCAGGGGGGTGAAAGTGTAGAATTGATTGTAGAATTAAACTTTTTACAATGTAGTCTCATCGTTGCGATCACGAGCAAGTTGGAGGGTCCCACATCGCTTGTTTCATCATGGATTTTAGTCTATCACCATCAATCCGATTGACGTATTTCACCTTGCGCACCCCAGATGGTTTCAGTGCCTCTTGATATAGGCGGAGACTCCCATAATTTGGACTTGCGTATGAAATATCCACATCGGCATAGACTGCACATAGGTCAGCTCAGGTCTCGTTGGATGACATATTTGATCGGAATCGGCTGAATACTGACCATCGGATGTATCCAGAGCAATTGAGCGGTCAACCATCAGGGCTGCGGCGGTCTCATCCCAGAAAGGGAATTTTGTTCCGTAGTGATCATGGAAAAGCCTGGTAAAGGGGGATTTGACCCGGTATACCTCATCCAAATATTCCTGACTGGAATGCACTTGATTGGCTACATTGCCAGCAATGATGATTTCAGGAAAGTCAGCAGTCACTGCGATTTTGGCTGCCTCGGGGTCAGCCATGAGGTTGATCTATAGGTATAATTGTCAGCCATCTTCAGCGGGTAGCTTTCAAGGTTGATATCGAGCACGTACATCGGAGTTTATATTTGCCTGGGTCATATCGCCAGTAGCTTGAAGCATATTCACATCAACATAGCCCCCCATGAAAACAAGCTCTTTAGCCAAAGTAGCGAAGGAAGGATCCATCCGCACAGCCAGTGCAACGTTGGTCAAAGCCCCCGCGGCATAAATAGAAACTTGATGCGGATATTTATGTACCATCTGAACCATAAAACTCGCTGCATTTGTTGAATTGTTGAATGTGGCATTTGGCAGTCCTTCCACGAACGCTTCCTCGACAATTCGGTCGGGATCGCCTGAAGCCGGATTTTTCCCTTGTTGTTCTGCAGTTATATTCCGAGGACCAAATGCTCCCGGGAATGGAACTTTTCCATGCACCGACTCCCATGCTTGGAACCGGTCGGGCGTGTTTAGGAGAGGCCATGTCGCCCCTTGGTACACGGGGATACAGTTCAAATTACCAACCTCGAGATTCGCCAGAGCATGCAAGCCGCACTGCTTCTGCCACGAATTGCCAGTATCTGTGCAAATATTAGCACCCATGAGCATAAATTGACATTGTCAGCGTGTCTACCTGAAGCTAGGCCAAGCACTTCCATGCCCCCTTTCATGGCAAGTAGAAAGGGCAAGAATCCGACCGCAAGCCAGTCGTTGTCGAGGATGGCATATCGTTTCTCGGATTGCAAATCACTCTGACTGTGTACTTCAAGTGCGGTGGTGATTGTTAGCAAAAGCAAAAGCCTCCCGTAAAGCGCCATAATTGCGAGTGACGTTATGTTGCAGGTGCAGGAATCTAAAACAGAATATATAACACAAAAGTGCCGAGGTTTTCCATTCTGATAGGTCTCAAATTCTAAAGTTTCCAAGGTTGGGAAATTGATTTTGCTTGGCTCAAGATTATGTAAATCCGTCCTGGACCAGAGAATCACGGCAATGGTCGCAAATCTTGCCCCTTGACAGTAAGTCTCAGTTACATACGAGTACAAGTAGTATAAAGACCCACTGCTATGATGCATTTACAAATTTCAAGCCCAAGGAATGAAGATCTGCAGATCATTGATCGCCAAGTGACGATCTTTCTTAAACTAGTACTCCTGAAGTCCGTAGGGGCCCAGGGCAGGCTCCGGAAAACTTTTCTCGGTTCGCTTGGTCGAGAGAGGAATCGACTTTCCACAGTGTGAACATGGATACCTCGGTTTATTATGGTTCGGTGCTTCTAAAGTTTGAAATTGTTACGAAACGGTCTAACTCTGCATGGGGGGACCCAGGTAACCACGAGATCTGGCTAAGCGCTGGCAACATGGTACATACTCGGCAAGGTCTTGAAGGGATGCACTCACCCGATGATCCAATAATCCCACGATCAGAAGAACCACTCACTCGGGAAAAGAAAAGGGGATTGGGTGAAGAGCCCTACGTACAGTGGAGTCAATTATTTCATAAAATTGAAAGCCCAAAACAATTACCTCGGTGACGTGATCTATTGGATTCGCGATTTTCCTTCTGTCAACGCAAGCCGACTTACAGTTTTAATATATGGAATAGCCCAAGTCTCTATTCCAAGGAGCAGTGGAGTAGCAAGGAAATATATTGCAGCCCACTATGCTTTCCAGCCTTATTTCTCGCCTTCGCCGAGAGCGCACCCAAAATCGACTTGCTTCGGATGGTCCAAGGGAAGAAAGTCTGGAGCTAGACAGTCACCCACTGTTGGAGTCAGACACTGAGGATAAACCTCGAAGCGATCAGAATGAAGCAGGATACGCGGAAAGCAAGTCAAGCATTCCACCTCCCAGACCCGTGGGCGCCAGCTGGGCCAGCCTCCCGAACAAGACTCAAGTGATCTTGTTGTTACTGGTGAAATTTTCAGAACTCGCCTATCGATCTTCGACACGGACATATCTTTATTCTCAGCTAAAATGGTTCGATCCCTCGTTACCCGATTCTGTGGTGTCCACGCAAGCTGGCACCATCCAAGGATTCTCGACAGCCGTCCGAGTGGGCAGTGCAATTATTGTCGGTCGCTTAGCGGATAAAGCAAGCATCGGAAGAAAAAATATGCTTCTCTTGGGTTTGTTCGGCTATGCAGTCTCGTCTATTGGATTGGCCTTTTCAAGGTCATTCTTCACTGCCGCGATGTTTCAAGCCGCAGGGGGCCTACTTGATGGAAATGCTGGATTAGTTCGCACCGTTCTGGCGGAGACGGTGAAAGAAAAACAGTAGGTATCTTCGTTTCCCATTAGCTGGAACTAGTCCTTTTTAAAATTGTTTACCTTGCTGATGTCGAAAGGTATCAAACCCGGACCTTTACGCTGCTTGCCGTATTCGCCAACATGGGGGGAGCAATCGGGCCCATTATCGGTGGAGTCCTAGCTGATCCTGTCAACAGCTATCCCACGGTCTTTGGGCCCGGTCCTCGTGGATGGATGACTAAATGGCCCTACGCTCTCCCTAGCCTTGCGAGTGCCTTGCTGTGTTTGCTTGTCGTCGTCATGTTATCTTTAGGTCTTGATGAGGTACGTATGGCACAGAGTGACCAGGCCCAAACAGATCCTGGGTCATGGCAATCTATAACATAAATATGTGTACTAATCTGTCTCAGACGAGTGAGGCAGCTCGCCACCGAACCGATCTGGGCCGGCGAGCAGGGATACTAATCGCCTACGGCTTGTGCTCGCCTCGGACGCGCTACTCATACCGACCTTTGGGTGAGAATGAAATGATTGATAGAGGCCAAGACGATGTGGCGAGAAGTGAAGTAGGCCTCAATGACGCTTCAGCGAGTTCTCGCTCCTCTACCTCCCACGAATCGTCGGGCATCCGCTTCTTGCTGGTGCCGACCGTGTTGACACTGATCTCGCGGTTCTTGTTCAACCTCCATGACGTGACATACAATACTCTCTCCCTAGTCTTTTTCCCTGCTCCGCGTGCTTCCCTGTTGAATGATCAGGGAATCCATTTTGGGGGAGGGCTAGGGTTGACAACCTCGCAGGTCGGAATAGCCATGTCCATCTCGGGGTTTATCACTATTCCCCTTTCTCTCCTCGTCTACCCCAACATCTCAAACCGATTGGGGATTCTGCGCTCCTACCTCATCTTTTTGCCAATTGCTCTGCTCCTTTACGCAGTGACACCATTTCTGGTGTTCGTCCCAGACCGAGATCTCCCGCTGTGGCTTTCGATCGGGGGACTTATGTGTCTCAAGGCAATTTCACGTACATTCACTTGTCCGGCATCATCTATTATCTTGAATAACTGCGTTCTAGACCCGAGTGTCAGAGGGACGGTGAATGGAGTGGGATCAAGTATCACCAATGCCGCTACAAGCATCGGCCCAGCAGTCGGAGGATGGGTCCTGGGTCTTGGATTCAAATACAACTTGGTGGGTGCAGCGTGGTGGGGACTGGTAGTAGTGGGATTGGTACAGTGGTTTATTCTATGGCATTTAAGACATAAGTAGCATAGCCATATAATTATAAGAGGGCTCAATCGAGTGGGTTTCGTGTAAGTCATTAGGCTATATTTGACAAATGAGTACTCTGGGCTGTTATAAAACCAATAAGATAGGTCTGTTTTCACAGGCTGGGCCCAATAGGGTCATATGTGGCAATGTGACAGATCCACCCACCTTACAGCTGCAATCCACCCACAGATCGCTTTCTTTCTTCAAGCTTTATATAAACAGATTATGGTACTGCTTAATTAAACAAGTTTCACTGTAGCCCTTCATATATATAAAGCTTCCTCTCTGAAGAGTAATTCATTAGAACCAATAGAATCATCAGGACTTTTTCTAAGTTATCTCTTTATTAGATTTAATAGGACTGTTAGTAATTAAATTATCAGATATAACACACTACCAAATCATCATTTAATTACTGCTATAATAATATTGGAGTAGAATGGGTCTTCTCTAAAATCAGTTAAGAGTCGTGACCCTATTGGGCACAGCCCGTGACAACTTCAAGGTTCAAACTCACAGAGTCCAATTTAAAGCTGTATTATCATATTTTTTTCTCGGTAGACATTGCTTATATATAGGATCAATGAGACTAGACAAAGCGAAGAAAGGGCCCTACAGCTGGAATTTATCTCTCGTCGTAGTGACCTGAACAATTCTTGGACGGCAGAGAAACACGTTGAAAAGCTGTTTGCCTACGCGTCTGCCGCATTGAAAACGAGGCCAACAAGCGAACACGGCAATCACGAGTTCTACATCTCGTCCTGAAGTCTCAGTGACGATTGCTCTCGCTGGAAATTTTGAAGGCTGCTTATTTGAATGGTGCATCGAATTCATGATCACGATAACTGACAAGTGAACTGAGAGACAGAGAACAATCTTGCCAATCTGCTTGCCCTGCCAGATGTACTCAACCGCTTCCTCGGCTTCCTGAAAGGCAAAGGTCCGATCGATCAAGTCTTTCAGAGGCGTTCGAGCGGCAGTCAAAGCGGCACAAAGATCCTCCATGTCGCGTCTCGAGCCGGCATTGATACCTCGGAGGTTGATCCTGCGGTCAATGATAGTTGGAATGAGTTCGCGAAGATAACTCGGATCTTGACCCGACAGATATCCGACTTGGCTGACGACACCGCTGCGTCTAGTACACTTAAGGCTCTTGACCAGAGAGCTGGCGCCTCCGTTTTCCACGACTATATCCACACCAACTCCTCCGGTGAGCTTCATGACCTCAATATCCCAGTCTGGAATCTTGGAATAATTGACTGTCAATATCGATGGGTACATTTCTCTCATCTGCTGAAGTTTCGCGTCGCTGGAAGAGGTGAGGATCATGCGAAGACCGGCCGCACTTGCGAGTTTGAGAGCAAAAACGCTCACACCCCCAGTGCCTGTTCTGTCTTAGCGATCTCCCACTGGTGAAGATGCTCGCCCCGAAGCTCCATTCGGGGGTCAATAACACATACCTTGAATCAACACGGTCTGTCCGATACTCATACCCTTCAGCGCCGACCAAGCAGTCACCCCAGCGCATGGAATCACAGAAGCCTCCTCCCAGTCAAGATAGTCGGGCAGATTACACAGCACAGCTTCGTCAAAGACAAGATGATCCGCCATGACTCCATCTTCATCAGCCGCTAACCAAGACCGCTTTGTCTCGCGCCCTGAGATGTTTTCCGTATCGGTGATAGGGCCAACCCTATTCCCGACCGCCAACGCCGCCACCTTCTCACCAACTGCGATCACCTCACCCGCTGCGTCGTTGCACAAGATTCCATTTGGGATCACCGGCCACGGGTTTCCCCCATTCGCGATATTGGCGTCGCGATAGTTCAGGGCGACAGCGTGGACTTTGATCAAAACTTGTGTCGGACCAAGTTGGGGAAGTGCTTCTTGCAGGAGTTTCAACTTGGGCGTGCCAGGGGTAAAATCATCTGTCCGCCGAAAGGCACGGCGTTGAGTTATTGCTGTGGATGACAAGGTATACTTTGCGCCTCGACTCGTCGCCAGAATTGGGGGTGTAAGTAACAGCTCCTGTTGGATGCGGTCAACCGCGACTTATTATGACACCTTCGAGGAATATTTCAGGGTGCTTTATAGTACACTCGTCATTTTCGATCGGAATGATCGGCATGGATCCCGACAGCCCCGCGTTTCGCGCGACCAGCCGTTTCAGGAGACCTAACCCGCCCATTTGCTTCCTTATATATCGGTTCTCTCTATGATTTGGATCACCACAGGATACTTTCAATCAGCATACCCAGAAAGGCAGTCCAGACCGACTGCTCCACACGAGGTTCTTTGCCACGACGTGGCCTCGACTTTGAGTCTTTTGGTACTTTCGGGTCAATGCCGACATGCGCCCTCGGGAGAAGCCGAGACGTTCGATGCCTGGACACCCGGATTTATTTCTGGTCGGGCTGGTTCAGCTGGATTAGTTCCATTTCTCGAATATAGCCAGCGTGTACTGGAATTGGAAGCTGCATTTTCCGGAGTGTTTTTGGAGGGTAGGACTGTCGCAGAGTACACGTCTAACTGGTGAGGACGGTGTATAATGAGGCCAAAACCAGTCAGATTTAGGCATCTGACTTGGCCGCTCGGTGCGTTCTCGATCATCGGCAATTTACTAGCAAAAAGCTTTGCATATATCGGTCTTAGGGCAATAAAGTGCGGCCCCTTCCATAACAAGCCGGTTCCATAACTCAGTTGGTTAGAGTGTGGTGCTATTAACGCCAAAGTCGAGGGGTTTTTTTGTTCTTTTGTTGTTGTGTTTTGTTTTTTTGTTCCTTCAACTCCCCAGAAGGCGCGGGAAGGAGATTTTCATGCGGGGCGCCAAGGAAAGCGGAACACGGCTGAGTGGCTTCAGCGTCGGCAGGTTTCTCATGCGGCTTTGATTGTCTTGGCTTACCCTCTCAGCTCCAGCTTTCTCTCCGACCACGCCATGGGAACAATCCTCGGGGATGACCGGACATTGTTACGGAGCTCGGAGCTCCCTGCTTAGATTTTGTGGATTTGAGCCACTCCCATCACAATACCACATTGATTCTCGTATCGACATCAGGTCCCCTTGGCATCGTGGGACTCGAAGGCCGTGCGCCGGAGAATCAGCAGGCACACCCGGTTCCTGAAGTGCCACTAAAACAGTCTGGTGCGACATTCGCAGGGAGCATCTGCACGACTGATGCAGCTTACTTGAAACCAAGCGAATGGCGACCCCTTCCTCGTATAGCTGCTCTGCTAGCGGGCGAGAGCCGAGCGGGGGCATCTTGCCCTGCAGGAAAGGGTCCATCTCGGATATAAATTTCGAGTAACAGCCTCGATCTCATCACGCCTTCATGCTTGTTGCTTGACTGTTCATCAGAGAGTTTCATTTAGTGTGAAATATGCTGTCTGGATTTGCCCTTCTCTTCTTGGTGGGCGCATCTGCCAAACCAGGTATGATCTCCTTCAAAGGTTTCCTAATGCATATCTAAACCAGGCTGCGCAGTATTTCCAAGACAGGATGCTAGTGCAACACCGACCAAGACAGTCCAGCCTGGTGGGTCTGATCAATGCACCAGCTCGACCAGCAGTCAGTGGTTGAGCATCTGCGCCACCACCATCTTCTGGCCAACGTCGACCAACTACTTCTACGGCCCAACTGATGGCCCTGAGGCATCTGCCGTCTCCTGCAATGCCGAATGGGTAGAATACAATGAGCGGGCCACTGGCCTGGAGTCTCTCGGTGCAACATCTACTTCGACATTCTATTCATCTTATGTCACCAGCAGTGGAGCATGCACCACTGTAATCCGAGGTGAAAATGCTCTTGACACACACACTGGTCCAGTTACTACGCTTTGCGACGGTGTCCCTCGTGCCTTAGGCTCTCGTGAGTCTGTCACCAACTACCAGCCAGGCACCGGTCCCTGTAGCACCTTCACGGTCACAGAGACCAGCACTACCGAGGTGTTCCGGTCACCAACACCAACACCTGAGTGCTCGCTCAACACCCAGGATTGCATTCCAATCTGGCAGACCTATACCAGCCTCTCAAGTGCTTACATTGCTTCCGTCACGACCCAAGTACCCGGAGATACCAAGAGTCCTATCCGACCAAGAAGCTGCCCAACAACAACGCGAGACTACAGTGATCCAAATGTGTGCAACAACTGCCACTACCTCCCGGGTACAGCAACATTCTTCTACTGGCCCGTCGCGACAAGTGGTGGAGACCTCTGTTCTCGAGACGGAACCACCATTCCCGCAACACAGACAGGAGATGGACCCAACACGGCCGTCGTTGACGGTAACACATTCATCTCACCCAGCGTTTATGTCTCATTCACCAGCATCTATGCCCGAAGCAATCAGCGCGCGCACCCAGGTGGCCCCTGCGGTGGTGAACATGAGAACGTGATCATCTCCGTCGATCCAGAAGCTGTGACATCCTACCGAGACCATAGGAATGCGAAATACCCCAGGATCGGAACCGCATACCCGTTCGATTTCTCTGAGTTCCAGAAGCATGAGGTCGGCAATTATAGCATGCCTCTCATCCCTTGGGATCAATATGCTGGTGGATCTCAATGTGTGCTCGGGGGTGGTGGTTGCAGTATGGTTCGTGATGACTACCCCCCTTGGCTTGAAGTGCCAGATGTGATGACACAGGTTGATCCCCTGTGGACTAACTGTCACCGATCTTGGTACATGCCTCCTGTCAGTATGGTACCTTTGGTAGGTGGGCTTGAGTCTCGACCAACGGCTACAGCGGAGGCGAGCAGTCCTCCAGCCACTCCGGCGATCCCTTCGTCTGGGCTTTCTGCACCAACACCGGAGGCCACTTAATGTGTTGTCATCGCCGTGGCACCGAGATATGGCGCAAGACATCAGGATAGTATAATGAATTATATGTAGGGCTCTTTTCTACCCGAACTACACTCTGGTGCTTGATTCCTCTACTTCTCTCCAAATCTGTTGTAATCATGCCATACAACAAGCCCAGGTTGAAAGGAACAGTGTCATGACCCACAGAAAATGCTCATCATCATTCATTTCTCGCTAATGATTGAGTACTCCGTCCCATAAAACAATTAGTAAGCATGGAGAGGCTTTCTTCCATGGACCGCGACCCTGCTGATAGTTAGTACAATCACTCAGCCATCAAGGGGGGTATGAACTGTACGTTTGAACATAAGCATGCAACTTCTTATCCCTCAACTCCTGCTTAACAACAGCATTATGAATCTTCGCCACATCCGAGCTCCAGCCCAGGACCTGCGTATACAGACGCAGCGAATAGGAATCAATAGCCTGCTGCAACTGCACAGCCTGGTACTTGCCCAGAGCCTTGAGATGAGGATCACGCGGCCAAGGCGAGAAGGGCAGCGCATAAACAGACAGCGTAACATCTTCGAACCCAGCCTCGATCATCCAGTTCTTTAATTTGTGATAAACGTTAAGTTCTCGACCGCTCTTCTCGCCCGCAAAATTGACAGCCTGCTGCCATTCCATTAGGGCGGAGTTCTCTTTCAGGGAGTTGTCGTCGCTCCGTGCCCACACAGCACTCTCGTGTGTTTCGAAGTAACCGCCTGGCTTGACGTGGTTGAAGATTCGGCGGAAGAATTGGGGCCAGTCGGCGACGCATCTGCTTGCTGTTAGTGTCTCTTTCTTTGTGATGGTTGACGGAACTTACCCTGCCAGGCATCGAGCGTGGATGAAGTCAAAGTGGTTTCTCTTATACTGCCATTCACTTTCGAAGTCTTCCACGACGAACTCGATGTTTGGGGCCACCCAGCTGGGCTGGATAGGGCTGATATCATTTCCAATCACGTGCGCGCTGGGAAACTTTCTTTTCGGGGTTAGTGTCCAGGTGTTGCAGGTCACGAAAAGATGAGTGCACATACTCAGCGATGTCCATGGCCCAGATGCCTGTTCCAGTTCCCAGGTCCAGGATGTTCTGTGGTGATTCTCCGATGGGGGCGTTGTAAAGCTCTCCTTTCAACATCATCAGCCATCTGTAGGTTGATTAGCTACACTGATTCAACATTTAGGAAGATCTTGCTTCACGGACATATGGTGTGTCTGAAAGAGGTCAGTATTGGAATATTCAGTTCTGAGGAAGGTGCCCTTACCAGATCCATTCGATCCTGCTCCTCTTCATCATTTGGCATCCTGATTTGGTCAGCTTTTCCAGCCAGACAACCTCCACAGAAGGGCTGAAAATACATGTATGTTCCCTACATTGTACATGTCAATTTACGATCGGGGCTTAGCCAGAGTCTTTCAGTCACAACTTACAGATCGGGTACTGCAATAACGTCGACCATTTTCATATTCGAAATCGAGGACACTTTCCGACAGGGATGTGAGATCGGACATGTCATCTTCGAATTCACTGTTGGTGTCCTGGAAGAGATTAAACACCGAACACCACGGGCGCCGTCACATCTACATACATCTGTAAAATCATCGACAGCAATCGCAGGCGTGTTGACAGGGGTGTCTGAGTCGTCCTCCGGAGCCGAAGGCAAAACCGGGGTTGACGGGGCCGAATTCATTTGGGAAAGCATAGTGAAGCACAAAAACCGCACGGAAAAATTTCTGGGGATGGAAGAAATAAAAACTATGTCAAACAGTCTCGCTTGGCAACTCGACACGGGTCTCTAGGAGGGGTTTGGGTTCGTATCCAAACTGTCGGGTTCGAAGGAGATTGGGAGTTTCTGATCTATCCAGCATAGTGCGCTGTTTTGGTCGCTTTGTCCGTCGCAAAACACCAGATCACTGATATTGACCGAGCATAAGCCGAAAATGGTTTCCAAGGCTCCTCACTCTCATCCCAATGCTTGAATATGTTCAATCGTCGACCTTGCTAGCATACCTCCTTTGGTCGAAGTGCAGAAGTTGGTCTAGGCTCAAAAGTACTCGGGCCGAATTTAGTCCGGCTTTTCTACCCCTTTTCACCGCCTCGTGTTCCCGGGGCTGTGGTCGACTTCGTTAGGTCTTACTTTAGCGACTAAATGCGAGATATTATTTGCGACCCGTTTCAAGATGGGCTCATGTTGTGGAGATTATTGGAGGGATTCACATCCCGAGATCGCCGAGGCACGAGTACTTGGAGGGGCAGTAATACTTGGTCAGTCGTTGTTCTGTGTCAACAACTTTAGAAACGGGTGACTTTCAGGGACTCCGTAGAGGAGTCAGGTTTAAAAACTTAAATGCAGAGTTCCAAACCAAACCCTATGTTACTTAAGTACTTAAGTATTTCATACATGTACTTAGCAGGGATAGTGGAGGGGACGGGCCGAGACCGCCACCAAAATGACCATCTCCGAGAACCACCGGATATATATCTCCCCGAGGTAGATGGTATTTTGGGCATTTGCTCTTCGTACTAAACTTTAGAAATGTTTTCCCTAATTTCTAAGGTCCTTGAAAGCAAAAGCGATCCATACCTAGACAGTCATGCTCAAGTGTTTAATTGAGAATTAAGAGTACTAAAGTGCTCAAGTGAGCGCATACTTAAGTACCTCTGTACTGAGAACTTTAGGTTTCAAGGTTCCATCCATCTCTAGAGCTACTTAAGTATAGATAGATCTACTACAGTACCTGGAGAGTGATCTTGCTTCTAAGTTACACCTGGGCATAAAAGCTACACCCCTTGCGCTTTTCCAGCTCTAGAGGTCGCGACTTCTAAATTTTGACTCAAGCCCATTTATGAGACTTGGATTGAGAATAACCTACAAGGTGGACTCGACACGAAATAGCACTGGGCCGGGTAGAGGGTTATGGTTCCTGAAAAGAGCCAGCTTACATAACAACTGGTGGTATGGTCTAGGGGTAGGATACCACATTGTGGTGAGTTGCAGCGAAAGTTGCACCTACAATGCTGTGTTGGCCCCGGTTCGAATCCGGGTACCGCCATTTTTTTTGTAACTTTTGTTACAGCCATGGTGATTGATTTTTGACCGTGGGACTTAAAAAGAAATTATATTTGTTCTTGTGTGTGTATGCAGGCAAGGAATAGATTGCTTAACTGATGAAGGGAAAGAACAACGCAAATTCGAGCAACAATTTCATTTATAGGATTACAAGTCGGTAGAACGAAAACCTTGAAAAAAAGAAAAAGAGAAGGGTCCTGATATATCTTAAACAAGTCAACGAGATGATGTATGGTATATGACAAGAGAATCTTATTACCATCAGTGATCAATTTCAGGGTAGCTCCTCCATCTCATCCTCCTGAAGTCCTACAGCTCATCCTCCTCCAGCTCATCCTCCTCTTCCACCTCTTCTCCTTCCAGATATTCCCCCTCCATATCCTCCTCCTCCATCTCATCATCACCCAGATCTCCACCCTCCATCTCTTCACCCTCCATCTCTTCACCCTCCATCTCTTCACCCTCCATCTCTTCACCCTCCATCTCTTCACCCTCCATCTCTTCACCCTCCATCTCTTCACCCTCCATCTCTTCACCCTCCATCTCTTCACCCTCCATCTCTTCCTCCATCTCTTCCTCCTCAATTTCATCTCCCTCCATCTCTTCCTCTTCCTCCTCCAGCTCCTCCTCCTCCAGCTCCTCCTCCACCGCCCCTGTTGCGGCTCCAGCACCAGCAGCGGGGCCAGCACCAGCACCACCAGCCCCGGCTCCAGCACCAGCACCGGCGTAGATACACCCCGGAATAGGCAGACGAGTGAAGCGAACATCGAAAACCGCGGGATCAATAGTAACGGGAAATGCTGCTCCAGGAGGTGCAACATATCTCATATTGAAAACAGGATACACAGTAGTGGCCTTATTAGCTGGAAGTGCGAGAACACCTTCAGTATCGAGAGCATCAATGAACTGCGACCTGTTAGAATTGTTAGTACATGCCCAGAATTCAAATGATATGATGGCGACCCACATATAGTCCCTTGCTCCACAAGGATTTCCACCGATATTGACGAGGTTACAGATATTCATGTGAAGATCTTCAGCAGTTCTGAGAAATTTGGCGACATGCGGTCTTCCATTGATGGGTAGCTCGAAGGATTGAGAAAGAGCCCTTCTATGTGCCCCGACGAAGGTGAAAGTCTTCGCATGAAGTGAACCTGCATATTCATTGGTCCCAGGTAGTACTCCTCCAGGTTGCACCCTAAGCCACACTTTGAGACCCATGGTGCGAAAAGGTGCGTTCAGAGTAGCCACGACCACTGGGTTTAGGAACATAAGAAACAAAACGGGTTCGTTGAACCCAGTGCCGTCATCCAGAAACTCCAAAAAACACATGTTAACTATTTTCCGTTGTAAAGCCGGGGGGATTCGCCTCAATGAAAGGTCCCATGTCACATTTGTTGTCGCGACGTAGTTTGGTACCACGACCGTATTCATTGTTGTTGATTGTTTGTCCTGGCTGATTTTCTCTGGTTGTTACTTTCAATATAGCTAATGCTCTCGGAAAACCATGAGAGAATAGGCTGATTATATATACCATTAAATTATGATTGTTTTTCTTCGAAGGGCTTCTCATTGAAAGTAGATAAAAATAATTAGGTGGAGGTTATGGTTCTACATTCGATTCACAGAGCTGTTCTAAGAATGCCAGAAAAGGTTGTTCTTTCAACCAATTAGCCATCCAAAATGTCGAGGTACATCTGAAACATCTGCTTTGATCTTGAAATAGAAACAATGGAAATTGATGTTTGGAAAACTGACCACTTGAATAATCAAAGAATCGAACGGATAGTACGTAGTAGGGGATTCTTCGATCAAATCTACCACCTTTCTCAACAGAAAATGCAATTTAGTCTTTGTGTCAACTCTTTTTCGCCACGGTGTATGTCAGAAGAATTGCCTTTCAAGTCTTCTCAATTCTTTCGTTGGATAAACTGATGAGATATGCATATTCTTTGTTGTATCCGCCTTTGCTTTCAAGTCTTTTGCTCGAGTATCCCACCAGCCACCAGCGGGGATTTCTCTATGGGAATTGGATTTGAACATCGGCCGTCTTCGGAGATTTCCTCTGGCTTTCGTGATTCGAATCATTCGAAGATAATGAAAGCCCGCACGTATTAGTGTCTAATCAAGTTTCGTATTTGATCCAAGGATTGCTCTGGTATCAGGTTTGACGGGGAAATTCCGGGGAATCCTCGGCTTTATCTTTTCAAGGTCCGCTTTGTTAATGAGTTCTCTGCCTTCACATCGAACAAGATAATGAGGGGTATTCTTCTGCATTTTGCTTAGGCCTTGGGCTTACGGCAGTACACAGCAACCCAAAATCACTGATGAATTCTACTCCTTTACGGACTTCAGGAGTAGACTCTTTCTCGAATTTGACTGCATCTAGTATATGAACTTGGTCAGTCTAATACTTCGAAGTTAAATGTTTTTCTTCTCTTTTTCCCTGTCTCTTGAAAACTCTCTTGAATACTCTTTTCATAGCGGAAAATTTCATGATCCATATTTTTAGATACAACGTCTAATCTGGAATTATGGTGTGTAATAATGCCGTACTTAGGCTACTACCTTGATGAAACTTTGCCTCATTCAACACACTGAGCCGACTTTTTGTATCGACCAGATGGACGGAAAACAAATCCGCCCTTCAAACGGGCCTGCATGAAAAGTCCAACCGCCCCTTCTTCGTCCTGTATCGCCTTTTCTTCATTCCATTCAGCATCGTCCGCGTAATCCTTACGAAAATTGCAGACCGCAAAGTCAATCATGAACACTTTGTATCCACCTTCCGCCGATCCTTCCTTCCTCACGATAAAGCTCCTCGTCTTCACATCCTCGTTCAATATTCCATGATCACTCATCCGATGGAGAATTTGAATGGCCTTTTCACAGATGCTTTGCCAGGCCTCTCTTGGTGTGTGATCTGCAAGATTGGTTAAAGGAAACCCCTCAACATACTGTAAAAGGATTCCTGAAACTCCGATATATCGCCTCTCTGGCTCCTTTTCTGTCAACTTCACGCCTGGAATTATGACGTAGGCGAGTAGTTGAGGAATGTCGTCTCCTTGCATATCCTCTAGAGCATCATATACCTCAATCTCCGTTTGATACAGGTCGGATACAGTGTCATAAAGATACGTCTCGTCTTGTGAGCTATTCCATGTTTCGCCTTGCTGTGCTGTGTCATCGTCATTGTTGAGATCGGCGATGAAACGAGATGCACCGCCATCATTAACGAATTGATGGTAGGCTCTCTCAATTTCTGGAGTCCAGGGTCGAATGTTGTCGTCTTCCCGGAGCTGTGTCGCAAACCGTCGATCGAAAAGCTTCAGGACCATATCGCCTTCTAATGTCAAATTGGGACAGGATATTCGAACAACCATAACACAGGAGAGGGTGAATGGCTCGAATAACTTGATAATTCGGGCATTGGTTGAGACCTCGACGTCCTTTATTTTGAGGTCTAGTTTGATCGTATTGCCGACCACATACGGACATCTCCAACAGTCAGGATATTACTCAGATTTTGTAAGCACCTGGGCAAAGTACTTACTGGTTCGTTTGCTTGTCCATTATTTTCAGGTGCGGAAGGGCCAGGTAATAGCGAAAGGCCGCACCCAAACCCCGGGGTTCGAAAGATCCACGGAAATGGCTGGAGGAGATGTTCACCCGCGGAGAAGAGGAACCCGAAGAGCGCAGCTGACGTCGAATGCGTCGTTGGCAATAGTACAAGAATCCCCGCATTAGTATGCGCCATACCAAGGGCGCTAAGCGCCATAGTACTTTCGGCCTAATATTTCCAATGCAAAATTCAACATTCAACATCTAATTCAGCTTGAAAGATAATAGAAAGACGTCGCCGAAACCAAATAAAGTAGAAGTCTCTATCTGTGGATATTTCGGACAACTGGATGTGCCCTGTCGAGAGACTGATGCGCCGGGTTCCCAGCGTGTGGGCGCATTTGGAAAAGAATGGTGTGCGCCACCCAGCTGAACCTGGGAGAATTTGGAAATGTTGTCACCAATTTCTATGCCGGATGGGAGATACTGGCGCCCACTGTAATTTCCTGCACCTGGGGTGAAATCAAGCGTAATTCACTGACCAGATCAAGCTAGATATTCTCATTTGTAGTATGCTAGGAACTATGGGATTTTCTGCAAGATGTATTCATCCAAATAAAGTATAATGAGTAGTTTGAGTATGTAGCTTATCCAAAAAAGCATCAAGCAGTCCGAAGCTAACATGGTAACAGTAGGAAGGAAAGGAAAAACGTGCTGTTCTGGAGAAACAAGATAGAAAGAATGAATCCATAGATGAAAGACAGGGAGAGAGATGAAAACCACATAAACCACCGTGAACAATATATGATCAAACACCTGGTAGATAGCTATTGTTTCTTCCCTCTTTTTGAAATGCCTGTAATGTATCTTTCTACTTCCAAGATTAAGTACTTGGCTGACGACACTTGAACGTATTGATGGCCGGGAAGGTGGACGGGTACGATCCATGGATACTACGGAGAAGTTACCTGTAGACCTGGGCTTGATACTTCCTCCCCTTGAAGCCATACTGTTCATTCTCAAAATAATCGACAATATCGCATCTCAACACTGCACTGCAACAATGGCGCCATCCCCGATTGATATCATTGTCGTGAACATGCCCGCTCCTCCTGCTCCGCCTGCACCACCCGCTCCGCCTGCACCACCCGCTCCGCCTGCACCACCCGCTCCGCCTGCACCACCCGCTCTGCCCGCTCTGCCCGCTGCTCCCCCTGCCACTACCACCATCACCTCCAGCACTGCTACTACAAGCACCAGTACTACGACGGCCACTACTACAACGACTAGTACGTCGACAGCCACCACTACAACCACTATCCTGCCCACTTCGACTATCACCCGCACCCCACAGACCCCTTCCGATATACGCTCCTCCCCATTCGATAAGCTGAACAGAATCCCACTAGGGCTCTGGGTCGTTATCGCCATCGTTGCTGTGGGCCTCATTGGAATTGTGGCCTATCTGATTAAGAAAAGGTTAAACAAGAAGGCTAGGAGAGTCGAATCTGTGAGGAAAGTTCAATCATTACTGTAATCCCGATCGAAAATTATATCTAATATATGGCATAGACCCGGAAACATGTATCCGAGCAATGTACCGCAACCAAAAAACCCTTCTGGTGTTGTCATCGATCCAAAAGGGGAGCAGAAATCAAGATGGGGAGAGGGAGATCCATCTACATGGCTGGAAAATGGCTCTTTATAATCAGGTAGTTTTGAGGTTTTGTGAAAGAAGATTCTCTCCGGGCGCTCGATCATTGGTGGTACTTGTTCATCATGAGACTGCAATCAGGCTTGGATTTCTTCGTTCGTCAGCGAGACGAGTGGTGTGTGTCAGACTGATTCTATCAAATCACGAGGTTCCAAAGGAAAAAAAGTCAATGTTGTCCCAGGCTAACTGCTGTTCTGGAACCCGGGAACAGCGTCGCCAATCCTTTCAGTCGACGATATAGCTATTTGAAGCAACAATTAGCTGAGTCAAGGAAAATCTCTTTGTGTGGCTTACCCTATCAGTTCTTTTGTCGTGGATCCCAAATGATGTGACGACATCCACCGTCGTTCGGACACATAGGTATGCCCCCTCAATTATTTCATCGCTCGACAAGGCACAGTAAGGCATGGCCCCTACACAACGGGGTTCAGAGCCAGGCACACTTTCCATCAGAATCAAAGTGATGCAGCCCCCAGGAGCCCAGTCCGCCTCTCCTTGTACATTGTGCTTGGAGGCTATAAACTTGGGCGCGGACGAGCAGTTTGTTTCAGCGAATAACTTCAAGGCTGGTCTCTCCCGGCGCGCAGCATTGCGTTTTTTCGTGTATGACTGTTTCGCTCTTTCTCAGGCGCTTCTGACCGTTTCTTTCAGAGTGAAAACCTAGAGTGTTTGAGTGAGTAGCCACAGAATGAGTTGGAGGATATAAGCATGGGCGGAGTCCGGCCGGGTAACATACTGTTCGAACCTTGAGAGCCTCCTCTTGGCTTTCTATGTCTGAGGAAAAGAAGACACCGGGTGCATCGCAGCACAACACCCAAGCTTGCATCTCATGATTCTCATAGAAAGATTACTTCTCCGAGATCTTGCTCGCGATCTTCCATGTCGTTTGGCTTCCACAGAACTGTAATGCTTTCCAAATCCAGCAGAGTTCTTCGAATCAAACCATGTCGGAATCCATAGTGAACACTCATTGGGATTTTCAACTCAAGCCTGGGGAGTGGAAAGGGGGATGGCGTTTGTTGACAAGCCCGATGTTTGATCCGTGCGTTGTGTATTGGGAGACAGAATAGAAACCCCACATGGTAGAGGTGTACTACTACCGAAGGAAGGAGTGCAGCACGAAGATCTCTGAGTGAGTGAAGAGGAAGGGAAAGAGAAGAGAGAGAGAGAAGATGTGGGGAGATATATAGAGGCGAGTCACGTAACCTGACCTCTCACACCTCAGGAAAATGCCAGGCGAGGTGTTACCTAGACACTCCTTGGAAATATTGATACAGAAGACTGCTGAGATTGCTGACCTGGAATATTGACAAATGTATCAGATTGAAGAGAAGTGAGAAGTAGTAAGGGGAAAGGGAAAGGGTTTGAGTAGCGTAGCCCTGAGACTCAAGATGTTTGCTGGAGGCTGCTTCTCCCTCACATATCTCTCTTCTTTTCTCTACTCCTTTTTCTCTTCCCTTCTCTCTCTGAAATTAATACCTACGCCTCCATAGATATTCTCAAATGCAATGTGGAAGGTTTAACACAAAGGATGAGGTCATCTTCTCTAAAGCTCTTACCCTAATAGTTGGCATCATTGAAGGAAGGTACTCTAGGTGTTTGTTTATACCTGCCTTTCACCTTTCACTCTCGTTCCCCTCTCATTCTACTTCCTATCTTCTCTTTTATCCCAGCTTGATCCACCTGAGCACTCCGTCTTGCGTCTTGACATACCATTACTCTTGATATGAGAGTAATCCTTATCTGGCCCTCTCTGTTTCCAGTGTGGTCCCGTTATACCACTATCATTACCTTACTTTCTATTCTGCATATCTGTATGCACCGCTCAGTCAAGATCCTTTTTCTTACTGGATTTGTGCTCCGTATTGTGGTATGCAGCATCAGTCCTGGTTTGACACTCTACTAACTAGAAAGATGGTCAGAAAGAGAGCCAGAAAGAAATTTGAAAAGAGGCTTGAAAAGAGGCTTGAAAAGAGAGAGGAAGACGGGATGGGACTGGCCGCCGCCCGCCGCCCCTGTGCCCCCTGCTGCCCCGGCCGCCCCAGCGGCCCCCGCCGCTCCCGCCAGCCCGGCCACCTTGGCCACCTCGGCAGCCAGTCCAAGCCACTCCGCCGGGCACCCTCCCCACCAACATGGACATCCTGGCGAAGATGCCAGCGGGCCTTTGGGTCCTAATTATCGTGGGGGCCTTGGCCGTGTTCGCGTTACTGGCCTATGTGGCCAAGTTGAAATGGGGGGCAAAGCCCCTGAAAGACAAGGTCTCCGCGTAAGTTGAAGAGCAGCTGGGACGCTCATCAAAAGATTTTGGCTAATAGCTCATAATATAGACTCGAAAACTTGGCCGGTGGGGATACCCCACTCGCGATACCGCCGCCGCCGAGGAGGGCAACTCCTCGAACCAGCAGCGGCTTCTGCCTGGCCCTGAGACGCCCCCTCCGCCCGACCCTCAGCCGGAGACATGGAGGGCCAAAATCTGGCGCAGGGTGACCAATTTCAATGCCGGTTCGACGACAGCCCAAAACTTCCTGCACGCCTATAAGGCCGTAACGGATGGTGCTCTCTCCCAGTCATAGACGGCGTTGGCGCCGATGGCGTTCCTCTCTTGTTTTGTCCTTTTCTTCTCTCCGAGGAACTCAGCGAGGTGAGAGTAATGAAAACGGATCTCAGAGTCACTCTTTTTCTGTGTCGTTCATTTCTGTGTCGCTCATTTCTGTGTCGCTCATTTCTGTATCGCTCATTTCTGTGGCGCTCCAAAGTAGTGAGCTGACCCTCTTCGAAGAAGTCCATACCTGAACGAATTCTGTTGCTACCTCGGGGAAGCTTGACTCTCCTGCCAAATATAGCTACCGCCGCTTAATGTCAGAGTAAAAGACTGTAGTACCCCGTGATCCATATTGGATGGCGGCGCACTTCCAGGGCTGGAAATCCCTTTTGGTGGCGGGTAAAACCCAGCCCTGGAGGGATTAATTTGTCTCAATATTTTTTCAACTTTGCAATGCTCTGATACCTTGAAACAGCTGTCTCACTTTTTGTATCATTGGCCAAAATGTCCGAACAATTCGGGAATCACGAACCGAGGACGGCTGCCAACGGTGACGAACTCCCTCCAGTATACGACTCAACCCAGCGAACATCAAATTCCCTGATATCTATCATTGAGAATGAGCAAATTTTGCGAGGTTGTATGGAACGGCTGGACGTTCTTTTGACAACATCCGAAGGCTTGCAGAAACGTGCTGAAACTATGGGGGATCTCACTTCGCAGACAAAATCACTCGAGGCTGCGAAAATTCTTCGGGAGATAATTCAGGGGATGGATGAAACAAAGGCACACATGAAGGAATTTTTGGGTGTCTGCGAACGACGTGCCAACCACAACCCAGAGCTCTACACCGCCATGGCAAAATTATCGACAAACGAGCTTGAACAGACATATCATTCGTTAAAGCATTCGGCCGTGGAACAAAAGGTGAAAGATCGTGGTCGCGGAAAGACACCTAGGAGCCTGTGGAAGCGAATTTTCACCATTTCATCCCAACCTTAATCGGAAGGCGTGTGACGATCTTCGGCCCCTGTGGTGATTGGATTTTTAGGTTTTTGGGTGCTGACAACTGATGATGATTGCTTCTTTCGCTTTGGGTCCGATTGTAAATCACATTTGGACATGCTCCAGGCTTGCCTGCAAAATTGCCTGGTGGGACCTACTAGTACTTCTGTGAAATGGAAGGATCAAGTATGAAATTCTGAATTTTGCTACGTTCATTGTTCTTTCGGCAGTCTTCCCGAGCCAACTGATGAGAAAGAAAAGATAGATGGAGAAAGAAACAGAGGCGAAAGAGGGGGGTTTAAGAGAATGAGAGAGACATAGCAAGGTCTCCATCTAGGGCTCGGGGTGAGGCTACGCCCGAAGCGATATATGTCTATTAGTACAATAAAACGGAATTTTCCTCTTGAGCAGCTGATAGATGCAATCACTGGACATACCCCTACTCGCTTTCCCGCGTACCGTAGCTGACACTTACGGTCCGCGCCCTTACAGCGAGACTGCCACAGTCCACTCTCTAGTATCCTATACTCAATATAAATACCCTCTGAGCTGTATTGAGAGGCGGTGGGAGGTATCCCCATCTCCTAAGGGCTTGGCGATTCAAATACCCCATATGGAAAAGATTATAGATTGGTTGAGGAAGAGAGATCTAGAAGGGGAAGAGCTATCTACCAGTTGTGGGAGCTACATGCAAACATGTCAAACCCCCTCCCCCATTTGTTGGTTTGAAATCCAGGCTGTCCTGTGTAAATCTATCCTTCCAACTTATCTTCTCTTTGCTTAAAACCGCTGTGACATCGTTGAAATCTCCAAATTAGTTATGGACGTCCAAAACCCCAATATCGCTATCTCCAACGACGATCCCCCTCCTCTATACAACTCAAATCAATCAAAGCCAGGTTCCCTGATCTCTATCATCGAAAATGAGCAAAAATCTCGAAGATGTGAGGAGCAGATTGTCATGAGAATGGGAGAACTTTCCGAGACAATGAAAGCCACTTCCCCTCCAGAAGATCTTACTTCGCAGCAAGACATACTTACAGGTATAAACATCGTGCGAACGCTGAAACAGGGCATGCTCAGCGTGGTACCGCTGTTGACGGATATGCTGGATATCTGGGAGGAGCGAACAAGCCACGACCTTACACTTTATCCCGCTATGGAAAAACTTTCATCGAATGAGCTTGAACGGACATATTTGTTGTTGAAGCGGGATATAAACCAGGGAACACAACCAGAGGTAGATCAGGATCATGAACTGTCAACTACGACTCGTTTGGATGTCAGGGCACACTCTGATAACCAGTTACTGGGAATTTCAGCGGAAGTTGACGAGACCAACACGATGCTTGACCGAAGCCTTCAGTCTGTCCATACAACTGCCGATTATAACCGTGGAAAAACCTCAAGGGGGCTTTGGAGAAAGATTTTCAAACATTCAGTCCGACCTTAGCTGGAATACGTGTGGTGTTCTCCGACCCTGTGGGTTATTGCTCATGTGATTTTGTTTTGCAGTGGGAATAGTTGGTGATAATTGCTCTTCGTTTTGCTTTGAAACCGATGAAGTTTTTGAGCTGGATATGCTCCAGGCTTGCTTGGAAAACCTTTCTTCCGTGAAATTGAAAGATGAAAAGTGAAATTTCAAACGTTGCTATCTTCCAACGTTGCTATAATTACTGTTCTTTTGCTAGGGCTAGATGCACCCTGAAACAAGAAGTTTGTTTTTCCTCTCCAAGCGGTTGATACGTGCCATCACTGGACATACCCTTCCTTCTTCATCAAATCTCGTGTCCAATCGTCCAGCTTCTGTGCAAGCTTCCCATCTCTCGCCGCACAACTCAACCACGAAACCTCCATCAGTCTGCGATGAATCTCGAGATAGCCACCGCAATGCCCCGCCTCCATATCTTGACTTGCCACACAGAACAAACTAGTCCATGAACCCCTATCGGCAGTCAAGAATAAGCCGAAAACACGAAACGCCGAGAAAAGGGGCATCATCCAGGATCCAGACTCTTTTACCGCTTCCCCGAGATTCGTTTCCACCAGACCTGGATGTACAGATGGAACCCAGATCTCGCCTTTGCCATACAGCGCACTCCGAGAGCCCGGACCATACATTGTGCGCAAACTTGTTGTGTGTAAAATGTTACCGAGCTTGCTTTGTCCGTATCGCTCCCATGGCCCGTATTTCTTCAGCGATGTATCTTCGAAGTCGATGCCGCATTTCGGTGCGCTCCAGTGACCAGATGAACTTAAATTGACAATACGCACACTGCCAGGAGGAAGGTTCTGGGATGTCTGCAGCATGAGAGGAAGCAAATTCTCTGTAAAAGTCCAGTGTGCGAGCTAATTGGTCTGCCATTGAGCTTCGTGGCCGTATTTAGTCATTTGGAAGGGCGTCGCCATAATTCCTGCGTTATTGACCAAGCCGTGAAGTGCCGTTTCAAGAGCCAGGAACCGCTTAGCGGCCGAAACGACACTGGCAAGGTCCATGTGGTCCAGTTGCAGAAGATCGATGTTGGCTGATGGGTGCATTTCCTTGATTCTGGAAATAGCTGCTGTGCCTTTCTCGACTGATCGGGCGCAAAGGTAAACGTGTGCGTCGTGCTCAGCTAACCGAGCCACGGTGTGGTAGCCACTATATATTGTTAGTCAGGTCAGCGATGCAAGATCTGGGACGAGTGAGGAACTAACATGCCGGAATTTCCACCAGTGACTATGAACACCTTGCCTTTGAGTCTGGGGAGTGTATCTGGATGGAAGGTCATGCTTAATTGGGCCCCGAAATTATCCTTGGAAGGTGCCAGTAAGTTTGATGGGGAGTGATTGTTCAAATTGGCTGTGTTTGATTGTGAGAGGAATGCAAATTGACATGTAGGAATTCCATCGTATTTGTATCCAAGGAGTTATGCCTATGTTCAATTTCCGATCTTTTTTGACAGTACTGGGCCCTGGATTTCGGGAGCATCAGACATGGTGAGCAAGTTGCATGTGGATCTAATGGGGCTTTAGAAGGGTAAACCAATGAGAACTGTCCTGAAGTCTGGATGGGTCAGTGAGCCAATTGTATGCCTTTCTACAAGAGGTGGGGGCGGGATTTCCCTTTCACGGGCACTAGGATGCCGATCATAGCCTATCCATTGTGACAGTCCGGAGTTTTGCGTCTGATGGTAGAACTTGAAAATGATTACTCTGCATACTAAAGATAGCCACGGAGACTCCGCGTTGAAGCGATGTGGAAGACGCGTGATAGAAAGGAGAATACAAAGTACTCCAATTCGAGAGTGAATTCTCAGCCTCGTGAATCCGTGTGTTTCGGGGTGTGAGCAGGCTGCATGACGCTAGTACTATCGAGGTTAGGTAGCCCTGGGGACAATTCACCCGGCCAATGAAGTCATGTGGCTTCTGGGCTGTCCTTCGGCCCCAAATGTGGAAATAAGAGGCTTATCTCCATCCCGCCGCGTGTCAATGTCCCCGTCCCCATATATAGATTCAGACCGATCACTGTGAGCATGTTGCATGGACCATATGAATCAGCCCCAGTACATCCGCCATATTAATCATCATCATCGTCGTCATCGACAAGTATCATGGCCAATACTGATCAACCTAGTGCAGGGTCAACAACCCCACAACTCCGACTCGCGGCCATGCCGCAGTTGGCCGAGGTGGGTACCATCGACTTTCGATAACAAAGCCATGCAAGTTGCTCACTGTGTACAGGCGATCAACAGGGAAGATGACTGGACTGGGACCAAAGATCCAGCAGCACGCAGACGGGCACAGACCAGACTAAACACAAGGGCATACCGTAAGTAACGTCTTGTTTACCCTTTAGACCTAAACGGGGGAAAGAAAGTCAATCAAAAGAGAGAAAAATCATCAAAATTAACCATCTATTAGGCAAACGCAAAGCTTTAGCAAAAAAAGCCGAAGGATCCAACCCTCCAACAACTGGCACATTGGTCAAATCCGAAGCCCTGATCGAATGCTGGGATATCGACAAGCAATGCATTTCTCTCATGTCTGCAACACGTGCGAACAAATTATACAACGCGAGGAGTCCACTGCTACAAGAAGATTCCAAGAAAAAGCAGAATACATTTGTGTTCCCCCTTTGCGCGGACCACCTCATCACGCTCCTTCAGTTCAACGCCCTCCGCGCCATGGCCACCAACCGTACTATAGTCACAGGTAAAACCGTCACACCACTCGACTGTGAGGACGAGATCATTCATCTCACACCCTACCCCGCTGACCCGGAGAGGTTTCCTTCATCACTTCTCCCTACTGCTCTCCAACAAACGGTGCCACATGGTAACTGGATTGATATGTGGCCGAGTCCTGAAGGGCGCGATCGTTTGATCCGGGCCACCGGCACTTTCGACGAAGACGATCTGTGGGATGACTGCATCGGTGGGCTGTATGAGGGGTTCCTTGACGATGAAATCACGCGCCGCGGTGTGATTGCGTGGTCACCACCCTGGGACATCGCCGGATGGGAGATGTCAGAAGGGTTTCTGAAGAAATGGGGGTGGCTGGTTGCTGGACTACCGGGGGTGATAGAAGCGACGAACAAATGGCGGATGAAAAGGGGGGAGGAGCCGGTGGCTTTAGATCTCTGAGCCCGGGGGAAGATCTTCACGGTGAGACGGAGAAACACCATGACCGATCAGAGCTCCAGGATGAAACAGAACTTCGCAATCTGCCCCCGGCGCTGGGATTCCCCCCTGGTGAGACGGTCGGACCTTGAAAGGCGCTTTGCCTTTGCGACTGGCTGTTTGACACTGGGAGGGAGGTTGGCAGTCTCCACAACCCCTGAAAAAGCACCACTTGAGAAAGAGAATCCTGGATGCCCCAACGATTGGTCTTTGACGCTATACGATGACATGTCAGCCAAAACTCGGTATGAGCGTGCCAGTTGATCTTCAACTTACTGGATGACCTTTGGCGCTGATGGGCTTTGCCCCCCTTTTCAGCTTGGCCATATAGGCCACTGCCTCGATTAGGCCCAAGCCTAACACAATTATCAGGTTCCAGTGCTGTAGTGATGAGCGCCAAAGCCTCCGATACAGACTTGATCGTGCGTGCTGAGCAAACAATAGGCATTTGAGGGGAGGTTGTTTCGAAATCAAAGAGGGGTCCGCAATCAGGAGGGGGTGATCGAGAAGACTGAGCCAAAGCCCTGTTGGAATCCGCTCCAGGTTGTCCATGTTGCTGGGGTGCCCGGCGGAGTGGCTTAGGCTGGCCGCTGGGGCAGCTGGCACAGCAGGGGCCGTGCGGCCACCGGCACAACGGAGACCACAACAGGGCCAGCGGGTGGCACAGCGGGGGGCATGGGGAGCACAACAATTGGGGTGGGTGGCGCCAGAGCACCGGGCAGGTTGAAAACCATAACAGTCTTTCCGTCGACTGTCACGGGGGTCATCATTGCGGTTGATTAGATGAATTTTATGGTCCCCGGGATAGAAAATCCACAAGTCTTGAGCCTACAAAGAAGGAGAAAGACGAACGGAACAGACAAAACAATAACCTCTACGCAGGGTCGTACCTGCCTAACTGGATACTGCACTTTCCCAGTATCCAAGCCCATTCTTTCACTATGACGTACGAAGAAACAAAATCATACGGGGCGACTGCGTGGTGACCAGCCTCGCACCTTGCAGGATGGGAGATGTCAGAAGGGTCCCTGAAAAAACAGGGGTGGCTAGTTGTTGGGCTGCTGTGAGTGATGGAAGTGACAAAAAGAATGTTGTATAAATGGAGTGAAGCAGCTAGTGGCTTTAAATCTCTGAATGCCATGTTATCTGCAGAATGAGCACAGGACCCCAACCAGAATCATCACTGCGATGAGATGCATATCGGAATGGAACCAAGAACATCAACTGGCATCTGTGGATAAAAGAAAAGGAAAGGAAAGGAAAGAGAGACATAAAAAGGGAGTAAAAAGAGATAGGAAAAAAGAGAGGAAAAAAGAGAGGGAGAGGGAGAAAGCAAATAGATGTTAAGATTGGTCCTTTCTAGTTCGGACATCAACAGGCATATACTAAGTGTTAGAAAGCTCTGTTATAGGAGTTTCTGTCCTTGTGCTCCAGAAAGCCTGCTGTGTTTGTACAAGCCTTGACTATTACTCTTGATGTTTGGTGTGAGGAATGACAGCAAAATGGTTATATTAGGTATGATACAAGAGACATTCAATAGAAAAAGCAACATGGTTCTCTCCGGAGTATCGAGTGAGATTATAACTTAGGGCTCTCCTAAGAGCAGGTTCCAAGTTTCCATCTACTCATCATCACGGATATCGACGACCGTCTGCTTCCACTTGCGAGCCTGGACCTTACGGTTGAACAGAATGTCGATCTCACGGAAAGACCTGTTCTTCATCTCTGGAACGAACCACCAGGACATGGCGGTGCAGAAGAACGCGGTGCCAGCCCAAATGTAGCCGCTCTTACCGCCCAGGTCCCACTTATCAGTGTTGAGCATGTAGCTGGAAAGGAAGATGCAGGGAATATTGACCAGGTAGTAGGCACCCCGTCCAATACCGGTTGTCAATGGTCTGAGACGAACAGATGGTGTCTCGCCGATGATGACCCACGAGGCCGGGGCAGGTCCCAAACAGAACAGGACGGAGACGATCAAGCCAAGGGATGCTTGTGCGTTGCTAGACGGATCACTAAGGCCAAATGAACCTGCGATACCCAGTGCAATCAAAAATACACAATTGATTAATTGACCGTACACATAGATGGTGCGACGACCGAGGTATGTGGTCAGGATCCATGATAGCATGACCATGATCCACTGGAGGGCGGAAGTGATGAGACCAAGTGCGAATGCGGTGTCGTCTGCCATACCGGCCTCTGTGCAATTGTTAATATAATGTCAGGTTGCAGGAGATGGCTGAACTCACGTTTGAAAAAGTAAACCGCTTGGTTGGCAATCAGATTTCCCGTCAGATTCTGAGATGCGTATACACCACACACAATCAGTGTACGGTAGAGATCGGTACCCTTCCACAGTTCAATGAGATTGGGTTGCTTCTCAGTCTTCTCGAGATCAATAGTGCGACGCATCATTGCAACTGCGTCAGCAGGGTTATCATTTGAACTCGCGCGTCCAAGGCGCTTGACGGCCTTCTCTGCCTCAGCCAGACGACCCTGTCGTACCAGCCACCAGGGCGATTCAGGAGCAATGAAGAGAAGAATTGCGAGAGGAGTAGGGAACATCCACTGGAGGGCAATGGGAATTCTGAGATGGTTGTTAGTACGGGGCTTGGAAGAATATATGGTGGACAAACCTGTAAGCTGAAGGGTGATCCCTGGATTGGTAGTGGTAGGTGATACCGCCAACGATGATTGAGCCGATCGACCAGAACATCTGCAGCATCTGGGTCGCTGGAGCTCTCAATCTCATGGGCACGATTTCGGCACAGTAGGCGGGCGCATTGGCGATGAAAATGCCCCACGGAATTCCTTCCAAGATCTGGGATGCAAAGAACATCCCCTGGCTGTTGCCGAAGAAGAAAATGAAGATGAAGCCATTCAAGAACATGAGACCGCCAATGGTCGCCCACCGGTATCCAATACGACTGGTGATCGGACCTGCGATGAATACACCGATGAAGGCACCGATCGGTCCACTACACTGGAATGCCGACTGCCATGATGCTTCGATAATATACTTGTTTGTTTTTGGGCTGAGAACACCAAAATCGTCGGCGAATCGTTGTGTCGCTATGAATTGTCCCATTAAGAAAACACAGTATGACTCCATAATCTACTGCGACGTTAGAAAAGAAATCTGCTTGTCATAGACAAGGGCTTACGATGGTGCAGGACATCACAAATGCCCACCAACTGGCAGCCGGATAGGCCTTGACAGCCTCGAGCACAGTCATCTTATGTTCAAGCTCCTCAGCATCGATGGCGGCGGCCCTGTCGTAGTCGACTTTCTTGTCGACATCATAGCCGGGTGGGCCGCCCATGTTGGGTTGCGACTCAATCTCCAACGCCGAGGTCTGCTTCTCACTGGCCATGTCGACGAATTCCGAGAAAAGCGGATGAATGAAAAAAAGGCAGCCACGACTGGGGGTTTCAGACCTTTATACCTGCGCCAATACTCTCGTGATGGTGATCTCGACCATGGCTGAATTAATTCAAGCTTGCTCCGGACCTTGACCTCCTGAGCCCAAAATCTCCAATCACAAGGCACATTTTGTCCCGGACACTACGGTAGCAGTGTCAGTTGATTGTGGCGGGCTACCTCAAGCAAAGTAATCTGACAAGGGCTAGTCCGGATAGACTCTAGTCGGAGGAAATGTACTGGTTCCTTTGCGGGGTATCCCGGGGTGGCAATATGGTGACTGGTCTGCGTCTAGACGTGGCGTTTTATTCGCCGGACAATTTCCTGCTTTGGATTATGGGAGGGAGTCCAGGATCCTCTGTCGGTTAGTGCGAGTCATGTCTGTGCCCCTTCACCGATTTTTGCTTGTTGTTCACTTTGGAATCCGAGCCCCTTATTTCCCTGCCAGGGTAATTCAGCTCTGTCCAACCTATCATAATGAACCAGTGAATTTAACCGATGAGCTGAAAGAGGATAAGCGCTAATGCTTGGCCCCGGGTGTCGTGTTCCACGGCAAAATAAGCAGCAAACGTGACCCATTCAGATTTTCATCAAAGGATGGCCTCCAAACATAAGGTTGGACGCTCCTGATGGTTGATCTCTCTTTTTCTGTGGGGTACCATGTTCTAAAGTTCGCTGTTTGTGGGGACGATTGGTTGTGCAGGATGCAAGATAATTATGATCGATCTTTCCAGAACCTGGCGAATCCCAGAGTCCGAGTTGGACACGGCTCGGAATGAGTTCATCCGCAGGTTACGGGCTCGGTGGGTCTTACCCCGGACGGTCACTACCCCGCGCCTTGACCCCAGACGGATCCCCAATCTCCTCCAATGGAGATTTAGGGTTATTTAGAGCATCTCCCCATAATCTCATCTTCTCATGACCAGGAGAATATTAGTTATCGACTCGAGATTCTAGACGCCTAAACTTCAGGTGTATTAAGCAACAAGGTACTAATATTAACAGCTGGTTATCCCTCCCCTCTTGTCGTCACCTGGACGAACCTATACCTAAAGAGTTGATGAATTTTGTCCTCTTCGCTTTCTTCAAGGATTGGCAGGCTGGGTGCTTGAGTTTGTTTGTGCCTCAGGCATAAAACCCCCACAATTCTCCCAGATCTATACTTCCCCTCCCTTCTTCCCTTTTTCTCATCGGCTTAAAGTCTAGTATTCGGATAGGATTATCAAGAGCAAATTGAACTACCTCCCACTGCCGTCTTCCTCTTCGCTTTGAGACCATTCACCCCATTCTCCGCTTTCGTACCCCTCTTCTTCCGCCATAGACTCACGGCTATGCCGCTGCACAACCTCCTGGGAGCGACGCAATGATTGATTTAGATTAGATGATTGTCCGACGGCTGACAAGTTACTGCCTCCACACCATGGGTGAGATTGGCAGTCAGGGACCGAAGCACGTCGCGTCACATCCACAATCAACATACGATCAATGAGATCAAGAGCCGGATCTCCCACAGAATCCCAATCTGGTGATGGATAATCAAATTTCCCAATCATGATCTGCTGTCGCAGTGAAAAGGGGTTCCCTTTGATGGAAAGATCATAGGAGAATGGCTGGAAACCGCACAAGCAGACATATAAAGCAACGCCAGCGGACCAGACGTCTATTTTGAATGCGTATTGGCGCTGGATAGATTCTCGAAATACCTCTGGAGACAAATCTTAATTAGGTCAGAAATGCAACCAATTCATTTTTGTACTTTGGGGGTACATACATCCTAGAGTTCCAACAGCGGTCAGGGTCATTTCATCTAATTGGAATTTCTGGCCAATCTTTTTGGCTATTCCCATGTCTCCCAACTGAATCCGGAGCGTTTTAGCGTCCATAATCAATATGTTTTGAGGTTTGATGTCTCGGTGGACCCATCCAAGCTCGTGCTAAATGGCTTTAGAAACAAACCCAGCAAAGTCCCGGTGATGAGAGGCGGCTTACCAAAAATTGTATACCAGAAAACAATTGACTAAAAATGATTCTGGTTTCATACTCGCCAAGTTTGCTGTTGTCGACAATAAATTGATGAAGGTCCCCGGCTGGCGCAAGCTCCAGAACAACCGATAACATGTTGGTCTCGAGATTTGCGAATATGTCAACCATTCTGATCAAATTTGGATGATAATTCCTTTTCAGCTCATGCAGCAGATTAATCTCAGCACGGATCCCTCCAATATCTGATGATCGAAGATACCGTTTGATGTCACGATAGGTTTTCACCGCAAACGGTACACCCGTCACTGTGCTGTGACATAGCCATACGGTGCCAAAGCCACCGTGTCCAATCTCTACTTTGCGCTTGTAATGACGGGAAAAACCAGTTTTGATGTCGTACTGCTCCATGAACTCTCCGAAGGAGACTTCATAACCTGTCTGGTTTTCAGGGGCAGAATCAGATCTGCTATCGTATGATGCTTCATCTAGGCACTCAGCCACACCACTCATCAGCCGCGATGCTTGACGCCGTAAAGGGTTTTCGGCAATTGCTCGATGATCAATAGTCAAAAGTCGTACTAAGCGGTGGAACCCTCTTCTTGACGCAATCATAGGGGTACGACGACCGACCTCTCCATGAGGCAGGATGGCACCCTGATCTGCTAGAAAGACTGCAATATCTTCCTGTCCACTCTGTATGGCCATGCTCAAAGCAGAGCTTCCCCAGTCGGTCTCCGTTGTCAAGTTTGCACCAGCTTCAACCAGCATGCGAACGGTCCCAACGCTCCCACTGGAGACGGCAGACATGAGTGGAGACCAACTGTTAGAAGCTTTGGTATTCACATCTGCGCCCCCATCCAATAACAACCTGACCACGGATTCATGACCCATCCCAGCGGCCTTTTGTAAAGCTGTCTCATGCGTGTAGTCCTTGGAGTTGACTTCGGCACCTTTTTGCAGGAGGAAGCGCACATTCCCCGTGCGGCCAAATTTCGCCGCCCTAATCAGAGCCGTTTCCTCGTCTGTGCCTTTGCCTTCGACTTGGTGGCCGCTTAAAACCAGATGTTCAAGGAGCACTGGAACCTCAAAGGCTGATGCTAGAACCAAGGCTGGGCAATTGCGAGGAAACTCCTGGCTCCAGTTGGAGTAGCGAGAAGTGGAAATGCTCCATGCCTGACTGGTCATTTCAATTATTGTTGAGTTGGAAAAGACTCGGTCAACTTTGGATAAAAGCTGATCCATGTCAAGAGAATTAATGTCCGAGCCCCAATGTTTGGCGGCATATTCAAGGAACGGGTATTCCCCCAGACGTTGTAGCATGTCTGCATCGCTTGTACAAAACCCAGACTCGAAATTTGGGAGTCCCAAATAGGCTAAGCTGATCTGCGTGAGATTCAGTCTCGCTGCCATCAGCTTCTGAGCGAAGGATCGTTCGAAGTAATTTTGGGCGGTATAATGAATGAGTTGAATGGTTTGCGACTCGCCATCAACACTGACAAGGCCTCCACATGCCCCAGTCAGGATCTCACCATCGGGTAGATCGTCATCATCGAATGTCATATCCTCTGATAGCTCCCGCATGGCATGCATATGCTGAAGCTGTGCGACTGTCAAGGGTTGATGAGCACAGACAACCCATAGCAACACTATCTCTGCTAGCTCCACTGTATCAGAGGGTTGATCATAGATTCTTTGCAAAGCCTCTGAGTAGGTATCATCCAAGGTTTTTGGCAGCGTAAGAAGTGCCGAGCGCACTGCTTTTCGATTTATCTTGTTGTACAGAGGCTCGATATGTAGTTTGGCGAGGAGAAACCTGATGGAGGGTTAGCTTGAAAAGCATATTTGAATGACGTCTTTTACTTACATTCCCTGGCATTTTGCATTGATGCAAGTGATGATCTCTTGCCTGAGAGTTGGATCGACTCGAACATGCCTGGACAGCCCAGGATGTCGGGTGATCTCCGAGTCCAAAAACAATCCCACATCTTCTTCCCGAGCAAGTATTACTAATTTGTCGGCCGCAGAAAAATATCCCTCAAAGGTAGTTGAGGATCGAGAGCTGCACAGTATGTGAACGTTGGAGCCAACGGAGCGAAGAACGGACAAAAACTCGAGGGTATCTTGCTCCGATTCAGCACACTCATCCAAAGCGTCAATCACCACAAAGAATTTCTTGTACGCCACAATCAATTCTTCCAAGGCGCCCTTCAGCTGTTTCGATGTGGGACGAGTGCCGTATTTGAGGTGTGAGTTGTAAAGCAACAAGACCTCGGATGGTATTGCATCGCTTTCAGAGTGTTGAAGAACTTGCAAAAGCAGACTTGATAGAAGAGCAGCCGAGCTCTGTTCTTTTCGGCGACTGTAACTGCAGTAGATATACGCGTGCATAAAGTCGTCTGTTTTTGGCTTCCTCTCGATGGTATCCACGACGAGGGACCTAACCAGCACATTAGGTATTGTTTCAACTTCTCACATACAAGGACAGGACGGGCACTTACATCAAATGTGTCTTACCAGCACCAGCTAGAAATGAAGAGTGAGCATAGTGAGAACAGAAGTGAATAAAGACTTACGCAGGCCTGGACACCAGAGCAAGCCCGTCTTGCCCTCGAACCAGCTTTGGACCTTATCATGTTTCACAAACCACTCGCCGGTTCCTTGTTTGACGCCCTCCAGAATTGCAACATGTTGCTGGCGAAATTGATGAGTGCTCAGCCAGAGCATGATCTTCTGCTTTTCTTCCCGTTGCTGTCTCAGGTGGGTATCATCGGCCTTTTGCTCGATTTCAGCCAGTTTGTTATGAGTGGACTGCGCGATTTGATGTGACGAAAGTGCAAGTTGCCTGAACGTACATGGTCAGTACCTAGGTACAGAGAATAGTGCGAAATAAGGATAGGCCAATCAAAACAAAAAGCCCATCTGCTTACATGAGATCATTCTGCACGATGAAACTTAGATTGCTCTTGAGGCGTTCCAAGCATGCGAGCTTCTCAGCTATGTCCTGTTTTGTGAAGGGCCAAAGCAGAGACAATGATCGTTGACGCAACCTACTTTGCGGGATGAGCTTTGCAACGATATCCTCCAGTATGCTTTTGAAAAGGATGAGCGGGTTGTCAGGACCAGAAAGAGATGCAATCGAGAGGGCCTTTCCTGTTCCCAAAGTTGCATTTTCATCTTGGGCATCCTCAATGCGGTCCCTAATCATCTCCAGCAGGTGGTTCGTGCTTCGGAGCTCATCTCGAAGGTTGACTCGATCTTCGGCTCCATTTTTCATTGATCTCAGATGATTGATGGCCGTGGTTCCGAGCTGCAGTATAGCTATTATGCTCGCGGTGATACTCAAAGGGTCACTCATCGTGCGGGATGAGAGAATATGAGTTGCCAAGTGAGTTGGGTCAGATCGAGGTCAATCTCACTTCTCATACAAAGTGAAAAGCACGACTTGGAATGAATTCTCGCGATCTTGGAAGTTGAGGGGTGATCTTAGCGCCCAGTTCAGCCGCATATGCCCCGCTGCTGCCCCACTATCAAGCCAACTCCGCACCACTTTGCGAAAACAGTGTCTTCTTGGATGAAACACCAAGAATATCTCCTGGGGTTTGCAGAAAGATGAGAAACGGACCGGGACAGTCGAGAGAAGAGAGAGAGAGAGGAAGTGAGTGAGTGAGGGGGCTGTGAGCGATGTACACATGGCTGGGGCGAAGCACTCCGCCGCAGCGGCTATGCTCCCCTTAGATCAATTTTTCCCCTGCTTTTTCAAGCTGCTGGCTCTCATGTCTGAGAGCTCGGGGCTCGCTCGCAGCGAAGATTGCCCACTCGGCCCGCTTCCCTGACCCACCCGGCGCACCTGCTCCTGACACTGCCTGCAGACCGCGAGGTTCCCCGTAGGCTTCCATGGCAGGGAAGGCAACGGGAACCCGATGGAGCGCATACAAAGGAAACAAAGCGAACACTGTCGCTCTCTACCTAGAGATGGAAAGACAAGGGGGAGGTTGAACCCCAGCGGTGAGTCTTCAGCAGGGAAGGGTTACTAGACCAGGATACTGCTTTGGAACGTTGGTTTTAAATTGGTTGAGAGGAGAGAGAAGATCTAAACTAGCTAGGGCTGGTCATCTACAGTGGGCACCTGAGGCAAAACTTTGCAAACACCCCCCATGACCACGTTGGTCGACAGCCTAGATCCACCATCCATACTTAGAAACAGGTGCTGAATCGTAAACATTGCGTTTTTGAACGAATTCAGCCTCCCCCTATATTGATTAGACCCCTTTGCAGGGTTCTATGCCCAGTTGACTGACAAACTGCGCGAAGCTGACCCTCGCAAATGGCTTAGTAAGGCCGTCGGCGGCTTGCTCTTTGGAAGGCACGTAGTTAAGAAGCACGTTTTCGGCGTCGATCTCTTCGCGCTGGAAGTGATATCGGACTTCAATGTACTTAGTACGTGTATGATATTTAGGGTTCTTCGTTAGTGCGATTGCTCCCTGGTTATCATCGTACAGAATGACTAGTTTGGCGAATAGTTTAGTTATATATAGTTCAGTAAATAGTAGCAGCAGCTATCAACTCTTCTGAATAGCAAATGTTTGAGCAATGTATTTAGATTTTATAGAAGACTATACAACGTAGCGTTGATGTTTGGAAGTCTAGCTAACCATACTGCTAGTGAGTTTAAAGACGAATTCAGAAGTGCTTAGGTTCTTCTCTGTATATTTATTAGTCTAATTAGTATTGCAGAAGTCGATTAGGTATTCCTTGCTGTCGGAGAATATTAGATAAAGATTATAAGATTCTGCTAGATAGTATAGAACTCGCTTTATAGTTTGTAAATATTTGGAAGAAGGGTTCTGAGTAAAGTGAGAAAGCTTTGTAATAGAGAATATAATATCTGGTTGTATAGAAACTATTAGTTAAATAAGGTAGTTAATAATCTTTTGATACTATTGGATTTTATTTTTAGTTACTTGATCTATATGCTTTTTTAGGACCTTATTTTTGTTTATAAGAATGCTTATAATATTTGTTTTTGATATTCTGAATCAGAAAAGAATCTCTCTTATATATTTAGCCTAGAAGAGGTAGATCTTATTGCTTTTATGTATTACGTTGATCTTTAGGTAGTATTTAATAAATCTTTTGTCGATAAGTTCGAAGTATTCTGTAAGCTTGTATTTAAATTTGATAATTGTTTTATTAGAAGGCGATATAATGAATAGATTGTTGATGTAGATTAGAATGTATATTAATTTAATATTATTCTAGTATACGAATATTGAATAATCTATATAAATATATGTAAAACCTATTGTTAGTAGTATATTTTGTAGTAGTTAATACTATTTGTAAAGTGACTATTTAAAACTATATAATATTTTGAGAAGTAGATTTATTTTATTTAGGCTAAGTTTATTCTAGAGAATCTTAGAGAGCTTAATATAAATTGATTCCTTAAGATCTATATTTAGAAAAGTGGTTTGAATATTTATATAATATATATGCTAGTGGAGAGCTACTATAATTACGATAAAGATTTTGAAGCTTATTGGTTTAATAACAACAGTGTATAGTTCGTTGAAGTTAGTATTCTTGTGTTGTTAGAAGCCTTAGATGATAAGCTTTGCTTTATATGTTCTGTTATATTTAATAATGAATATTTAGTGGAGTATTAAAGGGGTTCTCTTTGTAGAAGAGTGATTAATAACTCTCTAGGTTCTATTGCAGTTATGAGTTTATAGTTTTTTTTATATGTAGCAATGAATTACTTTTTTTGTTTAATATAATTTATTGTATTTATCTAGCTAGTAGGAATGTAGTCTTTATTTTTTGAAGTGAGTGTAAAGAATAGTTTAACTTTTGGAAGAGGGTTTTTTGTTAGTGCAGTAAGTACGAATTTAGGGGTTAGTTGTTCGATAAGTATATTAGTAGTGCTAGGATTAATGATTGTAGAATGATAGACGAGATATTCTAATATTATATAACTAGGCTTTCGAATATAAATAAATTAATATAGTGGTAGCGATAGTGGTTCTAGAGCTTCTTTAGAAGTAGAATCTTTATGAATTTGTTTTTTGTGAATGATATTTAGTAGAGATAATAGGATATCTATTATAGGATTCTGGTCTAGTAGATCTATCTTATCCTCTATAAGCCTTTTAATTTCTTTATTTTCTATAATCCTTCTAGTTTGTACCTCTACTCTAGTATTATTGGTTTATATGATATGTTGTTGAATTTTTTGAGTGTTAGAATGTAAGGTTTTTAATAGAGGAATTGGAGGGATAGGAATTGGTGTTTTGTTGTTAGGAGGTATATTATTGGCGGAAGATGTATCGTTGGTAGAAGGCGTATTGATAGGAGTAGGTTTATTAATATTATCTATAGTAAATATGAGATTTATTTATGGGTAAAGGAATTTGACTAGTATAAAATAAGGTGCTTCTTGGTTAATTATTTTTTATATGAGAGGGTTACTATTAATCTAATCTTTAGTAGCTATAATAGGGAGTATAGTTTGCTTTTTATTAAATATTATATTCTATAAGATTATAATTTGTTTGGTTTTAATATTATATATTTAATAGCTTTCTTTGTTGTAGTCTATGAAGTGATCTTCTGTTGAATAGAAGTATAGCTTTGTTTTGTACTTTTTCTTGGGAATAAGATATTAGTATTAGTATCTTAGAATATATAGGTTTGATAGGTTAAATTAATATCCGAAGAGCTTTTTAAATAGAGTGTAATTAATCTTAGAATACTATAGCTGATTCAGTGTATAATTGATTGTAAGAACGAAAAGGTCCTAGAGATAGTAAGGTAGTTGATGTTTAGTTATAATACTTATGAGTAGTTTAATTAATATCTTATTATAGATTTTTGATATACTGTTTAGATTTAAAGAGTACGTAGGAATAGGATTCTAAATAATATCTTTTAAGATTAGATACTTATTTAATAAGATGAATTTTTTTGTATTATTGTTAGTGATGTGTAGTATAATGATATTAAGTTATGTCTTTAAGAATTGTTCGACTTTGATATAATAATCAAGAATTTCTGATCTCTTTTTGATAAAAAATACTTAGTAAAATTGAGAAGTATTATTAGTAAAAGTTATATAGTAGATATAATTATCTAATAAAACGATTAAGATAAAATCTTAGATATCCAAATAAAGTAGATTCCTAGGTTTTGTATAAATAAGCCTCGTTTTCTTAAATAGTAAAATATAGCCCTTATCGAAGATATATAATATACAGAGGCGACTAAGAGCAGAATCTTTTATAATAGTAAATCCTTTGATGTTATAAATAGTCTTTTAGATCTTATTCTTACTAATATAAATAACTTGTTGATAAATTAAATTTATTGTAATAGTAGCTATAGTACCGTCTGGTTTAATAGGGAGAGCAAATAATATATTGTCATTCTTAGATCTTATTTTTAGAATATCGTAAGTGTTTGGAGTAATAGAAATAGTGAATGTCTACAAATACGATTATGTATTTGGATAGATGTATAGCTAGTATTATCTATTTCTTTAATTTGTATACTCCTTTATATTCTATAATGATTCAGAGTATAGAAGAGTATGGTTTTAATAGAAAATATTAATAATGTTCTTTTTAGTGAGACTATAGATTAATAGCAAGCTATTGTTTAGTTGTGGAGTATACTAGATCTTTTTTAGAGTAATATTCCTTATATATATAGGGTTATCGTTCTTTCTATAAATATATTTATTAGCTAGATTAATATGAATTTAATTATATCCTTTACTATAGAAAGTCTAATTTGTAGCAATTATGATAAGTGTACGATAGGAGGTAAATATTAAAAAGTAGGTTCTAACCAGGGTTATATATGCTGAGCAATCTGAATTGAGTATCTATATATGTTTATTCTTATATATCTTTATTATAACTTTAGATATATAAAAGATCTTGTTTGTTGGAGATCTAATCCTATATATGACGAGAGGCTTTCTATTCGAAAGTATTATTTTTGGGGGTTCAATCTTAGTTTTCTGTTTAAAAATTTGATTAAACATTTTATTACTCTTATAAGTAAGTTCTGGGATTGATAGAAATATAACCGGAGGGGGAATATTCTTATGAGTAGTATCGGGGGTCGAAAGCGGTTCGATAATAAGGTCTTGGTTGGTGTAATTGTTATTCTTAGTGTTAAAATTGTATGCTTTATTATTGTTAGGAGTATTTTCGATAGTAGGATTTATGTATAGCGTAGAAAGATATAGTATCCTATTGTGTTTATTAAAATTGTTAGATATTTAAGGATTTAACTATATAGTGTTAGTACTTTTAGTTGTTAGAGTAGCTTCTGCTTTTCTTATTTGGCAATCTTTCGTAGTATGACTATGGAATTTATGGTTCTTATAGTAGGGTTTATTTTTCTTATTGGTAGTAGGCTTCTTCTTATTATCTGATTTATCCTTCGAACCCTTTTTGATATTATCTTTCTTCTTTTTGCTACTGTTAATATTAATTGTAGTAGAATTAGTTATAGGCTATTAAATAGGGATATCGATATTGTGATCTAGGCGATAATTCTTGTAGGCGCAGAATGTAGTAGTGAGCTTCTCGAAGTTCTTCTTTCAGAATATTTTAAAATTGTATTAGTATATATTAAGGAATGTATCGTATTTTTTTATATCGGAGATTATTAGTTAAATTTACTGAAAGAATATTTAGTAACTAAATTTTTTATTTGTAGAATAGATCTTGCGAAGTTTCTGGAGTAGTTGGTACTACTTTTGAAGGAATTCCTTTAGTTTAAAGTCTTTGTAATAATAGTTGCTCTATTTAGCGTAGTGTTAAGTAGATTCCTTTGTAGTGGGGGTATCGTATACTTGTTGAAGGCGATTGTATACTTTCTTTGTGGTAGTATATTTTTTGATATAGACAACTATATCTATTATAATTGTTGCTTCTATATAGGTAATTACTTTAAGATCAAGTTTATTTTATTCTTTTTGAATATGTTTGATTGTATTGAGAAGGATGTCGACGTTAATCTGTATCTTTTGGTGTGAACTATTGTCTTTCTTAGTTAGAAGAGAGTCGGCTAACTTTATGGTTTACTTCTTATCATATTCTTGTTGTAGCTTGACGATCGTAATGTTGACCTTATTTTGATTCGCTTCATCGATGCTAATATCTGCGGAGCGAGTAATTGTGCTGGTGAATATCCTTTATAGTTTATTGTTCTGAGTACGTATGTACTTCTCGATTTGTTAATATTATATTCTTCAGTTGAAGGAACCCTTTAGCTTAGGAATCAGCTCACTAATCTTTAGTGAAGAGTTAGATGATATGATGGCAATGTATGATGATGGAAGGTGAGGGGCAAGTAAGAGATAGCAAGTAAGTGAGGGAGGGGTAAAGTGAACGTGTTGCGCGTCGTCCGGTGAACCGTGACTGGAAGTAAACAGTGTCTGATCTGAACCGAATGAGGGTTGGGAATAGCTTCAAATCGTGTGATCTGGCAGCTAATGTATAAAAGGGCTCATAACCTCTTCAGCAGGGAAGGGTTACTAGACCAGGATACTGCTTTGGAACGTTGGTTTTAAATTGGTTGAGAGAAGAGAGAAGATCTAAACTAGCTAGGGCTGGTCATCTATAGTGGGCACCTGAGGCAAAACTTTGCAAACAGTGAGGATGGGCAGAATTCGCTCTGTTTGCATCGCATCACATTTGCCCTGCTGCCCAACTTCCAATTATGCGTTGCCTACATTTCTTCAAGCTTTCTAAGTTGTGGAAGATCTAACAAGTTTTCAAATATCGATCATACCATCAGGTAAACTCTTAGCGATATCGAGAAGCTCCCATAATATCGAACAGACAAAGCTCGTGCGCAACGAAAACAGAACTCAAGAATGCAGCTGATCACCAGACACTTGAAAGGCTTCTGGGAGAAGCTGGGGAAAAGAGAGAAGCCTTCAGTTGATACGAACTCTTCGATCGACCCGTACCCCACATTCCCCCCACCCACACCCGAAGAACTCCTCGCTCGCCCGAACTTTTACCGAGAACGCCTATTTCAACGCCAGTATCAAACTCCTCGAGGCGATTCCGAAGATAAACCACTTTACGGGCTATATCGGCTCTACGAGCATCTGATTCTGAACGACAATATCGGCCTACGAAACGAACTCGAGTACTTCTGGTATGCAAGGTGGCCCATTGCCTCCATTCCGGATCCCCAGGACGCATGTAAATCCCGGTACGCCGCTCTTGCTGCCATGCCAGCCTTGTTGCTCGAATCATACAATGAACGTATCAATTTGGGTCTGCCGTGGAAGGCAGACTCTATTGTCTCGCGCGAGGAATTAGAGCAGTACCAGAAGGAAGAGAAAGTGTTTGAATTGCTACCCGAATGGTCCAAACAGGTTCCGCGACTGGAGGAGACCCTAGTCATTCCGCACGACGATAACGAGGTTCTCGATTCGTTCGAAGATATCAGGGCAAGTCCTCAACTGGCAGCAAAGAATATTTTACATTGGCAGCCGCATATTCATTTCATCTAGTTTTCTCAAGACTATCATTGCACCCAACCAATTACAGATACATATTAGTGACTCGTATAAGACCTTGGAAGGTGGATTTGATTAACGGCCTTCCTGGAGTCAAACATCTGCCGTCAGTAATGATTCACCACCTGGGCAGGTACCAACTCCTGTATGATTCTGCATCAGTCTATCCCAGCTTGAAGCCTCCCCTGCACAATCCCTGTGATGTGAACACGCCGAGTTCATCGATGGAATTTTGAAGAGCGATCAACCTTTCCTTGTTATGTTGCCCATACCCTGAAAACGGATCTTGCTGATGGTAGGCGTTGTTGATATATATCCAGTCATGATGGACTCCCGCCTGGGTAGTGGCAGTGTTCACCCGCTGGATCCAGCGTTGGACGAATGAATTTACTGCATCATCATCTTACCGGGAAGGCCACGTTGCACTCAATATGCACACTTTCATGAAAGAACTATGTCAGCGTGAATTTCCTACCAAGAATGACGCCCACCCGTTAAAGGGCCCTTGGCTTCAATCCCAAGGGCGCTCCCGCCTCTCTCTCGGCCCGCCCGAACAGCGTTTTTGAACAAGGGTTGAAACATCACATTAGACAAGAAACCAGCCATTTTCTTCACTGGCTCAATCTCCTCTTCTATGATTTCCATGATATGCCGGTCCATGCGCGCAGAGGGGTAATAGGCCACCGTAGCAAAGAGATTACTATATGATCAGCTTCACCACGCCATCATCTGTCATTTCGTGTAAGAAAATACACTTACCGATTCCCGGACGGAGTGCGAGAAGCAGCCTCCAGACTAAGCGTGCTCATTCGCTCAATCTGTGCCGTTTTCGACTCGTATGGAATCTGCCTTAGACCCGCAAAGGGCGCGGGCTCGAGAATAGGTTGCGTATATATCTCCGAGAAAGCGAGGACGAAGTGATCTGCGATTGAATTGTAGGAGAAAAAGTAGTAGAAAGCCATATCGGTGTCATTCTTCCAGGCGGTAGTGAGTTGGAAGGCTTCATCGGTGACTGCATTTTTCTGGGTTAGGCTAAATATTTTATCAGTCTGCGATATCGGCCCTTTGGGTTGATGAAAAGTGTGCATTGTGAACCGTGTTACAATGCCGAAGTTGTTCATTCCTCCTCGGAGCGCGAAGTAGAGATCCGGATGCTGGGTTTCATTGACACAAACAATTGTCGCGTTTGGTAAAACTATCTGTTGTATTTGATAAGCAAAGTATAATGGACGAGGGACGCAATTGTCTGCACCAGTCGTTTCGACACATACCTCATATTGCAAGATGTTATCCACAGCCAACCCGTATTTGGGTGCCAAATTGGAGATGCCTCCACCCAAAGCAAACCCACCTATCCCCACGTCTGCAACTCGAGCACCGATAGCTGAGAGCTTGAATACCTCAAGACTGTGGTATATATCAAAGATAGTACTACCACTACCAACATCTACCGTCTGTTGATCTTGGGCTACCTCGATGTGATTAATCAAGTTCAAGTCAATGGTAACATCGCCAACTGACACTGAGTCATCGGCATTCTGAGCATGGCCTCCACTTTTGACCGCAAATGGACACCAGTGGTAAACTAGTGTGGCCAAGATTTTGCTAACGTCTTCGGCTGTAGATGGCTCTACGCGGCATGCCGACTGAACCTCTTGTTGTTTGCCGTCCCAGACAGTGAAATTCCCATTTCCGGGGTGATGTAGTCTAGATGAAAATTCATCTCGAAGATCCGCACACTTGTACGATGTTAAAAACCGTTTTCCTTGTACGAAACATAATTAGAATTGAAAGCAAAACTTACTGCGTTGACACAGGCAGTGGTGGATGGACTTTGGGCAGTGGAATCACTGTTGTGGCTGGAAGCAGCAGCATGAAAAGCTAACAATATAATGTAAAACATTTTGTAGACCAGCATTTTCGTTGTACAAATAAACAAATGTAGTATTATGGTCACCCTTCAACGTAGGAGCGCTCTTTATGAATGAGCTGCTAGGCCTGATTTATAATGAGATCACTAAAATCAAGTCCTGTGACGGAATTCAAGCAAATGGCTTTACTCATGAAAATATCTGTAGGTTGCCAAGTACTGAGTTCCGAGGATCCGGAAAATCAGCAAAATTTCTTAGCAATGTGCCCCATGTCATTGGCGGAAGTGTGAGGAACCCCGACTGACTGAGATTATGGTTTTAGATCGGAAAATCAGTATGTGGGGGTCAAGGTGATGATATGTTACTGTGGAACTCGCCATGGTATCGCTGTACAGAGTGAGTCATGATATGCCCCCAGACGAAAGTTTGTTATGGTATATTACCATCGTTGGAAGACTTCTCGACAAATAAATGGAATAATGTACGTACTGTTCCTTAGAAGAAAGAAATATTTGGTGATTGAAGTGCATCACATGCAGGTGACAGTGATAGACACAAGCATGGATCGATTCAGCCGTGAGATTCGAACCACACACCATTATTTTCAACTAACCTTGGGACCCAGGAGAGGACTTTTGGCATATAATAAAGTGTCGCATCATCCAAAAGACATCGTTCATAAAGACCCAGAGTAACGCCCAAGTGAATGAAAAGTGAATGGGCACACCCTAGAACTCAAGAGGTCTCACTCTTCACCGGAATAACATTTGAACACCACGCACACCAAGCCATATTCAATCCATACCGCTCGCGGGAAAGATACAACTTCCTCATCTTTTTTTCATCGTCATACTCAACAACATCGGCCCCAACTTTAAGCCTCCTCTTAGACTTCTGCTTAACACTATCGCAAACAAATTCCTCCTCAGCCTCGCTGCCATGTTCAATCTCGATCTCCTGCGCAGCAAGACAGCTCTCATTTCGCCCACACTTCACAGCCCACTTACAGTCTCTGAGATTAGTAGACTCTCCATGCCGTGCGTGCCATTCCCAAACCCTTCGGTAATTGCCGTCATGACGTTGTCGTATGAAATTGCACGGCTTGCTTTTGCATACCCACGGGTCGTCTTCGCAGTTACAAGTTGTACGAGCGAAGGCTATAGCCGCAACACTTCCCTTATCCCACGGGGTTGAATCTGGCGATTCGGCCAAGTGCGATGAAAGGGGCGCTGTACCGCAATGTTGACAGAGGCGACGGATACGAAATATGAGGTTGTAAAATGTGGGATCTTTTACACAGTTCTGTAGTGGTGTTAGAACAGAAACCGGCATTGAGATGGGCATGCTTACTTTGCAAATAACCTTGGCACAGAAGCGACATTCACCCACTACATCGCGCACGCAATTCCGTGCCTTTTTGCGGCAAGCGCCATCATCCAGCGGCTCTGTTCGGTTTCTGACGACCTCATTTTCGCACCGGAGAGTTTCTCTCGCCAATTGGTAGCGGTAGGGTGCCAAATTGGCGTGAAACTGACGACATGTACTCGAGAGGGCATGGAGAGTGGTCAGGTCGATAGCTCGAGCAATCTCCTTGGCGATGCTAAAGTATAAACATAGATAGGTGAGTTTCTCCATTGCGGGTGTCCACGGGTCATTGCCTTGAAATTGACAGCACGCACGGATAACAACTCAGGGCTGCTGAGAATCTATTTCTATTCGGATTCATGACCTCGATTTCTTTAGATAAAGGTGGTGAGGGTAATTCGACAAGTTCCGAGATGGGATCAACCGTTAACCGCAATGGCCTCTCCATGTAAGATGTATTCTCGAGGTTGCAAAGCACCACAACGCTGGTCTATCGACTTCTGAACTGATATACCAGGGGACCAGATGCCCCCATCTCCCAGACAAGTCGTGGTAGAACGCGGTGTTGATCGAGCCACGTATCTAAGATAGGCCAATCCCAATCGGGCTAGTGCGGCGGCTCTGGTTCCAGGAAAGCGAAATCACATGATCTGAAGGGTGACCAATCAGATATGGACCCTTTCCGGAATAACCTTTGCCCCTACGTCTACCATTTGTGTGAAATCGGGGTCCCAATATGGCCTCTTGACAGTATAATTGTATGGCTACATTGTTCCACCAATAATTCTACCTTCTTTCTTTGGCAATAAATCTTACATCATGAGTTAGAATGTTTATATCTCCTAGATGATGTTCCGGAGTCAGCCTGACCTCGAGAAATCTTTTCAAGATCTATGTTTACAAAGTTTTGCCTCAGATGCCCACTATAGATGACCAGCCCTAGCTAGTTTAGATCTTCTCTCTCCTCTCAACCAATTTAAAACCAACGTTCCAAAACAGTATCCTAATCTAGTAACCCTTCCCTGCTGAAGAGATTATGAGTCCTTTTGTATATTAGCTACCAGATCATGCGATTTGAAGCTATTTCCAACTCTCATTCGGTTTAGATCAGACACTATTTACTTCCGGTTACGGTTCACCGGATGATGCGCAACGCGTTTACTTTACCCCTCTCTCATTTACTTGCTATCTTTTGCTTGCTCCTTATCTTCCATTACTATACATCGCCATCATGTTATTTGACTTTTTGCTGAAGATCAGTAAGTTGATTCTTAAGCTAAAGGGTTTCTTTAATTGGAGAATATGGTATCAGCAAATTAAGAAGTACATGCGTATTCAGAATGATGAGCTATAGAGGGTATTCACCGATACGATTACTCATTCTGCGGATATCAGTATCGATGAAACAAATCAGGATGAGGTCAACACTGCGATTGTTAAGCTACAACAAGAATATAATGAGAAGTAGGTTATGAAGTCAGTTGACTTTCTTTTAATTGGAAAAAGCGATAGTTCATACTAAAAGGTATAGATTAATATCGATATCCTTCTTAGTATAATCAAATATATTTAGAAAAAGTAGAATAAACTTAATTTTAAAGTAATTACTTATATAGAAGTAATAGTTATAGCAAATATAGTTATCTATATTGAGAAGTATGCTACTGCAAAGGAAGTATATGATCGCTTTTAGTAAGTATGTGATATTTTTACTACGAAGGAGTTTGCTTAATACTATGTTAAATGGAGCAACTACTGTTACAAAAGCTTTAAATTAGAGGAATTCTTTTAAAAATAATACTAACTACTTTAGGAATTCTGCGAAATCTATTCTGTAAATAAGAAGTTCAATTACTAAATGCTCTTTTAGCAAATTTAATTAACGATCTCTGGTATAAAGAAGTGTAATATATTCCTTAATATATATTAATACAATTCTAAAATATTTTAAAAGAAGAACTTTGAGAAGTTTGCTGTCGTGTTCTACATTTATAAGAATTGTTGTTTGGGTTGTAATATTGGTATCTTTATTTAACAGCTTATAACTAATTTTACTATAATTAATGCTAATGGTAGCAAAAAGAAGAAAGGTAATACTAAGAAGGGTTCGAAGGATGAATTAGATGATGAAAAGAAGTCTACTACTAATAAGAAGGATAAGTTCTACTATAAGAATTATAAATTTTATAGTTATGTTATGAAAGATTGTTGAATAGGGAAAGCAGAGGTTGCTTTGGTAGCTAAGGGTACTAACGCTATATAGTTGAATCTTCAAACGTCTAATGATTTTGATAAGCACGATAGGATACTGTATCTTTTTGTGCTACATATGAACCCTATTATTAAGGATGTTTCTAATAATGATAAAGTATACAATTTTAATATTGAAAATAATAATTATACTAATTAAAATCTTATTGTCGAACTGCTCTCAACTTCTAATACTACTTGTAAAAGTACTCTCCCTTTGATTATATCTTTATCGATTCTAGAACTTGTTTGTAAGAGTGATAAAGCATTTGATTAAGCTCTTAAATGGGAAATTAAAATTAAATTCTTAAAAGTAATACTTTTGGATAAAAAGCCTTTTATTATATATAGAACTAGATCTCTAATAAACGAGGTTCTTTATATATCTGAAGCTATAATGAAGATATATAAGGATAAGTGTATATGGATGCTTGATTTAGATTGCTCAGTATATATAATCCTGGTTAGGATCTACTTCTTAATATTTACTTTCTATTGTATATTTATTGTAACTACTATAAATCAGACTTTCTATAGTAAAAGATATAGTTAAGTTTGTATCAATCTAATTAATAAATATACTTATAAAAAGAACGATAATCTTATATGTATAAAGGATATTGCTTTAAAAAAGATCTAGTATACTCTGTAGCTAGGTAGTAGCTTACTATTGATCTATAGTCTTACTAAAGAGAATGTTATTAGTATCTTCTATTAAAACTATGTTCTCCTACGCTCTGAATCATTATAGAATGTAAAGGGGTATATAAATTAAGGGGATAGGTAATACTGACTATATGTTTATTCGAATATATAATTGTATTTGTAAATGTTCGTTACTTCTATTACTCTGAATGTTCACAATATTCCGAAAATAGGATCTGAGGATGACAATATGTTATTTGCTCTCTTTGTTGGACTGGACAGTACTATAGCTGCTATCATAATGAATTTAGTTTACCGACAAATTATTCATACCAGTAAGAATAAGATCTGGAAGACTGTTTATAACATTAAAAGGTTTACTATCGTAAAAGATTCTATTCTCAGTCATCCCTGTGTATTATATATTTTCAGTAAAGGCTATATTTTACTATTTAAGAAAACAAGGCTTATTTGTATAAAATCTAGAAATCTGCTTTATTTGGATATTTAGGACCCTATTTCAATTGCTTTGCTAAATAGTTACACCTACTATATGACTTTTACTGATAATGTTTCTCAATTTTGTTGGATATTTCTTATCAAAAAGAGGTCGGAAGTTTTTAATTGTTACATCAAGATTAAGTAATTCTTGAAGACACAACTCAATATTGTCGTACTATACATCGCCGGCGATAATACAAAAGAATTCATTCTGTTAAATGAGTATCTAGTCTTGAAGAATATTATTTAAAATCTTGTTCCTACATATTCCTTAAATCTAAACAGTATACTAAAGATCTGTAATAAAATATTAGTTAAACTACTCATAAGTATTATAATTGAATATCAACTGCTTCGCTATCTCTAAGACCCTTTTGTTCTTGCAATCAATTATATATTGAATTGATTATGGTATTCTAAGATTGATTATATTCTATTTAAAAAGCTCTTTGGATATTAATCTAACCTATTAAACCTATGTATTTTAGGATACTAATACTGATATCTTATTCCTAAAAAGAAGTATAAAACAAAGTTATATCCTTATTCAACAGAAGATCGCTTTGTGGACTATAATAAAAAAAGCTATTAGGTATATAATATTAAAACTAAACAAATTGTAACCTTATAGGATGTGATATTTAATAAAAAATAAGCTGTGCCTTCTATTATGGCTATTGAAGATTAAATTAATGGTGGCCCTCTTATACAAGAGATGATTAACTAAGAAGTACTTCGTTTTGTATTGGTTGAATTCCTTTACCTACAAATGAATCTTGTATTTACTATAGATAATATTGACGAATCTATTTCTATCGATATGTCTTCTATCAACGATACATTTTTTGCTAATAATATACCTTTTAACGACGAAACACCGGTTTCTATCTTTCTAATTTTTCTGTTAAGAACCCTATATTCTAGTATTTAAGAAGTTCAATAATATGTTATATAGACCAACAATACTAGAGTAGAGGCATAAACTAGGGGGACTGTGGAGGATGAGGAAATTAAAAGGTTTGTGGAGGATGAGATAGGTTTGCTAGATTAGAATCCTACAATGGATATCTTGTTATCTCTATTGAATATTATTTACAAGGAGTAAATTTATAAGGGTTCTACTCTTAAAGAAGCTTTGAAACCACTACTATCGTTGTTGCGTTGGTCTACTTGCATTCGAAAGCCTAATCATATAATACTAGAGTACTTTATTTGCTACTCTATAATTGTTAATCCTAACACTATTAATATACTTATTAAATAACTAACCCTTAAATTTATATTTGCTATATTAGCAAAAGATTCTCTTTTAGAGGTTAAACTATTTTCTACACTTACTTTGAAGGATAAAGGTTATATTCCTACTAGCTAAATAAATATAATAAACTATATTAAACGAAAGAAGTAGCTTATTACTATATATAAAGAGCTACAAACTTATAATTATAATAGAATCTAGAGAGTTGTTAATTACTCTTCTACAAAGAAAATCCTTCTAATATTCTGCTAGGTATTTAATATTAAATATAACAAAATATATAAAGCAAAATTTATTATTTAAGGTTTTTAATAGTATAAGGATATTGACTTTAACAAACTATACATTATTATTACTAAACTAATAAGCTTCAAGATCTTTATTACAATTATAGTAGCTTTCTATTAGTATATATATTATATAAATATTCAAACTATTTTTCTAAATACAAATCTTAAAGAATTAATTTATATTAAGCTCTTTGAGATTCTCTAAAATAAATTTGACCCAGATAAAATAAACTTACTTCTTAAAATATTGTATAGTCTTAAGTAGTCGCTTTGCGAATAGTATCAACTACTACAAGATGTACTACTAGCAATAGATTTTATATACATTCATATAGACTATTTGATATTCGTATGCTAGGATAACACTAAACTAATATACGTTCTAATCTACGTTAATAATCTGCTTATTATATTGCCTTTCAATAAAGCAATTATTAAATTCAAATACAAGTTTGTAGAGTACTTTAAGCTTACTAACAAAAGATTTATTAAACACTATTTAGGGATTGATATAATATATAAAGATGACAAAATCTACTTTTTCTAGACTAAATATATAAGAGAGGTTCTTTTCTAATTCAGAATATCAAAAACAAATGTTGTAAGTACTCCTATAGACGAAAATGAGGTTTTGGAAGAGTATATAAATTAAGTAACTGAGGATGAGATCCAATAGTATTAGAAGATCATTGGCTGCCTTATTTAACTAATAGTTTCTACGCAACTGGATATTATATTCTCTATTATAAAGCTTTCTCGCTTTGCTTAGAACTCCTCTTCTAAATATTCACAAATTATAAAGCGAATTCTATACTATCTAACAGGATTTTGTGATCTTTGTCTAGTATTCTCCGACAGCAGGGAATACCTGATTAGCTTCTACGATATTGATTAGGCCGATAAATATGCAAAGAAGAGCTTAAGCACTTTTAGATTCGTCTTCAAACTTACTAACAGTGTGGTTAGCTAGATTTCTAAACATCAACGCTGCGTTGCGTAGTCTTCTATGAAGTCTGAATATATTGCTCAAATGTTTGCTATTCAGAAGAGTTAATAGTTGCTACTATTGCTTATTGAACTGTATATAACTGAGCTATTCGCCAAACTGGTTATTCTGCACGGTGATAACCAGGGAGCGATCGCATTAGCGAAGAATCCTGAGTATCATGTACGTACTAAGCACATTGAGGTCTGATATCACTTCCAGCGCGAAAAGATCGACGCCGGGAACATGCTTCTTAACTACGTGCCTTCCAAAGAGCAAGCTGCCGATAGCCTTACTAAGCCACTTGTAAGGGTTAACTTCGCGTGGTTTGTCAGTCAACTAGGCATAGAACCCTACAAAGGGGTCTAATCAATATAGAAGAAGACTAAATTCGTTCAAAAACGTAATATTTACGATTCAACACCTATTTCTAAGTATAGATAGTGGATCTAGGCTGTCGACCAACATGGTCATAGGGGGTGTTTGCAAAGTTTTGCTTTAGGTGCCCACTGTAGATGACCAGCCCTAGCTAGTTTAGATCTTCTCTCTCCTCTCAACCAATTTAAAACCAACGTTCCAAAGCAGTATCCTAGTCTAGTAACCCTTCCCTGCTGAAGAATCTATGATACAGAACTAATGGAAACTCAGGAAATACGTCAGAGTAGGACAGATCTGCAGTTTCGTCTGGGTTGTATAGTCTAAAAGGGGAAAAGGAAAGGGGATAGAGAAGGAAGATAGAACGTTTACCTCGAACGATGACAAAGGAAGAATGGACAAAAAAAAAGAAGATGAAAGAAAGAAGGGGCAAAAGGAAAGCGGAAATAGAAAATGAGATGAGCATAAATCAAGAAGAAAATAGACCCAGGGGCAAATATTCCAAGGTTTCACGATGGACAAAATGAAAATCGACGGAAGCAAACAAAAAATACGGAGTAACAGAACCGGCCCTGAAGCTTCAGTTACAAATGCAAGACTGTAGAAAGTGATATATCATGTTCAAACCGGCAATGTCTGAGGATACTCCACAAGAAAAGCAGATCTCTGAGTTTCCTTCTCACCTTGGTGCATCTAGTAAGGTCGGCAGCAAAATGACGGAGATATGCATGGACTTTGGGAGTTCGGAGTGGCGAAAACCATAACAATACCCACGCCCAATGGACAGTTTTCTACGCCTTATTTTTCTTTGTTCCACTGTATTTTGTCTTGGTTGAATGAAACTTGGCTTGCCTGTTTCTCCGGTTGGCTCGCCGATGTTGGATCTCGCTGAGCAGCCGTGTCGCACTTGACACAACTTTCCCTAGGAGGATACCATGAGTCCTCATGGATGTCGCAAATAATATAATGGCCCTTCTTGAGACAACGGCTTCTAACGCTGTGGCCATCAGGGCTTTTGGAAGGGTCAGGGCCATGGAGCATAAATGTACCAGATGGAGCTTACCAGTGATGCTTCTTGAGTTTTTTTGGAATAGAAGAAGAAAGTGTCATATTTCAACGGAGCCTCCCGAGGTCTCGAAGGGAATAGGTCGTGGAGTTTGTAACCTGAGAATTGATGTATCGACCTTTATAAACGCAGCCTCCAGCAGAAGAAAAATATTGTATGTTTTTGAGTTGATGTCTACAGCTTCTTTGTGGGGTTCTTGGGCTGTATATACGAAATGTTTCACAAGATAGTTGAGCCTTATGGAGCCTGGGAAGTGAGCCGAGCTTTATATACTCCGTATATTTGATTGTAGAAGGATCATTTACGAAACAAGCTGAGGTTAGCACAGGCCCGTACTCCGTACATTGAGAATGAAAGCCGTAGACCCCCGGCTGAGGGGTAAATACAAGTACCATCCGATTCCTGGATGCTTTGTGGTGTACGAGTACTCCGTACATGGGTGCAGATGAGGGTGAGATATCCCTTTGTGTTGTGAACATAGAACATCCTGGATGCTTTGTGGTGTACGAGTACTCCGCACATGGGTGCAGATGAGGGTGAGATATCCCTTTGTGTTGTGAACATAGAACATGACTGAGTTGCAAGAAGGACAAAAATGGTGGCTCCTTGGCAACAAGTCACCGGTTATCTAATATTGCATTGAAACAACGCTTTCTTTGTACTCGTACGCCTCCAAGGCTGACCCCCGCCAGTAAGCTGCCATTCCTCATATTTTCCACCATACTGGGAGATCCACACACCCCTGCGCTGAGTTTCTTACAGGCTTTGTCATGCTCCCTGCATTAAGACAAAGAGAACGATTGCAATCAACCTTCCACCGCCTCGGATCACCTTTGGCTTCCCCCCAGCCACTACTTTTACCTCTTACTTTTAATCATAATTTCCTACGCTGATCGAAATTCTAGTTCGTACTACTATCGCTTCTTTCATGGCATCTCAAGCCGTCGACCAACACGCTGAGGGGGACGAACTGGTGGAGGTTAAGCCGGGAAATTCCCCAAAGCAAGATGAGCTGGCAGGTTCATCTGATGATGATAGTGATGATGATAGTGATGATGAACTGGAGGATTTTAGGGCAGTGATGGCAAGCATCAACATGGATCAAGTTGCCGTGCTTACCTCACAAACTCGAAAATCTATCCAGCCCGACAACCAAGCAGAAGCTTTTGTTGTGACCGAAATCGGCTCCCCGATGTTTGGCTCCTATAACTTGCTTTATCCAGTGATTTTTGGGGATGGGGTCCGGTGGCTCTTGAGAATTCCTGCGCACGGAACTCGGGATCAATTTGGTGAGGGCCATGCCGAGTCTCTGAGGTCGGAAGCCTTGATGATGCGTCTCATTCGCCGGGAAACAACCATCCCACTCCCTGAGGTCTTTGCCTTTGACAATTCATGTGAAAATCAAATCAACTGCCCATTCACTCTCATCAGCTATATTGAAGGGAAAAAGCTGAGCGATGTCTGGTTTGACAAGACTTCACCGAAAGACATTGTTCAAGCGCGGCGAACTCGATCCCTACAAGACATCGCCGCTTCCATGATTCAACTCGACAAATTCTCCTTTGACAAAGGAGGGTCATTGATATTCGACCAGCAAGATCAACTTTCTGACATTGGCGCCATAACCTTGGCGGATAGTGCTGCCATGATAAAAGGTCTGAAAGATGACGATCCAGATGAGTCGCCTATCTACAATGAAGTAGGACCCTTCTCGGATCCAAAGGAGTATTACACATGTCATCTGGATCTTCGTGGAGAGAAAGACGACAGTTTTGACACTGGCGCCATTCAGTTTATCCGAATGTTCTTTGACTCGATGAAAGAGCCGTGCGATGGGCGAAAGCCATTCGTCCTAGAACACTCAGACTTTGATATTCAAAATTTCATCGTGTCAGAAAATGGCGAGCTTCTGGGGATCATCGATTGGGATGGAGTGGGCTCTGTGCCCCGGACTTTGGGAAATGAAAGATACCCGGGCTGGTTGACTCGCGACTGGGATCCAGTGATGTATGGGTGGGATGAGGATATGGAGAAGGGAATCAAACCTGATGGCAGAGTCTGGGAGGACTCACCTGATGCTCTCAAGCTCTATCGATCCGTTTATGCGTCGGCTATGAGGTCCTATCAGCATAATGAGGCAGAACTTAACACTGCAACTGTCACCACCAACTCGCTCATCTACGAGAACTTGCTTATTGCTGCGTCTGCACCGATGTTCATGCCTACTATTGTGAAAAAGGTTTTTGAAGAGATTACTGCCACCGTGCAAGAGGATTTGCAGCAACAAGTGGAACTTGATATTGAAAGTGAGAATGGAGAAGAGGACGTCAAAGTCTTCTCAGTTCTCGAAGCGCTTGGTGCCACCGTGCAATCAGTTCGCGAAGCGCTTGGTGCCACCGTCCGATCAATTCTCAAAGCACTTGGTGCCACCGTGCAATCAGTTCTCAAAGCGCTTGGTGCCACCGTACAAGAGGAGCAACAAGCGGAACTTGATATTGAAATTGAAAATGGAGAAGAGGAATTCGAATTCTTCTCAGTTATCGATGCGCTTGGTGAGAATCGGCTCAGCGAGTATCATCAAAAGGTTTTGATGGACGGCATTCGAAAGCTTGTGGAGGGTAGTGCTCAACTATAGTGAACACCATGTTCTTTTACCCAGGAGCAGCATTCGATCTCTGTATTTCGTCATAGACCCGTCATGGGGACTCTTGTTTAGTGCAGTTCTTTTCAGTCTTCTTTCTCTCTTTCTTCATATATACATCTCTTCCTCCTCTCTTCCTCCTCTTTATACATATATCTCTTCTTGAGACAAAGATAGTCGATCTTTCTGAAGTTGGAACAGTGCCACCCAACATAGCCCGCAATATATTGAAAACCTACTCTCTTCCATTAGTGTTTACCCCTACTATTCAGGCAAAAATGACTTTTCTCGGCTTGTCTCACTTCGGCACGGGCGTCTCCATCACTCTTTTCAAGCCACAGAGACTGAAGGAGCATGAACTACCAATGGTAACGAGGGACCGGAAGACGGTCTAGATATGTCCCCCCAAGCGGAAGGCACCCACAGCAATCACATCATCTTCATCCTGAAGTCGTGGAACCATCAACCTTCTTTCGCGACTTCGACTTACTAGTAGATCGTCCATTCCATGATAGGATACTACGTTCAACCCTCCCGGGCACCTGGGCATGGTTGTAGCAGCTGTTTGTACGATCAATGCAACACATCCTGGCTAGGATTTCCTGACATTCGTACTACATAGGACGCCAGAGTAACAGAGGTTCTCAAACTTGTAGATTGCCTACTTAATTCTCAATTCCAGAACAGCTGCGGTGACACTTACATTTAGCTCTATTACTATGTCTATTCTACATCAATTTTCAGCTACCACCAGCTACGTCTTCTAAAGTTAGGGTTAAGGATGAATTACGATTTTCAATGCAAACAATTAGTTTACCTAGTACTGCTAAGTTTTCTTAAATAATCGAATGTTTGTATTAATAAATAAATAACTTTTTTAAAAAAGAAGAGAATTCCCTATTGCCATGTGTTATGCCAGACCGCCATCGCGCTCTTCCCTCTTCAATATCTACAAACAGGCAAACGGCAAACGGCAAACGGCAAACGGGGCTAGGATAAACCACACCCCTCAACAACACCAGAAAAGCGTCCGTCATCCGTCTATTCCACGCAAATCGATCCCCGGGATCGATCCACCCACCTTCAGTTTGGAGAGCCCGGCCAACCGTTACAAACCATTGACCCAAAGGGTCCACTCTTACCCGTCTTTTCGGCCAGAAAAAAAGCCCAAGACTGGCAATCAACCGCGTCGAATGGACCTCTCTTTCCATTCTCCACTCCACCTGTACGCCACCGGTGTCTTCCTTGCCCCGAACTACCCACAATCAAGCTTATTCAAGCCAAGACAACCTACCCGAAGCACCAGCCGCCGATTATGAACATCATTTGTAGGACTGATCGAGTGCCCTTCAGGGCATTCAGCCGAGCCAACTCGCTGAGCCAGAGAGAAAGCTGCCTTTCTTTTTGCATCCAACGAGTGCCTAAGGTCGCAGGTTCGAATCTCCGCCCGGGCGTCCTTTTTTGATCTTTAATCCAGGAGCATACATGTGACCTAGGAAACGCTTTCCCCTGATCAAACAACTATGCCGCATCGTTTCATTACTCACAAGTCGAAATCCACGACCCTGCAAGGCTCTCTCCACTCAGGTCGAAACTGGCCTTTATTCAGTACCCATGGCCTCCCTCGAGGCAGAGTAAGTATTCCCCAACACAAGAAGCTCAACATGAGCATGGTGGGTCGATGAGGGTAACACTGTAAAGCTAACTGCCACCAGCTTCCCCGCAGTTCGCGCCTGCATCTTCGACATGGACGGGCTTCTCATTAACACCGAAGACATAATCACTTTGTCCATTAACCAATTACTTGAGAAGTATGGAAGGCCTGCCTTCACTCAGTCGATTGGAGCTCAGCTCATGGGTGTTCCACGACTGGGCCAAGTTGCCCATCTCCCGCGAGCAATTTGCCCGTGAGTCGAAGGAAAAAATGCGGCTGCATTTCCCGAACTGCAAGCCACTGCCTGGCGCGGAAAAGTTCTTGTCTAACCTCAGTCTTGCACGTAGTGCTTCTGAGGATAGAATTGAGCTTGCATTGGCATCCAGTACGAAGACTTCTAGCTATGAATTGAAAGCTTCGGGGGCCGAAATAAAACATCTGCTTAGCTTCTTTCAGTCCGAAAGGATGGTACTGGGCGATGACCCACGAGTGCGACAGGGGCGAGGGAAGCCAGCGCCTGATATATTTTTGGTCGCATTGCAGGCACTGAACTCTACGATGGGCTCTGTGAAAACTGCCATCCGACCGAACGAATGCTTGGTCTTCGAAGATAGCGTGGCTGGGGTCGGGGCTGCGAGACGGGCTGGGATGAGAGTTGTTTGGGTACCGCATCCAGATGTTGCGTTTGAGTATCAAGATAGGCAAAAGGATGTGCTGGCCGGAAGGACGGGGATCTCCGAAGCCGGCGACAATTGGCAGCTTGGCGAGAATGAGGACGGTTGGGCTGAAACCATGTCGAGTCTGGAACACTTCGATTACAAGAAGCATGGCATCACCGTGCCGTCCAATCTTACTGATCCATCGATGGAATAGGTACCAATGGGCTCTGATGTTGATTTGATGATATATCGAAACAATTTCAACTAAAATGATATCACTCCCATACTATGGACACACGAGAAGCAGAATTATGAACGCATCAACGAGCCCAAAAAGCGACAATCTTGTCAAAGTCTTCTGTCGTCAAACTATTCACATCTCGATCCTCTTTCGTGATCTCTTTTCTCAAGCGACAGGCAACCTTAAGAACAATGGAAGCCTTTTGCATCTTTCCCATCTCCGCTAACAGTTTACCCTTGAGGAAGGTAGTGCGAGCAATCTCGTTCTGTGTGCACTGGGATCAACAGACCAGATGTCCAGCGCCCCATTGATCATCGCACTAAGAGAAGTCAGAGATCTTTGGATATTCGATTGCATATGGCAGCACTTACATTGCTTCATCGCTGCGATGTGTGCGGATTAGATGCTCGGCAATCTTATGGATCACATTGGCAGTGTAGAAATCTCTGTCGCCCACTGTCGCACGTATTTGCTGCCACGCCCTCTGGTGGTATTGGAAGCTCTCGTCCCATTGATTCTTCGCAGCACGGAGGTTGCCAAGTGCATACAGGATCAGTCCAGTCCGGACAGATTCCCTATCATCTGTGACGCGGCGGGCTTCAAAGGTCCATTCACTAAAAAAGACTAAAGCTAGGGGAAGAATGAGAAGAGAGACCTACTGAGAGGATTTGGGAGGGTTGGATGCCTACCCTTGACAGAACCCAGGACTGAAGTGGATCTCTCTATACATAGTTTGCATACAATGCAAACTCTGTGTGTATTTTACATAGTTAGATCACATGATTACTGCCCTGTACAAAACGGGCAGCGTCTAGTAATAATGCATCAGACTTTTCACACATATTTTGACGATCCCATACTTCGCTCTCATTGGCCACGATCGTACTGACTTCGTCAACCCTCCGATTCTCACAAGAGGCGAGGGATGATGGTGCCGTTCGGGGCGAACGGGAAGCCTAACCTGCAGGCCCCATTGGGTCACAAGTCAACACCTGCAGGTAAATGGACACGGGGCTGCACGAACTTGGCGGTAAGGAGATATTAAAAATAAGAAAAGAAGGGTACATAAATACTACGTGCCGGTGAGTCGGAATTGAATGGCCGTGCGGAGTATTACTTTTTTGGATTAGCATAATATGGAATAGACGTGTCATACCCCCATATTGCCTCAGTCTCATAGCTTTGTCGATCACAGATCGACCTCATCATGCGCTCTGACGAGATCTAACACTGCAACAACGTGACTTGGCTGTCCCCGGCAATTGGGCCCGTTTTCTGGAAATAACCGCACGGGCAACGGCAGCAGCCACGTCAAATGGGTGCGGATCGACGAGTTGACTAGCATTCAGCATCGCTCTTGTGGCACACACGTACTACCTACCCTCCTAAGCTCTCGTGCTTATCATTTTCGGTTTCATCGTCGGAGGCTACCCGTGTCATCTATTGCCATTTTATTCCACTTGAATGCTTGCACATATTTTAACGCAAATTGCAAGTTTTCCCGTCAACGGACCTTGTCTTCCATCTCATATAACATGGCCATTATCGACGTATCCAAATTTCTTTCCTACAAGTACGACTATATAATTGTCGGCGGGGGAACAGCGGGCCTCCTTGTCGCCGCCCGCCTCACTGAGAACCCAAACATCTGCGTGGGAGTCATTGAGGCTGGTGAATCCAAAGCAGGAGACACAAATATTGACTCCCCGGCTCAATTGGGGAACACACTCCACAACCCAGAATACGACTGGATGTATCACTCAACTCCACAAGTATGTGATGACTTGATATTTCCGACTTGGCAGAATGATTAACAAATACAACCAGGCCGGAACAAACTATAGAGTGCATCATGTGCCCCGCGGCAAGCTTCTTGGAGGCTCTAGCGGAATCAACTACATGGCATACTGTCGACCGGCGGCACAAGATATCGACCTGTGGGAGAATCTTGGAAACAAAGGGTGGTCATGGGCTGAACTTCAACCCTGCTACCTCAGAAGCGAGTCGATCGATGAGTCGGGCCAAGGCAAACCTGCTCAGAAGTCAGACATATACAATATCCACCCAGACTCGCATGGTCACTTAGGGCCTGTCAAAACTTCATTTCCATATCGCAGAGAACCTTATGAGGATCGCATGATTGATGCATTTGACGAGATCTCAGGAGTTTCTAGACCAGACGATCCTTGGAATGGAGCTCCTCTTGGACAATATGGCCGTCTATCAACAGTTGATCGAGAGCACGGACCATCCAGAAGTTATAGTGCATCTGCATTCCTTGCTCCAAATCTTAGACGCGAAAACTTGAAGATCTTGGAGTATGCAACAGCTTGCAAGATTATGCTCGACGTGGCGACTCTTACTGCGTACGGTGTTGAGCTACTTTGTGCTGGTGGTACCTACCAGGTATTTGCGAACGAGATCATTTTATCGGCGGGCTCAATCGGAAGTCCACAAATTTTGGAGCTCTCTGGCATTGGCGACCCGGAGATTCTCAGCAATAATGCAATTGAGTGCGTACTGGCTCTTCCGGAAGTGGGCAAGAATCTCCAAGAACACCCAATGACGTCTCTTACGTATGCGCTTGACATGAGCCGGTCTCCTCACAGTGATTTGCATCTATCCAACGAGTATCAAGAGTGTGAAACATCAGATGGAGAGAGCTTGATGGCATTTTTACCCTACCCGGGCTTGGTATCTCCCGCCGAATTGTCAGAAACAATCTCCCAGATTAGGGACTACACATGGCTAGCGGAGCCTGAGCGAGAAAGCATCATTTCGCGCCTGCAAGATCCCTCGTCCGGAGATGTGCAGTTTAATGGTACCGCCATGTATATTGATATTGAATCTGGACATGGAAACCAAAGCAAGCTCGTTCGCAATGTATCAGGGGACAAATATACTTACTACACCTACCTTGTCACCATCACAAACACAATGTCCCGAGGAAGTACCCATATCAAATCTGCCGATCCTCGCATGGCTCCTTCTATCGATCTTGGACTCTTGAACGCACCCACCGACGTGGACCTTCTGGCTGCGGGTCTGCAATTCGTGGACCGCGTGTTCTCGTCAAAGCATATCTCCGACCAGGTAGTTGAGCGCGTTGTTCCAAGGCCAGGGATTGATCTTGGAGATCGCAAACAAGCTCGTCAATTTGTTCGAAATTGGACGACTTCGTTCAATCATGCTCTTGGCACTTGTAGCATGGGTCGTGTTGTGGATGAACGTCTGCGAGTGAAGGGCTGTCATAGACTAAGGGTTGTTGATGCCAGCGTGATACCTACTATGATAAGTGGTAATGTGATGGCTACGGTGTATGCAGTTGCCGAGAAAGCCTCCGACATTCTTAAGGAAGATCTGGACTCTTCCCGCGTGGGTTGAGCTTGAAATCTCCTTGTGCTGATACTGCAGATACTGCACATTGCTTTGCCTGCCCTTGTTTATTGCGTTTCAAGTAGTCTTCAATTCATCTCGGCTTTCCTCTTTCCGTCATCACATTGTTGACTACGTATAACATATCTTTGGATGTGAAAATCCTCTATGTCTTATAGTGGATGCGCCGAGTTCCCGCAAAGTCTTTCGGCGGTGCGCACATGCACAAAGAGATGTTAGAAGATCTGATGAACACAAATGTTATGCTATGATAAGAGTTAAAAGAAGTGGGCTAGATTTCATTGAGCTAAACCAAATGTTTGTGTTGCCCATACTGCGGAGATTTATTTCAAGGATCTTTCATGTAAGCTCAAGTACCTGTTGGATCTAAAGAGATAGGCTGCTTTTTTAGCCAGATCTATTCCTCAACTAGCAATAAATGGCGACCTCCATCCGTGCTTACTGAAAGAAAGCACGCGACCGAGTTATCTCTAGCCCCGATCCCTCAACAAACGCCAGAGCACTTGGTTTCTGTGCTAAAACAGTGACTGTTTCGTTTCCAAATTCCACTGTAACAATCCGAGCAATAAATAAACCAAGGGCCTCCACACTACGGAAGGATGTTGTTTCGACGCGCTATAGCACGGCGTGATTATGATAGACCAATAGAGGGATGTAATGTGGGATCATTAGACATACCTCGACTACCTCCGATGTCAAGTTTTGATAAGTCTGGATGAATATTGATCCCCATTCGTGCAATGCAGGGCCGATGAACCTCAAAGAGATGTGAACCGCCTGCTTCTCAAGCCTTTCCCACGGGTTGATCCCCAAGACACAATAGCATCGAATGTCTTCAATCCTGAACTCTTCTTCTAGGACGGCTAGAAGTCTCTCACCGCCTGGGGACTCTCCTTTGATCATGGCCAATGCAGATTTGCTGCGATAATAGAGGCCTCCGTCCGCGCGAAGGATGGCCTTGGGAAGGCGAAGTTCTGTTTCAAACTCGCCAAAGTCTCCTCGAATTGCAGGGGATGGCTCGTTCAAGAAGGCTGACTATTAGAGATTCAGAATGAGTACTTGACATTAAAAATTCCGCTTGAGGATAAAACAAGGGGGATGAAAGGGGGATGAAAGAGATAGAATACGAACCGCCGTTTCTCCTAATAGCTCCATTCCGCATTTTGCAATCAGCCCTGCTACCAGTCTGATATCTTGTCCAAGTTCTCCGCACAGTTGCTGATGCATACTCTCTCCGTCTTCTCGTATGATGCCAGACTCACTAGCGATGTCCGAGACGTTATCCGCGGCCAAACCGCTTAACACTACGTTGATTCGCCGAACCAGCTTTCCATAGTCGATGGTCTTCGCTACATCATCTCCAACAGCTGAGGCGACGGATGATGCGTAGCCAAGTCTCAAAGATGCAGTGCATGGCTGTCGCTTTCCCGCGCGATGCCATGCCTCGGGGGCGACAGGCAACGGAAGCTGTATATTCCGCAGTTGTATGGTATCGGCGATAGTAGGCCGGGGCTCAATGGATACAGAATCAAAAGGATTACACATAGTTTCTTCAAAAAATTCAAAGACACTGGAGTGATCCGATAGTGTCCCAAGAGCTACAATAATCTACCACCGATGTGCCGAAGAATTTTAGAATCGAGAACCATATCAGGTATACGTCACTGAGTGGTACTGCGCCGAGATAATCTGCAAAAACACGCATCTATCACTCATACATCATATGATATCCAAAAGGTTGCATCGACCAAATCATCAAGTCCACCTTGATCTCGAAACAATAGCCCAACTTCGTATTACTTTGTATGAAAGGTTGTTTTGATTGTTTTGCGTATTTCAGTATTAACAGCTAGTGTATGCAGCGTAATGAAACAAAAGCGGAGGGACCAAAAGCAAACACTTTGACAGGGATGCAACTTCTCCTTTCGAGGCTTGGCAGGCAGGTGGCCACAAGCGGGAATATGAAATGTAAGTTACAGCACCAAGGCCGATTCAATTAATGTCGCCCCAAAACCATCAGTGCTGGCTTATTCTAAATAACTGGATTGCTACCTTCTGAACCTGAACTAAGCACACTCTAGCAGCGGTCTCGGCTAATTTCGCCACTCACGTCAAAATATGCAAATTGTTTGGAAGGACTCAAGTGATGAAGTCTCGTATGATCATGTCCGATTGAGCCGTGTGTTCAACTTGCATCAACCGGGGCACTTCCCGAGGGCTGTGATCGATGCCACCTCCGCGGAGGATATAGTGGCAGGCGTCAAACTAGCAATTCAACAAGATTGTCGAGTCGCTGTCCGTTCTGGTGGTCACTCTATCTTTACCTGGAGTCTCCATGATGATTCAATTCTCATAGACCTTGGCAATTGGAAAGATATTGTTGTGGCAGCAGATTCGAACATCGCTAGAGTTACGAGCAGTGTGACAGGCCAAGAGCTTAACACTCGTGTGCAGGCACATGGGCTAATGTTCCCAGCTGGTCATTGCCCAGATGTAGGGCTTGGCGGGTTCTTGCTTCAGGGTGGCCAAGGGTGGAATTGTCGAGTAAGTTGATTCTCAATCGTCGCGATGAGGAAGCAGGTGGCTAAAAATCATCAGAATTGGGGGTGGGCTTGTGAAATGGTTATCGCAGTTGAAGTGGTGACCGCGCAAGGCGAACAGTTATTATGCAACGAAACACAGAATGAAGAGTTGTATTGGGCCGCAAGAGGGTCAGGACCGCGTATGTATGAATGGGTAGTCTCCCTCGACTTTGCTAATGGTCATGTTCTTAAGTCTTCCCTGCCATCGTGACTAGGTTCCATCTAGAATTATTACCATATCCTGTTTGCGGGTTCTTTTCCTCCATCTACATTTATCCCTCCGCACTTTATCACCAAGCTTTCGAGTGGATCCAATCCATTGTGCCCGGAGCCGACGAGGATACTGAGATTGTCATGGTAGCATTTCACTTCGATTCCGAACCCGAAGTTTGCTTCAAAATACACTGTGTGACAATGAAATCAAACAGACAGGAAGCAGAACATGCGCTCCAGCAATTGCATCGAAGCCGGCCCTCTGGTACACTTGCAGAATGGGTATGCCAAGAGGAGAGTCTTGCTCATCTATATGAAGATCAGGCGACTGCAAACCCGGCTTCACACTACTACCACACGGACAATGTGTTTCTTGCAAATGAGGCAAACGTGACACGAGTACTCGCGGAGAGCTTTTTAAATTTGCCGCCTGGCAAGTCTTTCGCCTTCTGGTATCCCATGTACCCACGAAGTCGACGAGTAGTCTCCAATGTTGCATTGAGTGTGCCATCTGACCATTACTTTGCTGTGTACACCATCTCCGAAAGTGAAGAACAAGCCACCCAATCCAAGATATGGGTGGATGAGATAATGACAAGGCTCAAGGAGCATGCTCTGGGGTCGTACGTGGGTGATTGCGACTTGAAGTTGCCACATCGATGGTACTGGACAGACCAAATTGCGCAGCAAATTGAGGCTATTCGACAGAAGTGGGATCCAAGCTCTATATTTTGCGCTGGTCACCAGCATGATGGTACAGAATTGTGAAGATCAATAGCATTACCTCTTTAAACCAGACCTTTATGTCAGGTTTGGAAGAGTTAGGAGATAGAGAGCTCGAAATATATCATCGTTTTCTCGGTTCGCAAACTTCACGAGACCTGTATCCAGTAAAACAGGTAGAAAAAGACGATTGGGTAAGTATTCCAGGATCTTAAACAAAGACTCGAACAATGCCTGGACTGAGGAGGGTAGAAAAAATGTCCCAGCCGCCCAACTTAATTCACAAGCGAGGTTACAGTGATCACTGAATCCCAACCTGGGTCTCAGGCACCATAACAAATGAACCGAAGAAAAAGCCATCTTTTCCCCCTTCTCGGTCTGTGAAAAGAATCCTACACACAAGAGGAAAGCGATCAATGAAGAAATGAGTTGGTTGGCAGAGAGAGAGAGAGAGAGAGAGAGGGAGCTAGATGAAATAAGTGACTAAGCACTCACCGACACCTGGGCAGTCGGTCCCCTCCTGTCAGTGAGCCAAAGCTCAAACACAAACCAATACCCAAACACAAAAAATCCATTGACTCAAATCAACCCCAATTTTGTCTATCAAAACAATGTCGTTTTCTCTCGAAAAAGAAGAAAATCAGCTTCCAATTGCCCTCCATGCATACAATTCCAGAAAATTCAAAAGCTTCGACGCTGCAGCTACCTATTTCGGTGTTTCAAAGTGGAAGCTTCGAAATCGCAAAGATGGCAAGCCTCCTAAAAACGGGCGTATCTCCAGTAACAAAGTATTAAATGATGCGCAAGAAGAATCCCTGATTTGTTGGATCGAGCTCCTTAATTCAGTCTATTTATCCCCTACAGCATTTGACATTAAATATGCAGCAAATCGCATTTTAATGTATTGTGGTTCCGACTGGAAGGTAAGCAAAATGTACAGATATAATTTTATTCGATATTTACTATCCTATTTGATACTTGAACCCCAAAAGCCTATAATAAAAGCACAGATTGAAACCAAATCTTATAATGAATTGATTTTTTAGTAAAAGGTCTTAGACAATTTTCTCAAAAGAAACAAGATCCAAGCCAATGAATTATACAATTGGGACGAAATTGGATTCCAATTAGGGATTGAAGTTAAAGAGAATATTGTTTCTATTCGTCGAAATAAGACTATTGGAATTAGTGGGATTATGTAGTCAAAATATAATTGGGATTGAATATATCTTAGCAGATGGATGGGTCATGTATCCTTGCTCAAGTGGTTCTTAATTCGTGGTTCTGTATTAATGGATAATTGGTATGATAGTGATAATTATCCAGATTGTTATCGAGTCATCAAACCTACGATAAAAGGACAAACGGATAATATGACCACAATTCAATGGTTGTTGGATTTCTATTATGCGATAAGAACGTAAGTTACCAAAGGTAGACCAAGAGTATTGGCTATGGATAACCATAGATCTCATGGTACTCCAGAGTTTGAACATATTTGTTAATGCTTCAATATTCTATTTTATTGGTTTATTCCAATGATAATATATCAATGTAAATCTCTTAATGTCAAACTATTGTCAATTCTGAAATAGAAATTCCGTCGATTGAATAATGAGGTTGAACGTTGTAGACTTCAATCGGGCCGCGTGGGATGGAATCAAGTTTAGACTCAGAGACAGTAACAGCGGGCTCCGTGAGAATAGACATTTTGGGAATAAGTAAGGCCAATAGCAATACTCCAGAGGTGCAGGTCTCGGAAGTCGATTGCTGTCTATCGTTCGCTAGATATCAGGAATCTTCAAATAATACGTCCTCAGTCATAAGTTCTTCCCATTTCGTCAACTTGTAAATATGGTCCACGTTATCCCCCTGTTTTACTTGTTATTCCCCTCACACAACGCCTACGAGTAGTTACGCTTATGTTACGTAATAGTATTGCTCGCAATTCACATCTATCGCCGACCGAAAACATGCTAGGCATAATTTATGAGCACCTAGTCTCAAATTACACATATGAGCACAATTTACTTTGAAGTCACAGAGAGTGTGGAGGTTACATAACGAGAAATGCATGCTCACTAGGACGCATAGCCTAGACCAGACGGGGCCATCGGCGTCTGCTGAAAGTCTGGTTATTGAGCAAGCATTGTTGAAACTGAGGCATTTTAGAAATGCACCTGGTTGGGACAGCTGATCAGTAACATGGCAATGAAGATCTTTAGCAAATTCATCTCAAAATCTCGAGTCACATGGGTTGATCAAACAAGGCCACAGTGGAGACTCAGCTCTCAGCTTCTCGTGCCACGACCGTGGCAAATCGATTCTCCCGCTCAGGCCTGAATGCTTCGGTATCCACTTGTATGCCGAAAAGGCTGCTAGAATAAAAATATTATATCATTACACTATTCGCAATTATTCATGCGGCTATCCTAACATCCTTGCGTATCCTCGTGAGGATACACTTCCAAGCTTTCGACTAGTCAACTTGCAGCTGTACGGGCCAGACATCGATGGTCCAGTACTTTGATTAGGACCCAGACTAATGGACGTGATCTGCGAATATGACTCCAGATCAAAGCCCAGCGCCATAGGCGAATCGGTAATATGCTAAGGACCATCGTTCGAAGCGCCGATCCTGAGCCACGCGTCCTGCATGGGATCAACCAACATACAAAGCGTATGTTTTCAGCTAGCGAGACGTTGACAGTATGGATTGCACGTAACACGTCATGTGCGGTAAAGGATGACGACCGGTCCAGGATCAATACATCTGGTGCTTGTTTTGGTGCTCGTGCACATTTGGGACAACTAGCAATATCATCGTGGCTCTCTGAATTAAGAGAACATGCATACCAAGAGCCAAGGTGATGTAACGCGACCAGGTTGTTTGGGAAGAATGCAAATTGATTTTGGAAATAATATCCACCGTCGCGGAAGGACCTCAGCACAAAACACAAACAGAATTTGCTGGTTTCAGTATATGTGGTTTTGAGTCCGCCTTTTACAAAGATATCACATCCGAGAATTCGCACATTGCCTGTTCAGCAGCGAGGAATCCTATCATGGATAATCAAGCCGAAACCATGTTGATGAAATCGCCAAATCCTATGAGGCGACCTTCGGGCATGATTTAAGTCTTTATCGAGTTATTGATGAAACCTTGAAACGAACTGAGCCCAATTCTCGGAACCATTCCAAGCCATATCCTCTTCCCAGAAATGGCGGCCGATGACCAACCTGGGGAATGGGTTGATCAGAAGTCCATGTATTTCTGTTGGGATCTGCTTGGCGACCCTGTTTAGGATGACAGGGCTTGTTTGCCTCCATAGAGTAGATAGACTTCTCTCTCTCCTCTCTCTCCTTCTTTTCCCCGCCCCTTTTGGTATGAATACATCTGGATTCATCATTTTTCTGCTTCCATACGTATTCTATCAATTTCATGGGTCATGACTTCTGTGGGTCTGCGTATTGAGATGGAAGTTCGTTCCAACCCTCGTTTGTTGTAGATAAACCCCCCTTCCATAGGCTTTCTCTTCTCTCTCTCTCTCTCTCTCCCTAGTCAGTCAATTCAATTGGTTCCTCTTCCTTTCTCTCGCGGTGCTCTCTCAATACTGCATCGACTGTCTCTGGGTGGCAAAAGCTTCTGAAGGAAGCTGTATTCGAGGTGGAAATTGAATTCTCATGCCATTTCTCTCCTCCAGATTCTGCGGCCCACAAGAGTGACCCTGATCATCACTATTTCATTACCCAGCGAGGAACTAAACATCCACTGCTAGGGCGTTTCCTTCTGTCAGATCTGCGTTCTGGTCCGTATAAGGCAGGGGTAAAAGCGCAGCAGTCTCTCCAGAATCGCTCAAGTGGCTTGTTGATTGAAACTCTCAATAATACACCCCAAGTATCTGAGCGGATCTTGTGTATTGGATGTGGAAGTGAAGGTGAGCGAACACCTTTCCGATATTATTCGTTGCTAGAAACTTCGTTAATGCTGAATATCTTTCCAGAGCTCCGCAAGGCCAATGAAGGACGAGCTGGTTTCCATATTGGAGCCATCGAAAATGGGCGATTGTCAGCTCCAGTCGGACTCTTCGATGCAGTCGTAGTCATCTCAGTTCTTGAAAATGCGGAGGATGTCGAAGATCTCCTTCTTAGTCTTACAGATTTTGTTGATAGAGAAGTCCATCTCGCAAAGGTCATTGTGGTTCAAGGGGCACCGGATAACGAGGCCGACAATCTCGCGAGTCAATCTTATGCCGCCTTCAATCCCGCAAGGCAAATAGTAAACCACCAAGGCGTCCTTCTGGACCGGGCGCAACATTCGTTGAAAGACGCTGGGTTTGATCCTATATCCTTGCAAAGAGTGGGCGAGACATACTCTTTCCCCGGCAGTGACGTTTCTGTGATCAGTGTGGAGGCTGCCGAGGGACTCGCAGGTATATGGTATGTTGACGAGGAGAGTATCCAAGTCCTCAAAGACCATTTGATTCCCATACTTGAGCATCACTTCACGGATTGCCCAAACGAGATTGGGAATGAGCTCGCTATCCTTACTGCTCTATCTTCGTAAGCATTGGGTCGAAGGACGCTCCGAATCAATATCTGACCCTGTTTTCGGGTAACTTCTATATGGTACATACAAAATGCCATCAGTTTACAAGAAAGAATTTAGCAAAGGGGAAATGAAATTGCAAAATTCACATTATACAATGTGACGCCCTGATTATCGGACGATATTAACAACGGATGTTTTTGAAGGGCTACATGATAGGTGTCGTGAGGATCAAGCCTGACTTTGATACGTTGGTAGACCCTCTACGCTCTCCTCTCTACTCTCGCTCTCGCTCTCGGAGATAACAGTCGGACATTATCTGAAATTCAACTACTCTTTAGTGGCATATTTTGTAGCGTCATTTTGAGCTGTAATACGAACACTGATATCTGTTGAGAGAGAAAGGAGACTGAACCGAGAATTGATTGCGAGAGAGAGAAGAAGAAGGAAGAGAGGGAAGCTAAGAGGCTGAGCTATCTACTACTTGGGGTTGGGCGAACACCTTCCACAACAATATCTTCGTTGCAAAGTAAGCAAATTCCCCAGATCAAATTCCTCTGTGTCCTACCTATTTTCTCACAGGCTTTGCCACCAACACGGCGACCTGGTCTCCAATAGCATGAGGGCGGTCCTTGAAATTAAACATGATACGTGGTATAAGAGCCTGCTTCATGGTATCAAAGTTCTCATCCTCAAGACACCATAGTCCCGCGATTACGTTGGCCGCTGTTTCGCAACGCTCAGAGGGATCCTTTTCCAAGAATTCACAGTATGCGTCCACTCGATGGAAAGAGATATCTCCAAAGCCACACTTGGTGAATATCTCAAATGCTTTATGGAGAAGATACCCCTGGTGATTCGGGAGTTGATTTGAAGCACTCGCCGCGGCGCAGACAGTGTTCATCAAGTCAATTATCTCATTGTCTGGGGCTCCTTGAACGATCACGATGCAAGCATTTGGATCAGTCGGGTTAACCACTCTAACCAGTTCTCGCAAAGAGCCCTCCAGGTCTTCGACGTAGTGCATTACCCACATGGCCACTACAGCATCGAAGAATCCATCTGAATAGGGAATCTTTTCAGCGGAACCCTTTCCGATCTCTACACCACGATCCCGCGCAATGGCTGTTTGGATGGAATTGCGATCGGCGTTTGGCTCAATTGAGTATGCTTTTCCTGTTCTCGCCGCGATTTCGATAGGCAGTCCTGGATCCCATAAGTCAGTCATTGAAAACGCAATGGGGACCGAGTATATACATACTCCCATACCCGCTGCCGACATCCAATACCTTTTCGCTCTTTTCCAAAACCTTCAGCACAAAGTCAAATTCATCGCGTACGAGACGTTTCGCAAAAGGTTTCCAAGCAGCTTCGCTGAGAGGAATCGGGCCACGATAGGATGTAGGTAGAGGATAGGGTCCCATAATAGCATGGTCCTCCACCTTGCGGAATTTCAAAAAGGAGTGTTTCTCGAGAGGCTGCTCCGAATCAGTTTGCACAGGGAAAGATGTCTCACTGGCAAACTCCAGACCGGCCTTTTGACATAAAGTGACCCATCCATTGCGAGAGTACAAAGTGGAACGGATGGAGGTACCGTTGAACATCAAGGGATAATCTCGAGTGCAATCGTCCACACATTCATGGCAGAGAGTCGTGACAAGATCATCAGTGAGAGAGGTAGCAAGCACAATGGAGCCACCCGGCTTCAACCAGCCTGACATACGAAAAACCAACGAAGTAATCTGTGCTCGACTCAGTCGATATAGAGAGAATATCGCAAAGATGGTATCAAAATGAAGGTTGGGCTGATACTCGGTCTCATCAACTGCCTCAAAATTTCCTGTAACTAGCTTTCTGATAGAATCGATGGATGCTTGGGACTGGTCAATCCCATAGACCTCATGGCCGGCGGACGAAGCTTGGAGGATCAGGGGGGAGGATGCCTCACAGCCCACGTAAAGGACTTTGGATTTTGAATGGACGTCTGAGAGGACACTCCCGATCAGCTTGGTTGTCTCATGGTTCAGCAGTATTCCCAGTGGGTCATGCTTGGATTCTGCATAAGAGCCCATGTTTCAAGCTTTGAGGAAAGAGAAAACAATGATCCCTCTGTAATTGGGAACGTGGGGTCTGCTTTCATTCAAAAGTGTCGTATTATGGATATGTATATTGGCTCGGCAGACTTTCTAATAACTCTACAATATTTCTGAATGAACCATGGTAGTCCTTGCTCCTGGCCCCCACACGCCAATTCATCTTGAGCAGATCAGATGCACGATGCACTGTAACATAAATGAGAGGATTATCACACGGCACAAAGCTTAGAGGTTCGTATGATAGTATTATATGTAGGCTCCCATGCATCGGATATATATCCTGTTGAGGTTATGATCCGCGGATATGATCTGTGACTGCAGTAACAGCTTCCTGCTGGCTCACCGCTAACCACAATCAACACCATAAGGCATGACACAATTAATGCCAAAGTTGGAGCAAGAGCTCTTGCTGCTTCAATTCATCATCCATCCTCTTGATGTTCCATTTTCTTTCCTCTTTCTTTTATTTCGCGGAGATCATTACGTACATGCGTTCTAAAGGGGTGAACTAGTACCATTCATGCAAAGTAGATGGTTTTGTTTCCTGGCCCAGGTCAGGATACACGGACTCGCATGGTATCTATGTCTCTTATGGCAACCTCTCGAGCCCACTTGAGCAGATAACCTGATTCCATCCTTGTTTGCCCCTCGGCTTCCTCTCAACACACCTTTATCCAAAAAGAATTCATTCGTCAGCATGGGATCGACTTTGAAAGAACCAGGCTCCATTGGCGATTTCAAGTCGACCGAGTGCCTGGCAGTTAACGAGGATGCAAAGCAAGAACCAACCCCACTTTCAAATCACACCACATCAGTGGAGAGAGCCATCACCATCAACGGTAAACACGCTCCAAATGGGAATGGAACCTTGGGTTTGCAGGATTTGGTGGAAATGTCCTCGCAAGCCGACTCTAAACAGGATCCTACCACCACCCCCGAATGTACGATAAGTACCCTGATCTTTCCATCAGTAAGCTACGGGTCTAATTCTGGTTCCATTCTACAGGCTCCGTTGTATCCAAGTCTTTGTGCCACGAAGCATCGCAAAACGAAGCCCGGATTGCCACAGCAGTGCACACAATCCTCGATTGTCTCGGAGAGGATCCAAACCGAGATGGCCTTTTAAAGACACCCAACCGTTTTGCGAAGGCAATGCTATTCTTCACACAAGGCTACCATCTCAACTTAGTGGATGTGATCAATGAAGCCGTCTTCGAGGTGGATCATAACGAGCTAGTCCTTGTCAAGGGCATTGAAGTCTCCAGTTTGTGCGAGCATCATCTCGTGCCATTTGTGGGAAAGGTATGTAGAATCCTGACCATGATAACGCTGCTGACAAGCTGGCTTCTAGATCCACATTGGCTACATCCCTCGTGGTCGTGTTATCGGCCTGTCTAAGCTTGCTCGAATTGCTGAGATATATGCTCGGCGTCTACAAGTTCAAGAACGACTCACCCAACAGGTGGCACAGGCCATCGATGAGGTCCTCAAGCCTGAAGGTGTCGCAGTTGTTGCGGAGTTTACTCATATGTGTATGGCTATGAGAGGTGTGCAAAAGCCAGGTGCAGTTACGGTCACTCACTGTAAGACTGGGGTTTTCAAGGATAACTGGAGGCTCGATGACCGCTTTCATTCTTTGTTGAATATGGGATCGCGGTGAACAGATGCTGGCATGAGCTACAAAAAATTCGGGCAATTCATAATACTTGTTTGTGATTTGGCTTTGACGTGCTACTAGCTATCCAACAAATCTTATACTTTTACTGAAACAATATGTTATCTACTTCTAAAGTTTCGAGCGCACAATTCCTTGTGATTCTGGATTTTCGGTAAGATTTCAATTTAAATAATGAGCATATCAGAAAACCAGATCAATGTCTCATCACCAACGACCTGCAATTAGATGGTGTGGGAGCTCACAATGGGGTCTTGAAATGAAGATGCACATGTGTTCGATATCCATTCCCTGTTGAAGCCTTGAGATCTGCACGCGGAATGCCCAACAGTATAGTGCTGATCCCAGACCTTTCACGATCCGCTCATCCGAAAACACCGAGATAGTGTAACATGAGTAGATCAGGCTGGAATATTCAATCCCGATTAACTGGCAATTGACGTACCTAAAATTTCGAATGACCTCCCCTTGTGAGTTTGTTCACTTCATTGCTTTTAAATACCTTTGCGCTGCATGACCAAAAGCCCAAGTCGATAGGTATATAACCGAGTTCCAATGAGATCTATTGATTTGCTTTCGCGTAATATTGCATGGTACGGTCATTATTACTGTCATTAAACTACTTGCCTGTTTTGGCTCCGTAATAGAACTCGCATGTATCTAGTATTGATGTAATAGAATTGAAAGATTGACAAGGCGTTTCGCTCTAGATCCTCTGCAGGGTGTGCATACAATAGTTTGCATTAGTTTCAGCGGTCTGGGTAGATGTGGCCGAGTGGTGTCGTTGGGGTTATGGGAGGATCCTTGTTGCATATATGCACCATGTACTGAGATCGCAGGCAAAAGCTGAATAAGCTTAGCTTGGCTAGCCTTGTGGGGAGGCCGTATTATCAGTATGTACCTTGGAGGGGATGTTGATCTCCTAGTTTACACCCAGGAGGCATAACAAGCTGCGAAAAGCTAAAGCCCAAAGCCCGGTATTTGACATGCACGCCAAGAATCTGCTTCGCAACAGTCCCAGCTTACGTATGCAAATAATTGCCCAAAACTCTGCCGGGTTTCATGCAACAAAGTCCTCTCACATCATAGTATCGGCTACGCAGTATGACGTGAAAGATTACGTAGATTAGATTCTTCCCCATGACTGTGTAGCGCGGCTACCAATATAGATTTTGAATCTACAAGTCCGTTCAAAGTCCCCCATTCCATCGATCCAGACATTGTCCACGATTTTCGAAAATGGGCTCCATCGCACTTGACACTCCCGAGGTTCTACAAAAACTAGATACCCGCTTGTTCATTAATGGCAAGGTATCGATGTTCCTGGACATCAAAACGTGCTCTGTCTAATTTGAAGCCACTTTTGACGCTGACTTATACAACCAGTTTCAATCATCCAAAGATGGGAAGCAATTTGAGGTCATAAATCCGTATACTCAAAAATTAGCAGCCTTAGGTCGATCTACTTTGAGTTCCCGCTTGTGATAGTCCTTGCTAAGTGCCTTTCAGTTCACGAAGCGAGCGAAGACGACGCAAACGATGCTGTCTCCGCAGCCAGAGACGCGTTTCCCGCCTGGAGGGATCTTAGTCCAACCGAAAGAGGGGTCTATCTTCGCCGGCTTTCAGAGCTCATCCGTCCATGTCACAAAGAGCTGGCTTATCTTGATACTGCAAATACCGGAAGGCCTGTTAGCCAGTTTTTTCTATCAGAGCTTGCCGCAAACTTTTTGCGATACTTTGCAGAACGAGGCTGGTCCGCGCAAGGGACTTCGAGTTTCAACACTCCGAATCACCTGAACATCTCAGTCAAGCAGCCATACGGGGTGACGGTCTGTGTAGCCCATTCAAATCTTCCACTGCTTACCCTGGCATACGATGTTGGTCCTGCGTTGATTGCGGGGAACACTGTTGTTCTCAAAAGTAGCGAAAGAGCGCCTTTGTCGGTATATTAGCCTTTCCTTCACTTTTTGTTTTGACGATGAGCCGCTGACACCCTGAAGCTAGCATACATCTCAGCCCTCGTGGAAAAGGCAAACTTTCCCCCTGGAGTGTTGAACATTATCTCAGGAGCGCCTTCCGGGCCTTGTCTAGCATCTCACATGGATGTTCGCTGTCTGAGCCATGTGAGCGCGGTTCCAGTTGCGCAGAAAGTCTTGACTGCAGCAATAACATCAAATATGAAGCATGTCCGGACCCATCTGTCTGCAAAATCTCCAGCGCTTGTATTTGCAGATGCAGACCTAGATTCTGCTGCAAAACAGGCTGCTGTCAGTATTGGAATCCTGAATGGAATGAGCTGCTATTCAAACTCTCGTATTTACGTGGAGGAGAGCGTTGCGGAAGAGTTCGAAGCTCTCTTCCGGGAGAAATATAGCAATGCCACCCTCGGGGATCCTCTTGACCCAGATACATTCATCGGTCCTCAACGAGATGAGCAGCATTATGAGCGGGTGAAGTCATTTATTGAGCTGGGACAGAAGCATGGAACATTGACAGCTGGCGGTGATGATGGTAATGGATTATTTATCAAGCCCACCATCATTGAGAACATCCCAGAAGACTCGCCGGTTGTTCAAGAAGAGATCTTTGGACCTGTTGTAATTATCAACACTTTCAAGAATGAGTCTGACGCTGTGGAGAAGGCCAATAACACACGATTCGGTCTTTATGCATCCGCTTTTACCAAAAACTTTGACCGAATTCTCCGACTTTCGAAAATACTCGACGCAGGAACCGTCTGCATCAACTGTACAAGCCCTACCATGGCTGATGATATGCCATTTGGTGGGCACAAGATGAGCGGGCGTGGGTCTGGAGGATTGCTGGATAGCATGGAAGACTTCCTCGAGACGAAGACTATCCTTATGAAAGGAAATCCCCTCTCGCTCGCAGGATGAGATTTTGATATTCGCTCCTTCAATTACTTGTTTATACGCTTGAGTTTTTTTTTCAAAACCTGGACTTCTCTTGTTGGGACATAAGAGAGGGCTTGGAGTAGAAGGGCGACTACCGTGTGCACAAATTGTGCTGTAGTTTGAGCTATGTAGTCTATGTGGCGAGAGAGTACGTAGATAGTTGTGACTTGTGCAATTTTCACTGTACAATGATATAGGGCTATTTCAGCCTATAGCTAGCTGTCTTCATCTGCTGAATGGTCTAGCACCAGTCTATCAAGTAGTGAATGCAACATTGATCATGCAAGTGCCAGGGTGAAAGAGTCAACTCAAAAGGGTGAAGCAAATAGTCGGAAAGTGTTTGGCCATCTTCCGTCTTGGTAGCTACGGCCCAATCCCAGACCGCCTTTCAATACTGCCAGTAACAACGCGTCACTTGATGACCTGTATTAAGGACATGAGGACATAAACATAAATATGAACCCTGGCTGGAGACTCCCACGCCTATTCTCCCAACTCACGATACTTAATCGACGTAATCAAAACATACGATGCCGATTTCCATTCATACCAAAAACCAGCCATCACAGCAGAGTCTCTCCATCAGCATCCCTATTTCGATGCCTTCACGCCATGGCTGGCTTGTCAGATGTACCAATAGAAGATATATACCATCCCGAAGCAGACGTTGAATCTCTCGAGGACTATCTGCCTGGCGGGCTCCACCCAACCATTATCGGAAACACCTTTTCTAATGGCCGCTACACTGTCGTTCACAAACTTGGGTTCGGTGGATATTCAACAATTTGGCTCGCCTGGGATAAGCAACGCCGGCGCTATGTATCGCTGAAGATACTGACTGCGCGAGCTTCGCCAGATAGCCACGAGGGTGATGTCCTTCATTACCTGATGAAGAGTACCCTTTCTCATGCTGGAAAGCGATTTATTCCGCCGCTGCTTGACCAATTCTGCTTCCATGGTCCTAATGGATATCATCAATGCTTAGTCGGAGAGCCTGCTGGTGTTAATGTTGCTAAGTCTAAGGAGAACAGCACAAACTACATGTTTCCACTGGACGCTGCTAGATCTACTGCCGCCCAGCTCCTCTTGGGGCTGTCCTATTTGCATGCAAACGGCATCTGCCACGGAGGTAAGGACAATTATGCTGTGTGTCTTGGTTTCATGATTCTGCATACTAATCATAGGCAGATCTCCATTTGCGCAACTTTCTCTTACGCATACCAAACTTGGATGGCCTAAGCATACCTGAGCTATACCAGCGCTTTGGTAAACCTGACGAGGTTCCCATCCTACGAGTGGATGGAAAGCCTGGTGAACCCCACGCACCGCCGCATGCTATCTATCCTATGAGTGTGACTATACCTGCCAACGAAGTGGATGACCCCGAGATCATTATTTCGGACTACGGGACGTCCTTTATTATGTCACAGACACCCTCACCGACTCTCTACACCCCAGCTCTCTACTCTCCACCAGAAGACTTTTTTAATGAACCCATCACTCAACCCACCGCAGCTGATATATGGACTTTAGGTGTCGGCTTGTACGAGGTCTTGGGCGAGCGTCCACTGTTCGAAACATTTGCCTGGGATCGAGATGACATTTTCGCCGAGATTATCAGTACACTGGGCCAACCGCCTGTGAGATGGTGGGAGTCTTGGGCTAAACGCTCCGAATTCTTCGAGGAGGATGGGTCATGGGTTGCTGACTTCCGCCGTATCAGTACCCCCGTCTTCCGCCGTCTGCATCAGCGGCTCTGGGATATGGGCCGTGGCGAGACGGAACTGACGTGTGAATGGGACGTTCCGGGTGGTGAACTACGTGCGTTGGAAGATATGCTTAGAGCTATGATGGCGTTTGAACCGGCGGAACGACCCACAGCAGACCAACTCCTGAGATCAGAGTATATGATAAAGTGGGCTTTGCCCGCGTGGGAGAGGTAAAGAAAGCAGAAAAGCGCAGACCTATAACGGAGAATAGAGGTTTTTTCAAACTGTAATGAAAACGTTGTATTAAAAAAAATTGTTGCCCGGCCGCCCGTAGGCTTGGTCTACTTAATGGCCCCCTATATATAGTTGGACCGCACGGACTTCAGGAGCACCCCGGGCAGATCATCTGACCCGTGCGTCACCTGACTCGTGGGCCTTGGTGCTGTCGCGCTCTCATGTCCACCTCCTTGCATTGCTCATCTGGTACTTAAGTATTCCTCTAAAATATTCTTCCTCACAAAACAATTTACTAATGCAGCATGGTACTCCAGTCCATCCTTTCCCTTTTCAAAGTCCCCTCGACTTCATTGTCGTTTCAGATACTTTCTGACCTTCATCTGGAAGTCAACCAGCAATACTCCTCGTTTGAAATACCTAGATCATCAAAATATCTCGTACTAGCCGGCGATATCGGACGTCTACAAGATTACAATGAATATCTTGGCTTCCTTCAGAAGCAAACCAGCAAGTTCGAAATGGTGTTCCTTGTTCTCGGGAATCATGAATTTTACAACGAATCGTTTGAGTCTGGGGTTGAGAAAGCAAAACGACTTGAGCAAGAGCCCAGTTTGAATAGGAGGCTCATATTACTCGATAAACGTCGATATGATCTCCCTAACACACGCCTGTCGATACTTGGTTGCACACTGTGGTCATGCATACCGCCTGAAGCAACGGAAATTGTCGAATCCAAGATTTCGGATTTCAAGAAAATTGATGGTTGGACAATCAACAAGCATAATGCCACTCACGAATCCGACCTATGCTGGCTCCAACATGAAATGCACAATATCCACCAAGAGAATAAGAATGTCCCCAAAACAGATGCCCGATCTATTGCAGTCGTAACCCACCATGCGCCCTCTCTGCACCGAACTTCGAGTCCACAGAACTCCCACAATCCCTGGAGCGCCGCTTTTGGAACAGATCTATTATCGTTGCGGTGGGACAACGTTAAATTGTGGATATTTGGACATACACATTACACAACAGAGTTCAAAGAGAATGGCATCAGAGTTGTGAGTAACCAGAGGGGCTATGTTCTCCCTTGGAGCAAATCCACAGATGATTTTGACTCGCGGAAGGTGGTTCGAGTGTGAACATATTTTAAGCTGATAATCATACAAATCCACTTTTACTGACTGATGTTTACCTTTTCACTTTTCCGGAGAAATATTCGGAGAAAGATTTATTCAAGAGCCCCATTGGTATATTGAAATCTATTAATAATACAAATGATGCCCTTACTAAGAGCCATCAAACCACCTGAAAGCAGACTGTATCTTCCCCTGAGTAGAGCCACCAATTGATTCTCTCTGAAGGTACTCCCTTAGCAACAATGCCGTTTCTATCCCATTTCCCTGGCCGATGAGGTCGAGCAAATCCGTGATCTAAATTCTAGTTATGCTATGAGCTCCCTTCACAGCAATGGCAATAAGAAGTGGGAGGAGAAGTGTAAATCCGGCATGGACTCCAACCGAAGATGTGTGATTTGCCTCCTGGTTTGAGTCCATAGTTTCTCCAACATTATACCAGACTTGATGTCACTCACAAGCACCAACTCGCAAAATTGACTGCTGGGCTGATTTATTCAAGGGCCAATACCTTCCGTCTCAGCGTCAGCATATACCTGTACATCGTCACAGAGCCTACTGCTGATTAGCTTAGCCTCGAGAAGGGACAAATAGTGCAAAACTAACCCTGCGGATAGAGTCCCAAGAAATCGAAGTAAAACATATTGGCCACAGGCCCGTGTACCACGGTAGTGGCCACCAGAGATGTCAGAGGAGATTAAACTCAGAGTGATGGTTGAGAAGAGAATTCGCGCCCAGAGAAGGGCACAGATGGTGTTATAGGCGAGGAGATATAGTCTGATGGGCTCAGATGACTCTGCATTCATTTTTATTACAAGGGTTCTTGGCGCAGTGTTGCTCAAAGGTATGTGCCAGGTTTTCTTGTGTAGGTGCTTCCTCTGGGCTCTGGGGGCCAAATATGGCGGTCGAAATCCTGGCCCCAATCCATAAGTAAGACCTCGCCAGATGACATCATCAGATCGTCGTGTTTAGCGCCGCAATGCTGGTTTTCAACTGCGTGATTGATACTGGTATGTTCGCGACTCTGAGCACAATTCTCCAGCTCTGTGGTCGTGTCGGTCTCTCACTTTTCATGTGGGCTGTCGGCACTCTGACTGCATGGGTAGGAACGGTCGTGTATTCTTCAACTAGGGAAAGGATTTGACTCGGAATACTGCTTGAGCGATGGTTCATAGATTGATTGGTTGGGGAAAGAGAGAGAAGACTAGACTACTAGATCTGACTACTAGAATGGGAGAATGTGCAAACGTTGCAAACATGCATGTTTAAAGGGGAACGTATATTCGTAGCTAAGTGAATAGAGTGGAACAAGTAATACCTTCTGTATGGAGACTTCCGTCTAACCGTGAGATCATCTTGTTGAACCTAATTTTGAGCAGCACGGCACGCTGCTACTATGTACTCGTAGCTAAATGAGCCGAACTGGGACCCACTCTTTTGTCCCCATACAAACTTAAAATCTATCCTTCTCTATTTCTGCTTTTGTAGATAAGTGATACTATACCTAGTTGCGAGGTAAAAGAGATTTAAAAATATATCCTGAGCCATTGGGTGAAGTTTTTTGGATCATACTTAAGTAGAATTGAGAAACGGACCGAAAAATGGCGCTAGGGGCTATCTATGGGCTATCTCCAGGTGGTAGTATTCCCCGACATAATGTTTGATTGAAAGCCGTCATGTGTTCCGGGCGGTGGGTTTCCCCCGTGGGATCTCAAGTGTCATCTTTTCCTAACTTCCACCCGACTCCTATCCCTCATCGCTCTACAATGATGCTCTCCAAGTCGGTATTTTCGCGCAAGATGTCCATCATCTCTGCGACCAAACGAGGTCCGCGCTTTATCTCATCTCCGTCGGTGCACACTAGTTTCCCGGCCACAATGTATCGATTCCAACTCCGGCGTGAATCATCACTCTTCCACAACAAGATTAAGAACGGTGGCTTTTTTCGAGACGGTGTAGAGATTGCAGATGATGGTCTGGTTTACCTAAGACTCTCCAGTACTCAAAACTGTTCGCAGGCATCTATCATTACACCACCCGCTCAGTTCTAATACCTTCATACAGTTTCAAATGGTCCGATCTTCAGACCTAATACCTGCTTGATGCAAGAACTTCTTCGAAGCGACTATGATCTCTGTGAGGAACAAGCAGAAATGAGTGGAGACATTGTACATCCAATTGTGGTTTGTATAAAAAAAGGTACTAGTATCTACCCCGACTTATCTTCATCTTAAGCTAATCTTTTCCAGGCACAACAATACCTACTTCCCTGCAACTGTTTCAAGAACGGATATCTAGATTTTCACTTCAGCCATCACATCCAATGACGTTGAGGGGTATGTTTTTCAAGTTTCAACTACAAGAATTGTTAGCTGACAATTAGTCTCAGATTTGAATGACACTCTGTGTGAATTTTACTCCAACCATGCTTTGATCACTGATGCAGTGGAATGGATGGAGTGTAACGAGTTCCATAACGCATATGCAGATAACGCCACAGAGGATTGGTTGCAATATTAGAATTCAGTCAACAACAACAACAAGGTTTCTGTCTAAACAAACTTAAATTGGGAGGTTCCAATGTTTTGCTTTCATCAAAAAATTGACGGGGGATTTCTGAAAGCCAGTCGAGACTCACTCTTCGCTCCCAAAGGTTAAGGAGTCGAAGTTGCTCTTGTTCAATTCTATCCTGCAGACCGAGCAAACCCTCAAGGCCACCATGGGCAATGTCATCCAGCCATGAATCGATGTGACCCGTTTTCCACTCATCATCGCAATTGTGAACCACGAACTCGAAGTCTCGTTTGCCGACGCTCTCGTTGAAGACTGTCACCCATTCTGCATCCAGAAGTTTCATCTCTTCAATGAAGACATCTCGTAATAGCGTGGCTTGATACTCCCAAAGATCTTCTAAATAGAGACGAGGGGGGTCGCCATTAGTGTGATCATCAGGGCCACCACTGTAATAACGGCTGCGATCAGGCTCTGATCGACGGGGGCGCCCTTTTAGAAATTGAGGATAATCACAGCTCTTCCACAAAGGTAATGCTGAAACACACTCCCAGTCTATAACTGCAGTCAAATTTCCGCTTTCATCGACGAGGATATTGTGTCTCGAAAGGTCATCATGTGATAGGACCGACGGTTCCATGACTGATGGTTCCGAGAATCCCGAATCACTAGTCGTTGGAAAAAACAGAGGAAGAATTGATTTGAGCCTTTCGATTCTTTTGAGCGCGCTTCTAGCATCTTCCACTTCGTTTTCATCATCGCTATCAAGGTCTTCGGTATCTTTGGCTGAATTTCGCTCCAGAATTGACTGACAGTCATTTTCGTTTAGGGCGAGACGAGCTAGTAGCCAATCTTGACTTGATTGAAATGGGCCTCGGAAAACATTCTGGTGGATATGGGAGCCCCAGAAGAACTGCATAGAGACAATTCGACCCACATCATAAGAGCTGCCGCTAGAATCATTGGAGACGGGATCCAAGGACGAGGCACTCTCAGCTAACCTAGCTGTTTTTGCTGGATCGAGACTTTCAGTAGGGCTTGTTTGTTCGGCCGATTGCGATTGTTCAAGTGCAGATGATTTTCTGTGGATATTTCCAATTCCTTGTAGCTGGTTTCGGAAAAGGCAGGCCATGTTTGCTGCTAACTCCTTGACTAGGCGGGCTTTCACATCGAAATGAATAGAAAGAGATTTCCAGACATCAGCCAAAAGCTTTCCAGGCACTTTTGTCATAAGAATCCATTCAAATTCAATTAGGTTGTCTGGTGATGATTGATAGGTTATGACTCTAGGGACTGGAAGGCTAGTGGTGAGGCGTATCCAATCTATCGTTGCCACTTCACTGGCGACTTTGTGGGACGGGTCTACAGGTAAGGAGATTCGGATGATGAATGTCTCGTCGTCTATCTTAACGTCGTAAAGCTTGTTGAATGCGCCCTGCGCGAGGAAGGTCACCTCGATCGTGCTGGATGGCCGGAATGACTGTACTGTCTGCTTGATATGTTCGATTTGAGGTTCAACGGCCCATCGCGGCTCAAGGCCGAATGTTTCTTCGACCCACTCGAGACCATGTTGGGACACTTCTCCCGTTTTGGGGGTAATAGTGGCAATGGACATGCTGTGCGTGAAGATCTAAGTAAGATAGAGATCGTGGCGCGGGAGCTGGTACCAGTATTAAGAAATGAAAGAGAAATGACCTTGACGGAGGCGGAAGTCAGTTTTTTGTTCAAATGTTCCAAGGTTAGGTGTACGGATGAAGGATCAGCGGTGGAGGAATACTTAGGTATTAAAGCTGGGCGCTTTGTGGGGGGTAATGGTCTCGGCGCTGATTTGCAATGTTTGGATCCTCAGCCCAGGTCGACATACGCCGCTTACACTTTTTGCTTCAGCGTAAGGGTTCTCCTACGTGGACTCCTTTTTTTTGCAACGCGCATTCCTTTTGGCTTAGTGATCGCACACTCTCTGGCTTACAACCTTGGAATTCTATCTATACACTGAGTTTGCTAACGATTTTATTGAGATCCTTGGAATCCCCAAATCCTCACCAAACCCTGGCTCTAATTCCTAAGCTCCAACGCTTCCCAAATGCCCGGGAACTTCCTATGAATAGGCAAATTTGGACGAGTTCGCAGTCACGTGATAAGAATGGAGTCTACATAGCAAAACCCGCAGTTCACACCAAAAAGAAGTGCACGTAGGAAAAGGAGGAGTCCACATAGGCAAACCCCGGATCTGAGATACGCTGAGCTATTTAAGAGCGCTGAGCTCAAAGGATCTTGGACACAGATAAGACAGTGCCTCATAACCAACATCCGATATGGTGTAAGTCGAGGTGATGATGGAAAAGCCAAGATTCTGCGTGCTTATGTCAAACAAAGCCGTGTTCTTTCCATGCAGCCAGCGCGAAGGCATGGGAATATTGGAAATATGCCTAAGCACGTATAAAGCCAAGTGCCCTAAACTTAAGGGTCAATACTAAACTAAGTTGGGAATCCTCCGTAGTGGTCGGGCTTGGCATCAAGTGTGCTAATGCCCACGGCCCACTTTATCTATTGCCACCATGATCTGCGTTGTCTGTGCCTAGTGCCTAGGCCCAACCAAAACCATTGGCGCTATCGCAACCGCTGCTGACCCACAGCCATTCTCCTGAAGCTCCTCAAGGAGATGAACCAGCTCTAGTGCTCATTTTAGCTCCCTCGACCCTAGGTTTTCATAAATCGCAACTGCCATGGTCGCACCATAACCTACTTTTTTTTTTTTTTTTCTTGTTGAGTAACCTTCCTCTCAGGCTAGTCGGCAGGGTGCCAGAGAATGCGAATGCATGGACATGGGGGTTAAAGAGCCAATTTTATCTACGAGTAATAAACCCCGCTCTTCATTTGCAACGTACAGAGCCGCTCGAACCCACGCACGTATCTAATGGAACCAGAAGCTATGTCGACGAATCAAAACGGGAGAAAGATGATTTGTTTCGGAGCAAGAAGATAAAGAGGAAGAGACAGAGAAATCGCCCATCCTGCTAGTACAAACTAAGGAAATGAAAGGCAGGGCAGGGAGCTGTCGGCACCTGACCCACCGCAATCCTTACGGTATCATCCCAGTCTCCTCTTGTTCTGCACGTTGATACTCGTAGTCATACCGACGCGAGAGACTTTTTTCTAATACTAGGAAGTAATAATGGCCCCCATGTTTCAGGTCAGCACCGATCAATCTCTCATACGGAGTAGTCTCGTGAATTTCAAGCTTGAATCCTTGCTCGGGCATAAGGTGTGAGACACAAGAGCCTGAGCTACTGCAGGCTAGCTGCTAGTAGCACATGCAACATGCGCGGGAAGACACAACCCATTAATTTTTTCCATCTTTACAATTGACCCGTTTAAAGCCAATGGTTTCGCGCATATTTAGTATTGATCAAGTTGTACTCTCATTTCTGTTCGATTTGGTCTATCACTTGTATTTGGAAATGAATTCCAATTCTCGCAATGAAAGGCAGCCGCAGCCAGAATCCGGAACCGATGACAAAATCAATAAAAGCGCTCCGATTCCAACCATCAGCGCACCTTCTTATCACGGTTCGACTGATACTGAGCACCGAGTCCCTAAACAAAATCCGCCAAAGACTGAAAATACCGACCGAAACCCCTTTTTAGAGGGATTGAGCGTGGAAAACGAGACGATTCCATTATTCGATTTTAAACCCACCAAGACCCTCGCTTCTCTCAGCAAATACATGCAAGCACACAATATTGAAGGAAAGGAGTCTCCTAGCCTGATAGATTCTTGGAACAAATTGGATCGGGTCAATCTCAAACCTGAAGCTTTACCTTGTCAGCCGAAGTTTGCTAGCGATTCGACGTTTGTGTTCTCTGCAGGAATGCACGGCCTCCCTAAAGTCAATGTAACTGGCTTTTCTTTCCCGAGACTACTTTCTACATCATTCTGACCATGATGGATTCATTTGAATAGGCTTCGCAGGATGCTCGAGAGGACGGTCAACCCCGCGTACGGAGGAGGCCAGCAGAGTGTCGGACCTTCGACTCCACGGGCACATCTCGAAATCTTCCATCCTACGCGCATGTTGGTTCCACTAGACAACATACTTGGACTTTCCAGGATCCCGGTCTTGTCTCTGTATTCTCTCACATTCCAGCGGAAGAATATCCAAAGTCGGAGTTCTTCTCTTCATCAATTCAGACCGCTCTGTTTCTTGGAATGCAGCTGGCGAGCCAATCTGCGGCCTTGATGGAACAGCTTCTCATCCACCAGAAATCCTATCAATGTGCTATGGATTCTACCCATGTTAACCATCAGATTTGGCAAATGAAACGAGCTGGCGAATTGAACAACTTTTTCAAGGCCGAAAAGATTGCATTCTTGGGGAGCTCGCTAGCGGGTAAGGTCTTTTCTTTCTTACTAATTTGAATAATCTTGCAACTTACAATTTCCAGGAAAAAACAGTGTGATCAACTCACTACTCGACTTCCCCGGACTTGCCACAACCGTAAGTTCCCCTATGCAGTATATGTTGAATTGAAGGATTGATAAACGAAAATTATAGGACGACTTTGGCTCGGCTGTTACTTCAATTGTCACTGAATATACGCAAATGAAGCCTGGTCAAACTCATCGGATTGAAGTTGAAGTTGAATATCTTTCTGGAAGAGCTATGGAAGATCATGTTAATGAGCTGCTGTGGCGTTTCCGCCGTGTACTTCTTTCGGATGGGGACAAGGATTCATTGACAGCCGTCGACTGGAAAGAAATCAAAGAAGCCTGGTCTGCTCTGCAGTCTGCATTTGGAAGCGAGAAGGGATTTGACAGAAAGTTCCTGCAGGATAAATCCGAGGGTGCTTTCGAGAAAATAGCGGCTCAACTGATCAAGTGGACGAAGACAATTCCATGGCCTACTGGTGCATCCAATGGAAAGTGGGTGACATACGCAGAAACGACAGAGGAGTGCTACATGAAAACAAAGCTATTCATGCAGGATAGGATCTCACCCTTTACAGAAGTCATGCGGTAAAGTCTTCAGAATTATGGCACAAGCCTGCTATGTAAAGCATATGACTAACATCGGCTTTAGAGTATACATTGACGCACCAATTCTGAGATCAGGTCTTGTCATTGCGGACTTACCTGGTGAGAATTTGTCCGACTAGCTTGATCCTTCATGACTAACAGCTCTAGGGCTTCTTAATACAAACCTTGCGAAGGTTAAAGCAGCTCACGATTATCTTTCCAAATGCGATCGTGTCTTCCACGTCACTGATATACGTCGAGCATTGACTAACAAGCTTCTCGACTCATCCTTGTACTCTACCATTCCTCATGACGCATCGAAAAGCGAGGGGGGATCAGCAAAAAGATGGTCACGTACTGCGGTCATCTGTACCATGGCTGATGTTCGTTGAACGGTGTTCAAATTTGACTTCAACTAACGTTTAACAGACCATTGACGAAGCTGGAGCCGAAAGACACTTGCGAGATTCCGGAAAAGTGAGCAAATTAGCGGCAATGAAAACAATAGAACATGAGATTCGGAATGCGGAGGGAAAAAAAGATCCACTCCTCATGACAGAACTGCAGTGGAAGTACATCAACCATTTCCTGCTCAGACAGACCGTGAATCTTCTAACCATGCTGACTTTCGATAGGAAAAAAAAGCTTCTCATAGAAGCCCGCAATAGACGTGTAGAATATGAACTCAAACGAATCAACAAGGGCAGTCAGGAGGAGGAAGATCTGGCCGTTTTCTGTGTTTCGAACCTATTCTACGGCGAGTACTCTTCTCAAAAATCAGTTACGACGACTTATGAAAAAGGAACCATGAGTGGTATCCCCGCTCTGCGAAAGTTCTGCTACAGTACCATTGCGGATTCGAGGCTACAGGAAGCTAAAACCTTCTTTTTTAACACGTTACCAGGTGCTCTTGTTTCAATTAGCCTGCGCAGTCGGTCCTTAGAAGTTGGGCCCTCTTGCTCACTTACAACAATTCTGGGGAAGGTCAGGTTGGCAAAAGAAGAGGTATGTCAAACCAGCTATAGCGCTTAAAGTTGATTCTGATTCCTCTTCCAGATCTTGCAGATTCTCAGGCGAAGTAAGCAACGTCTGCAGAATTTGTTGCAGGACTCGGTGCTCACATACGCGGGTATATATTATCTCAAAGCAAAACCTCTCGTTGACCAAGCTAAAAAATTCTGAAGAGATCCGTTGCAAAGACTGGCAAAATGCGGCAAGTCAGAAAGGATTGGAATGGCTGAAGGTGGGTATTTCCATTCACTCATACTACACTACTCGCTGATCATGTTACAGTTATCGTTGGGTAAGAAGAACCATCAATATTTCTGCACCTGGGCACTAGGAAATAATTACCTCAGCTCCCTGTTCTTTCCCCATGTGAGAACCACTCATTCTCTATCAACAAAACTAACAATCGGGCTACCTATTCAGAGGAATACCAAGACTTTTGCAGCAAAAATGGTAGACATTTGAATTCATTCAACGAGCCCGTTGATTGGAACTGTGAACTGATTGAGGAAATGCGACTGGGGCTGAGCGAAAGGTGGAACAGCCTGGAAAGCAGCCTCTCTGAACTCGAACTTCATGAATCCATTGAGTACACCTTCCTGAAATTGAGGGGTAATCTGACGGGTGAGTACATTGCAAAGGTGATAAACAATTGGTTGAACTAAACTGACACGCCTTCAAGCAAACGACTTCCCGTCCTTAATCGTTGAGAGCGTTGAAAACCGGAAACAATGTGCCATGCAGTTGATGGAAGCTTTGTTGAGGAATTTCGCAGGTGAAATGAGGTAGATAAATCATCATTTGCTCGCTGAACCCTGTCTCTCTTGTCTAATTTTCAATAGGGGCCTACGTGCTAAGACTCTAGAGTCTACTGAAGGTTCTTTTATACTGCAAGAGATGATCCCCGTGTATCGCGCCGCAGCTTTAATTAGAATCGACAGCAAGTACTATTGAAGCGAGTTTCCACTCACAAGAATATCAAATAACAACTTGTGATAGGTTCCGACAAAGCCAAAGCTCTGCGTGACAAGGTTCAAGGCCGAATCGACGATGGAACGCTATTCCCAAACATTATTTCATCTCTCTCAAAGGGAATGATGGATGCATCTAAGAAGATGTTTGACGAGATGGACAAAAGGCTTACTGACGACGTCATTATTCCTATCATTGGAGAAATCCATTCAGTCTACTCAACCATTACTCCAGCAAAGAAGCCAAGCAACAAATGTGAAGGACAAACGTTGGAGGAAACTCAATCTTTGGAATTGCTCCAGGCCCAGTGTCGCTGGCTAGATGGGCGATATCAATTTATCATCAGCCATATTGACTAGTTTCTAGATTAGAGGTGAATCTCGTCGAGATGAATGAGAAACGGTTACTGTACAGTGACTGAGAGAACAGGGCACAGTCAACAGGGGTAAAATCTGATACAAGGTAGATAGCATTAAGTGTAAGAGACAGCTCTGTTTGTGGACGGGGAGGAAAGAAAGCAGAAGGAAAGGAAAGCTAGCCAGCTGTCTATTTCAGAGGAAGGTCTTTACAACCAGTTCATGGGATCTTGGACAGATGATATGGAAGTGGTGGGCGAAGTTAAGCGAGAAGTTGAAGGGGGCAGGTCGAGACTTATATACTACCACGCACGGGAACACACGAGGACCAGAGACGCGAAGCCAAAAGGCTCATATAGCCAAATAACGATAAGCTTAACATCCAACATCCGATATGCTGTAAGTCGAGGTGACAACGGAAATACCACGAATTCAGGTGGATTTAAGGATTGGAATCGTGGTCTTTTCATACTTAAGTATAGCATATTTCAGCAAAACGAGTATGTCCTGTCTATATGACAGTACAATACAATAATACTCTTACCGTATATAGTTCAGGTTTCTTTTTTAAAAAATTAAAGCGGCTTCATCGTGACTTCAGGAGTACTTCGAAGAATGTATGGATATATATAATGAAGTTGAATCTCTATTTAAAGATTATGAGTACTTGTATCCTTCAAATTGTGCTGAATATAGGCCTAAACCAAAAATTTATCTTCCGCTCCAAAATATCTACTCTAAAGGATTGATAATATCTCGAAAACAACATTGGAAGTCCTTCATTGGAATCCCTACGCTATCATTCATATTCATGGATCGGGAATTGTTTGTATCAAGGAAGGAAGAATTCAACCCTGTCCTCAGTAGGTAAAATATTGAGAAAGTTTGGTCCGATCTTGAGATTTTGAAGATTTTTTACCTAAACTATTATTATATAAAGAAGAGTGAATCCCAAAGAGGCTTTCTGGATTAGAGACCAGAATCGGCTATCGTAGACTAACCCTGATTGGGCTAACACGAGATCGGACCCGCGGGGCATCATTTACTGCCGCGGCACACCGACAGCCTCGAAATTTCCTTGATCTTTGACCCCAAATTCGAGATACGCCATATCTCTAGACGACGATGAGACGGGGAAATTTGCAGATTTATCTCCAGGCTAGTCATTCTCTCAGAACGGCCCCTCTGCGGAGATCCACCCGTCCGCGAACATGAGCTCGATAGACTCCGATCGATGCGACCCGGAAAATTCCCAAGCCCCACAAACAAGCTTGGACAATTCGAATCGGGAAACCTCACAAGGCTCACAGACGAGTCTGGACAATTCGAACCGGGAAACCTCCCAAGGCTCACAGATGAGCCAGGGAAATTCGAATCGCACCCTCTCCAATACCCAGACCCTTTCCGATAGCCGTCAAAACGGATCCTCCAGCCAAGGCGATGGCCGCGTATCTAGCACCGGCCTCAGCGGCTCCGAACACGTCTATCCAATCCGATCCCTAGTGTCAATGAAGCCCGTGGGTTTATCTTCGCCGCCAGCGCTAGAGGACGTGATCGAGTCCTCCAATCAGCCAGAGGACTCGTCAATCGCGGCAACAGATGCACCTATCGAGTCTAGGATCCCTCAGTCAAACTATTTTAACCCTTTGGTGTCGGATAAGAGCATCTCCGTCAACGATGAAATCTCTTCTAACACGCCCGCGACTGGAGATCTGGAACACACTCGGGAATATTTTGGCCCCGCGGAGCCTCAGAATCAAGCGTCTGCTCCACCGAAGAACCAAAACTACGTGGCCTCCCGGTTCGAGTATGCATTTACGGAGAATGGGCATACTGTGATGCTCGGTGATAGCAACAAGACTCTCAAGCGGTGCGAAGATGAGCCTATCCGCACCCCAGGTGCAGTGCAAAGTTACGGGGTATTGGTTGCATTGAGAGAGGAATTGCCTAACCAACTGGTTGTTCGCGCCGTGAGCGAAAATTCAGAACAGATTTTGGGTTTATCACCGCAAAGGCTATTTGGCATGGAAAGCTTCACTGATGTGTTGACAGAAGACCAACAGGCCATTTTTTTGGAACACCTTGACAATGTTCGAGACGATTCATATGACATAACCATCGATGGCCCCGAGGTTTTTCTCGTTGCAATACAAGGAGCAGCGGGTAATGTCACTCGATTTTGGTGTGCGACCCACGTTAGCCAAGAAAACAAGGATATCATCATATGCGAATTCGAATTGGAGGACGACCAGCTGAATCCGTTAAACATCGAGGACGGAAACCTCCCTGCAACTCCCACGAATACTTTACAGACAAACCCGCCTCCGAGTGACGAGCAATATTTCAAGAGCACGACCAGCGCAAGTAGTTCAGTACGCTCCATCCGTGACGCACGGCGGAGAAAGGGCGAAGCTGCCGCAATACAAGTATTTGGTACTCTCTCTCAGATTCAAGCGCAGCTTGCACAGGAGACGGACCACGACAGACTACTTCAAGTTGCCGCGGGTCTCGTCAAGGAGTTGGTAGGATTCCATCGGGTTCTCGTTTATGAGTTCGATCACCAAGCGAATGGCCGGGTAGTAGCTGAATTAATGGACCCAGATGCTACCCTGGACTTGTACCGAGGCCTCCATTTCCCCGCTTCCGACATCCCAGCCCAGGCCCGCGAGCTCTACAAAATTAACAAAGTTCGACTACTATACGATCGAGACCATGTCACTGCCCGACTAGTTTGTCGGACGTTCGAGGATTTAGAAACGCCCCTCGATATGAGCCATGCTTATCTTCGAGCAATGTCACCAATCCATGCCAAATACCTTGCGAACATGGAAGTGCGTTCGTCAATGTCGATCAGTATCAATGCGTACGACAAGCTGTGGGGACTCATTTCTTGTCATTCATACGGCGAACAGGGTATGCGCGTGTCCTTCCCCATTCGTAAACTTTGTCGCTTGGTCGGCGATACAGTTGCTCGAAACATCGAACGTATCAGCCATTCCTCCGACCTCCAGGCGCGTGTGATGATGGAGTCAGTTCCGAAAGAAACAGATCCATCAAAGTACATCATCGGAACGTCAGATGACCTGTTGCGGCTTTTCCAAGCTCAATATGGTATACTTTCCATTGGAAATGAAGCCAAGCTTTTCGGTGATAAGTCAAATTCACAAGACGCTCTGGCTCTCTTACAATACATACGTCTACGAAGGATCACATCAGTCATATCGTCACATGATATTGGAAAAGACTTTCCCGACTTTGCTTATCCTCCGGGGCTGAGACGGATATCGGGCTTTTTATGTGTTCCGATGGGCACTGAGGGGTCTGAGTTCATTCTTTTTTTCCGCGTTGGTAAAACGAAAATAATCAATTGGGCTGGAAATCCACACAAGCCTGCAGAAGGTGGGATCGGGCCGTTAACACCGCGTCAAAGCTTCAAAGAATACCGCGAGATCGTCTTGAGCGAGTCAACACACTGGTCTGAACAGGATCTCTCCACAGCCGCTATCCTCGGATCCGTCTATGGGAAGTTCATTCAAGTATGGCGACAGAAAGAAGTTCTTAAGCAGAACTCTCAACTTACGCGCCTGCTGCTGTCCAACTCAGCCCACGAAGTTCGCACCCCTCTGAATGCAGTCATCAACTATTTGGAGATTGCTTTGGAAAGTGCTTTGGATGAGGAAACCCGTGACAACTTGGTCCGCTCCTACACAGCTTCCCGCTCTCTTGTCTACATTGTCAATGATCTTCTCGACCTTGCGACTGAATCCGGACAACAGCTTGTCAAGAACGAATCATTCCAATTGGAACACACGCTGCGTGATGCTTTCGAGATGCTGGCCGGGGAAGCAAAGCGAAAGGGCATTTCCTACACTTTCGAAACGCGCCCCAAACTTCCAGATTCAGTATTAGGAGACCAGCGTCGCCTGCGCCAGATTTTCGTCAATCTTATCGCGAATGCCATTGAAAATACATCGGAAGGTGGTGTGAGCGTTGAGACCAGCGCATTTGATGTCCAAGATGACCAAGCGTCCCTTGAGATGTCAGTTATCGACACAGGCGCAGGAATGTCAAAAGCCAGACTCGAGCAGCTCTTCCGAGAACTTGAAGAAGTGTATGCGGATGAGCATTGGATTGGAGGTGGAAATGATCCTCCAGCTTCAGACGGTGAGAACCAGCGTGTCCTGGGTATTGGTCTTGCATTGACTGCTCGTATCGTACACACCATGCGTGGGCAGCTCATTGTGAAGTCCACAGAGGGTAAAGGCAGTCGTTTCAAAATCATTCTCCCATTCCAACTTCCCCGTGAACCATTCTTGTCACACCCGCAGAACCAGTCAAGTACCGGTTATCTTGACATGCCAGCATCACCCTCAATACTGGAAGGGGAAACTGCTTCGCTGGCTGATAATGACCAAATTCAAAACGTTTCTACGGAGCTGGACTCTCACATCAATCCAGATGCTGATGAGAAGGGTCAATCTCATCAACTAGAACACTCACTACCACTTCACCCCATACTTGATCGTGGGAACAGCACAGATCAACAGAATCACAGGCCTTCACCCCGCTTACAGCCTGAGGCAGTCCAACACACACAAATCTTGCACCCAAGTGCCCACCACCAACCAGATGAGGCCAACTCTCCGGAACGTCTCACGATACACAAAACCAGTGCATCACCTTCGACTTCCAGCACAAAGATCTTGAATGTCCTCGTTGCAGAGGACAATCCGGTCAATAGCAAGATTCTGGAGAAAAGACTGAGTAAAATGGGCCATTCAGTCCGAGTAACCACCAACGGCAAAGCATGCGTGGACGAATTCTCGTCGGGCAGCGAAGCCCCTGATGTGATCCTGATGGATATTCAGGTATGTACATGCCAACCCTCAGATTAAATCCCATGGTTCTTGTCCAGCTAATCCCTACAGATGCCCATCGTCGACGGAATGACCGCTGCTACAATGATCCGTGAGGCCGAGTCTAGCCCCTCACAGTCTTCGGATACAAATAAATACAGTCCATCGGAAAGGGTCCCCATTTTCGCAGTGTCTGCATCTATTGCCGAACAGAACGAGAAGGATTACATTGATGCCGGCATTGATGGTTGGATCATGAAACCGATTGATTTTGCGCGGCTCAACACACTCCTGGCTGGTATACATGATCTCGAGGCTCGCGCAGGCGCCGCCAATGGTAGGGAATGGGGAAATGGCGGCTGGTTTGATCCCACCGTTCTTACTGAGACAGAGTGACCATGTGGACATGTGGACACCGCTGTCCTGGAGAACCTGATAATATTAGATATTAGATGATATAGTAGTATACGGAATCAGCTATACCTCTGCGCTCTTGTGACTTGATTCCCGGAAAACAAATCCGAGGGTTATGCATTATGATTGAATAGAAAGCGAAGGCGCCATCTTTCAGACTGCTTTCTAGACTGATAGGCGTTATCTTAGAATGCAGTATCATGATATGACTACTACTCTTCTCTAGTCATCCGCGGCGCTAAATTTTGCTGCTGTTGTTAGGGCAAAGCAACCTTCCAATTTGGCCTGCGGACCGAAACCATGGAACTTTGATAGACTACAGATCCACAGGAACAATAATGTGGATGGAGATCGTATTCTCATCGACGAAAGGACGGGGAAAGGAAGGAGAGGGAGGGAGAGAGAATCGTCGATCTACTCTATCTAGCAAACACGCCCTGTCATCCCACCTGGGCACCTGGGCATACAGGGTCGCTGGCCAAGCAGATCCCGACAGATTTCTCTCACTTCCATCGCCAAATCCCCATTTTACAGCATCTTCTGCACCAACTCCATTGTCACCACCTCGGCTACGAAAATGACCGACACTGGAACACTTCCTATGGATGAGCCTGATTTTGGCGACTTTGTGAAGAATGAAGAAGAGGAACTCGACCTCGAGGAGCTTGTTGAGCCATGGTACAGATACAAAACAGAGGGCGAAGAAAATTCCCTCTATCCTATTTTCCTCGGAGAGATGCTCAACGGAAGGTATTTGGTTGAGCATAAACTTGGCTTTGGGGGTGGATCAACTGTCTGGATGGCCTTTGACATTCAAGACAAGAAGAATGTTGCCCTCAAAGTCATGCGTCCTGGGGAGTGGGGAGTGAACGAAATTCGGATTCAGGACGAAATTAAGAAAATCCAAGACCCTTCTCATCTTGTGACATACATAGCGACTTTCGTTCTTCCCCGCGACCATAGGGTCTTGGTGTTCCCTTTAATGGGCCCATGCATTGATCCTATTGACCTGAAAACGATCCCTATGGCCACTCGCATGTCTGCCGCTCATCAGTTACTCAGAACTCTGGCAAATTTACATGAGGCTGGGATTATACACCGCGGTAAGTAGACTTTTTCTTGTCTCTCATCTTTCTCTTTACTATATTCTAAGTATAAAAACCATATAGATCTAAACGAGAGGAATTGTATGTGGGGAATGGCTTCTCTTGATGGTCTCAGCAGAAGTGCTAAATACAAAGCACTTGGTCGGCCATTAAAGCAAAGGATACCGTCTATCATCGATCTCTGGAAACAGGGCGAGCTTGTGAGCCCTATAAATGTCCCATGGGAACTATGCACTGAGGAATTCTATCTCGGCGACTTTGGGCTATCAAAAAAAGCCAGCGATCTAATCACTCCACACGGCTACCCACCTATACAATATTGTTCCCCTGACCGGCTTCATAATCAAGAGCCAAGTTTCGCCTGCGATATATGGAGCTATATGGTTGTTTTCTCCATGCTCTACCTTACTTTTGGACCATTCTCTACGTTTCATGAAGGGGGGCCTATGACTGGGTTGGTCGAGTCTCTAGGCCCTTTGCCGGGGGAGTGGAAAGGCCTCTATATCTACCAGGGCAGTGGGTTAGACTCCTGGTACGACAAGTCTCGAAATGCCAACCCTGAGTACTCCCTTGCGTCAAGAATTGCACGTTTTCGTCCCGACGCCGATCCGGTCGAGCGGCAGCATCTGGAATCTATCATGTTGAAGGTCTTTACTTTTGACCCAAAGAAACGACCGAGTGCAAAGGAGCTCATTTGCGACCCTTCATTCAAAACCCTCATGGACAGATCTGGGTGCTGAAATTTTGACGTATTGAATGAAAATTCGAGTTATAAGTGTGCCAGATATCTGGTTACATGGAACTCTTTAAACTCCGTTCATACTCAGGCAATGCCCATTTAAAATCGTAAGGCTCCGATGCGTTAGTGACGAGGCAGATCCATAGCCCCGCTGCTCGCGACGATCCTCCTAAAAGAGGGCTGAGTAGTGTATTAACATGCGCAGAAATCAACCGGAGTCCGGCTAATCGAAGTCCGAGGTAGGGAGGGTGCCGGATGGTGTTAGAACATCGGGGAAATAGCCGTCTTAATGTAGCGAGGGAGTTGCTAGTTGCACTATGTCGCCGACACCCTATGACAAGAGACGCAGATGAGTTGACCACGAAGAAGGGGGTGGCAGAACTCAGGAGCTTGGTGATCCGAATGAATAGTAAAAGCTCCTCACAAAATCGAGAATCAATGAGACTAAGAGGTGAAGGTAAGAAACAATGGGATCCCAAGGGATTGAGGAGGGCTTTATAGATCCACGCACGATGAGGCATAAATCCATGTGCGCTCAGCCAAAAGGCTCATATAGCCAAATAACGATAACCTCAATATCCAACATCCGATATGGTGTAAGTCGAGGTGATAACGGAAATACCACGAATTCAGGTGGATTTAAGGGTTGAAATCGTGGTCTTTCCATATAGTATATCTTGGTAAATTTGACCTGCTTCCTGACAGTACAATACAATTATACACTTACCGTATTTGGTTTAGGCTTCTTTTTTTTTCAAGTAAAGCGGCTTCATCATGAGTGCTTGGAAGAATATAGTAATGTTGAAATCTATACTTAAAGATCATAAATATCTATGGATCCTTCAAGTTATTATCCTTGGTATTACATATATTTCTACACCTAGAGACTTACCTTCCACTCCAAAATATTTATCATGTCTCGACAACAGGCCTTCGATTGGAATTCTTTCGTCAACGAGCAAGATCCTGAGGTTACTGGTGATTTCGCCACAGCCACCAAAGAACGCCTTCATCTTGTCCATGAAAACTTTTCAAGCTTTGTGCAACTACTGAATCCGCCGGATTGTCACCATTGGCTCAGAAATATCACTTTGAGAGTCATTGAAGGCTTCCTACGTTGGTATCTTACTATCCATCTTTTTAAGTATCAATCTGGCTTCAAGACATTTGTCCGCTTTTTCAGAATGTACTATCGTGAGGAGATGAAGTGTGAATTCCCCATCAAGCTTGGCCAGCAATTGACACAGTTGGTATCTGTTACTCTTACCGATGAGTACGAGCTTGATAAAGGTGCGAAGACACAGCCAACCATGAACATTGACGATGTGCTATTCACAACATATCACCTATTAGCAGAGAGCCGTATAGCTTTTCCTACGTTTCGGACTCTTTTCCAACTCAACACTCTAAGGAAGATGATGACCTCGACATCTGCTAGACCGGGAACATTGGTTGAATCATCTGGCTACCTTCGTGTGAATGATGCATTAAAATGGAAGGATATTGAGCTTTATATGGTGAAACACCCTGATGATCAAGGATCAGAAGTCCTTCTCATGAGGGTAACCCACAGACTCAACAAGGGATTGAGAAATCGAGGTGTTGCGTGAGTGCAGAATCTTTTTGAATGAATAGGAGCTTGAGAATCTAATAAACATCAGACCAGTGTTTACATACACAGAGCGAAATGATAATTTAGGCCTTTGTGTTATCCAGGATGTCCTCATGTATGCGTTTCTTGACGATGCATTCGACAGTCCGTACATTACATGCCCTCAAGATATCTGGCGATTGACTACTGTCCCGGAGCATCGCCACAGTACTCCTATCCATTTTAAGAGGAGTATCCAGGATGTTCCTATCTTCAGACGGTCAACTCGGGGTCGGAATGGAGTCTCTACCACAGATCCCACACTTGCTATCTCATATAGTCAGATGAGGGAGTATGAGAAAGAAGCCAGTCTTGCGGCCGGGTTCAAAGAGAGAGGATCTCTTTACAAATATCGTAAAGGAGCAGCAGCCAATTTGAGTAAGTTTTCTTGAAGCATTCAAAACATTACTCTAACAGAATTTTCAGGACATTTGGATGAACACTCACGCAATATTATCATGGGCCATCGAAAAGGCGGTACCTTTGCCAACTATGTCAGTGTAAGGGATGACACACAGTCTGTCTTTATGGAGACCCCAACGCGGGATTCGCTCCTTAAGCTTGCAAGTAACGCAAGCTTGACACGGGATGTCTCGGTGCCGCATCATCTGTCACCAGCACAAAAAGCGACCATTGAAAATGACCCTGAGATCTCTGAGCTTAAGAAGCACTGTGACTCCATCCGACGAGATCTCATATCTGAGCATCATAAACTTAAAACGGCGAAAGAAGCTGGGGACAAACGTCACCGAGAATTCGAAAAGCTCCAAGCAAAAATCCGGACCAAGCGAAAGCGGCTTCATGACTCTACCCGAACTAAGCTTCGTCAAGAGTTCTTTCAAGGTGTTGGCAATCAGATCATCGAACAGAATTACCACGGTAGCCCTGTTACGTTTACACCTAGCGCAGACCACATCCAGCCTCAAAGAAAGGCTCTCGCTGAACTTGAATTCAAGAACAGGGATGCCGACCGTGTGAAAGATGAGGAATTAATCGCGGACCGTATCAAGTCTCTGGAACTCCGCCTTGAGCTTCATAAGGTGCAAATTCCGAAACCCTTGTCAAGACTTATCAAGTTTGATAAATCAGGAAAGGTTTTCCCGCTTTTCAAAGAGAGCGACAGTGGTCTAGAATGTCCAGTGTGCTTGGGTTGCTCGGAGTTGGACCCACGTGTGAGAACCTATCGCTATGCCCGAAAGGATATTCTTCAAAATCATTTCAAAACTCACAAGCTACCTGCCTTTTTTGGTAGACAAGGGCGCGAATGTGATGTTCCTGACTGTTCACGTATTTCTATGTCCCTTCCAGCATACAAGTGTCATATAGCCAGTTACCATAAAATTTATCTCTGAGTATCCAGATGATATTGATTACAGAATTTGATCGAGCTTTTCTTGTTTCTTTAATATACCGAGTAGGCCGTCAGGACCCCTAGCCCTGACCACGCCCAGGCCCCCAGGCACCACATTGTATGCCTGAGGCCGCTAGGACCCGCCCAGGGCTGCGAGCAGGGCTACGGGCACTGCGGGCACTGCGAGCTCGCTTACGCCTTACGTAAGCTCACCAGGTGTCCACGGGTCCACGGGTATCCCCCAGGGGGGACCTCACTAGCAAGTAGCGATTAGCTTGTTTACGCAATATATAGCATACTTGTTCTTGTCACTCTCATTCAGTATATTCATCATATAGGACCGCTAGCAGGCAGTCCTCACATAGGCGTAGCTTGCTATGAGGTTTATATTATTCCTTTCAGGGCTCCCATGCTTACTTCTGAATAAAATCACTTTTCTATAACTCATCGCTAATCATGAAACTTCCATTGATTCTCGCGTGAAGAGAACCTTGGGAATATGATCCTCTGTGCAGCCACCGATTTGAGGTGCGTGTCGAAAGTACCCAATCCAAAAAATATGATACATGGACCTGCGTGACAATATTGGTTGACTTCACTGACTGTGATTGTTTTCAAAACCAGTGTATCCGGATAAACAAATCCAAACCACTGACCATTGCGACACAAATTTGCCAATATACCTTCTTTGTATTGGCGAATGAAAATTGCTGAGCCAGAATTTGTGTCGAAAAATATCACATGCGGATTGTCACGCATATACGGTTGTAAGGATGAATAAAAGGTATCAGGGCTCATTTTCATCTGTATTTGGCACAGTTCCGTAGAGTGGTGGTCGATTGTCAGAGACTCGTTTTCATTAGCCGGGTTATGACCCAACAGCCGTAGATTGGGATGAGGCAACGGCTGTGGCTGGCTTAGCACTATTGCAGACTGTGCAGGACTGTTTGGTCTTGAATCAAGCTCCATAAAACGAGAGCTCAGTGGCGCAGTAGTTGGTGGCATGAGACCTGATAGCACGGAATCTAAAGCCATGGGACTTTGTGGTACAGGATTTGTTGGCCCAGTGACGGGATTTGGAGGCGCAGGAGTCATTATTGTATCCATGTGGCCCCCGTCATCGAAGTCAATAAAAAATGATTGGAATATATCCCGTTTCACTGCAAATGACGTCATACAACCGCGAGCAGGTTGATCCAATGAATATATGTTTTTCAAAAACAAGTGTTTTTGATCCGCGAAGAAGGTCTCTGCGTTCGGCATACCACATCGTTTTTCTAAATTCCAATCCTCAACATTATCACAGGTTTGAACTGCTAATAAAGTGTCGATTTTCCGTGCGCTCATCGTACCCAGCAGTGAAGAAACATGGGTACTAAACTCAGCTAGCTTAGCCTCGTTATATGCGAATAATTCCGGGGGCCTTAAGCGCGTGATCAATTCATGTATAGCGATAAGTTCGACTGAATTCGCGGCAAGAGCTCGCGGATGGCTCTTCGAGGATTTTGAACCAGGTAGCACAAAGCCAACTTTCGCTGCACATAGATGAAATCTTCTCCATAATTCAGAGCTATCAAATTTTTGTTTTTGAAAGCCAAGCCCAAGAGGCTGGACATTCACGAGACCAAAAAAATGGCGCATAGCAAAGAGAAAAACTTGTCTGTATGCAGCCCAAAAGCCATATTCCTTTGACCCGCTTTCTTTGGCGAAGTCGTTTTCCGAAGCCTGAACTTCGTGTTGTAAATCAGTGGGAGAGACATAATATTTGAACATTGACTCTCGTATAGTACCCTTGAATTTCGGAGGTAATATTCTTTTCATCACATCCGTCATTGCTTTGAGGTATTTGGTATTTTCAAGAAAGGTTCGAAGTGTTGGAATAACTCTTGTGTAGGTTAAGGCAGCATTTTGAAGTTGTGCACGTAGATAGGGATCAGTGATATCAGGATATACCATCCCATTGCGGAATACCTCGTGTATATGCTCCCGGTCTGTGAGCGATAGACGTGGGCATCGTCCCTCCAGTAAAGAAACCGTTGTTGAGTCTAATATCTCGGGAGATTGACATGTTAGAAACTGCCAGGCCTGATATATCTGTGCCAATGAATCCGTTAACTCCTGTATTCACTTTGTTAGATCGATTTTCCCTATCATATGAGTGGGGAATATGATATGGATCAAGTGATTACCTCAGGGCATCGTAAGCTTGGAAGATGAGTTCCCATGAACCATGATTTCCAAAGCGATATGAATGGAAGGAGAGAATCAAGAGTTTTTCCTATAGCCTCGAATGCTGTTTTACTGGTTTTTGGGCAGTAGATTCGATTGAATTCACGGCATTTTGTGGGAGACCATCTAGCAAACCATTCACTAGCGGCTTCGATATCCCCCCGTATCTGGTAATACCGAATGTTGCGAAAAATCTCCCCATCACTGAAACTTTGAGAGTTTTGGTCAAATTCACGCAACCGCTTCCGACAGTCTTGATTCAACTTGATAGAATCGTAAAATTCGAAAACCCACCAATGATCATTTGGGTTTAGCCATTGAAGTGCAGCCGCAATACGATGTTGGCCTTGGAAGCAGTGGATTCTGAACTCATCTGGTAATTCTAGATCCTGGACGGATTCGTCGCTCGAATTGCTTCCCAGCACTGCCAATAGGTCGGACGCTGTCACTTCGCATGGAATCCAAGTCATAGGATCTAGTCGACGGCATCCTTCTTGCTCGAATTTGTGAATGACAAAATCCACCTGAGACTGCTTGAATTCTTGAGATCCAGAAACATCACTCCCTTCAAAAGTAATTTGGTGAAGCTTGCTGATTCTGAACGCTCCTAGGCGAGCGGCGATCAGCCGGCGGGACGTGTCCATGTTATGAAGAGGCGTAATGATAAAGGTTCAAATGAGTTATCAAGGATTCAATTTTTGACAAAATGGAGATAGTCACCTGAAATAGGATATCATGAGACTGTCCACGGTTTCCCGTGATTGATAGTTTTCACAAATAGTCAGACACCTGATTAGAGATTAAGTGATCCCTTACGATTTCCTATTGCCGCTAGATGAGGCTTAAGATTCAACTGATCAAACGAAATTCAAAATCCTACGACTATCCACGATATACCGTGTACACTAGGGAATCTAAGATTCATCCATTCCCCGGAAATTCATTCTCCCAGGATTAACCACACTTTCCCGTTGCTTTTCGAGGACGCGTCCGATTTGATTCATCAAACGAATTTGAAATTCTTACGACCGTCCACGATATACCGTGTTCACTAGAGAACCTAAGATTCATCCATTCCCCAGAAATTCATTCTCCCAGGATTAACCACACTTTCCCGTTGCTTTTGGGGACGCGTAGGTTCTAATTTATCAAACGAACTTGAAAATCTTACGGCCACCCACAATATACCGTGTACATTAGATATCGTACGATTTGCAGTATCCTCAGAGAATGGACATCGTATGATTACCCACGCCTTTCCATTACCACCAGCTAGCACATCTGATTCTACTCTTCGTTGGAACCTTCCTATCCCACGAAAAGAAACAAAAGACCATTGCTCATAATTGGTTTCAAAGTTTATATAAGCAGATTTTCTTTTCTCGAAGTCAGGACCCCTATATTCTATTATCAACTAAGCGCCAAATGATCGTCGGAGATTATATTTCCTATGAATACTCATGATTTTAAAACAAATCGTGGTAAATAATAAACAGTTAGCGTTTCTGAGAAACCTTGAAATTTGTATAAAAGATTTGGACATTGGATCCGAGAAATATTAAATGTAGCTTTATATTTTCTTGAAGAAAGACGGCTCGAGAGCGAGACCGAGAAATACACAGAAGAAAAATATGCATCATTTACAGCAGCATCATGTGAATTAGCTAACGAGTAAAGTATCCAAAAGGTTTTTCGCATAAGTTCTATCCACTGCTTGAAATAGATTACGAAATAATAGACTTAGACAACAAAGACCTTAGAAAACAAAGAATCAAAGAGGAAAGTCAATTAAACCAAACAACTTTGCAATATATTAATCCATATCAGCAACAAATTTGACATCTTTTGCTGCAGTTTCACGTGCAAACCGAATATATGGCTTAAGGCAAGATATACCTGGAGATAGTTGTAAAAAGTCATGCTGTTATATTGATCATCAGTAGGGGTTTTATTTATTTTTTTTTTCTACGCAGCTTGGTTAGGAAAAAATACCTTGAGTAACATTGCGGCGGATTGAGATTTTGTGAGCTCGACGAATTCCGGAACACCTGATCCCCAGTCTGAGGTAAGAGAAGCACCCTTGCGAAGAAACGTACTTGGCTCAAGGCATTCGATCAGGATCATTCCAAGAGCATCAACATCGGGGTTTCTTTCTGTTATCTCTTTATTTTTGAGCATAGATGTTCCTAAATTTGCTGGGAAAGTTAGTATCTTTGCTATTGTAGATTTCTTATCGAAATATACCAATTTTCAGAGCCCCGGTTACTGATAATAGTATCGAGGTAGAGGAAATATCACCATGAATTATTTGAAGTTGGCGATGGATGTATTCGATTCCCGTTAATATTTCATATGAGAACGCAGCCACTTCAAACAATTGAAGCCGACCAAGCGGTGAGCCGAAAATTTGGGCCAGAGAGACATCCATCAATTCATAGACAAGAAATACCATATTGTCGTGATATAGGGCCTCTTGCAGCTGAACAAAATTCTTGTGCGGAGTTGTCATGATTTTGGACATCTCACTTTTTGTAGTTTTCACTTCTTTAATAATCCCTTCTCTGAATGTCGTGTCATTGGAATGGACTACCCACCCAATACCTGCCTGGTTCATTCTGAATGTTTTGCGATACCGTAGCCAGGGATTCGAAGCTGTTTTCGATAAAAATTTCAAAGCATCTGGTCGATACTTCTGAAGTTTCTGCGCGCTTTCCTTGGTTCCTTGGCCAACGAAATCAACATCAGCTAGATGTCTCTTGGGCCGGTATGTGGTGTTCTTAGGCCTGGGGAAAACAGAAACCCGGTTGTCAGGGGTATTCCGGCTTCCGGATTCCTTGGATGACATTTTGATTCTTGATGAATGAGAAAATGAAATGCCTTCGACTCTTTAAAAGTTCCGGGGGTTCGGCGGTTATTACCCGTAGTCATAATCAAAACCGTGGTTTTGCCCCACTTAGAATTGAGGTCACTTAAATATGACAGCATTAGCTACTGACCAGTCTCTCTTTTACGAAATACATCCATAGGTCAACATGGATATCCTTTCAATATACATATGTGTTCTTGCAACTATCGCAGGACTGATCTTTCTCCAGCAATATTTCAATCCTCAACCATCTTCCCGCATCCGTCACCTGTATAACGTCGTCACCCGATTCATCATACTCCCGTACATTTTCAGACGACGTAAATTTTGGGGACCTATAACAGTGTTTAACCTGGTGATCCATTCCATTTTCATTGCTGGTACCGCTGTATGTAACATCTTCGGGGCGAGCGATGTGGATACAGCCCGACAACGAGCGGGTTCCATAGCCTTGATCCATCTATGCGTTTTAGTCGTGGTCCCCCGGTCAGCCTTTGGTGCTGCTTTTTTTGGAATCTCAATTCGAACATACAACCAGCTACATCGAAGTATCGGTGTAATGGCAATGTTCCAAAGTTTATTGCATGTTCTTTTAGCCATCAAGATGAAGTCTCTTGATTTGAATGATATTAAGGAAAGAAATGGCTTCATTGTGAGTATTGGATGCTATTGGTTCTTGTTGTCGATTTTGCTGTTCCTAATCACATCTACACAGGCAATTGTTTCTATTGCAACGGTATCAATTACTGTGATTCCGCAACTCCGGCGTCATATATACGAATTTTGCATCAAGCTGCACCTCGCCTTGGGAATATTTGGTATTGTCATGGTCTGGATGCATATGAAGGATAAGTATGGACTGAATGGAAGACTACTCATCTCCGCAATCAGCCTATTTCTTCTGAACACTGTATACTTCATAATCCGTGAGTTATACCGGAATGTTACAAGGACCACGTTCATGGCAGTTGCCAATTGTACACCCCTGGCCGATGCGGTGATGTTGGACTTCATCCCTCCACGGCCGTGGAAAGTACGCGCTGGATACTATGTGTATCTTAGGGTGCCACAAATTCACCTGCTTTCTTTCGCAGAAACACATCCGTTTAATATCATATGGTGGGAGGAGGATAAACTTGGCAAAGCAACCAGAGTATTTGTTGTTGCCCGTGTTCAGACTGGATTTACCAAGCGTCTTTCAGGGATCAGTGATCAATCTCTGAGACTTTTTGCTGATGGTCCATATGGCAAACCATTGGAGACAGCCTTATGGGATAACTTTTTATTCATCGCTACCGATATCGGCATCTCTGCGCAGCTGCCTTATCTTAAGGAGCTAATTGATCTGCAACGCCAGCCACGACGGTTAGGTAGAGTTTCAATTGTATGGGTTGTTGAGGATGACGGTAAGTTCTTATCTCGCCCAAAATCCTACCAATATTGACCTATCAAATAAAGCACATAGAGGCTGGGTCCCGGATGAGCTGTCTTATCTATTGGATTTGGACAAAGGAAACCTGGTGGGAAGACCCGGATTTCATCTCATGACAAAACACTGATTGAAAAGGTCTTTTATTGGACGACTTATTCGAAAACTGAGATAGAAACAACTCAAGTTGGACGCCGCGGTCGGATGGTATTCGGAAGTCCGGATATCAAGGTTGTCCTGGAGGAAGAATTGAGAAAGTTCTCGGGCAAGGTCATGCTTTCAGGTGAGTCCACAATGCATAATTCTAAGTTTGTACATATCTGAATCACTTCAGTTTCCGCCAATCCGGGTACAAGAGATGAATGCCGAAAGTTTTGCTCCAGTCGGGGTGGGCAAGTTGGTTATTTTGAACATGAACATCAACCTCCAAATCGGTCTCAGGGACTTTTTACAACTCAAAGGAATATCCCGGTTGTCGTTTGATATATAATCATGAACGGTTTTTGGTCACTCCGAAAAGATACTTAGTTAGAGAATGGTTACTTAAGTAATACACTAGGAACTAATCTTGGAAATAGAATGGTCTCTCTAGGCTCTGATACTCTTTATTGAACCACGCCGCTCAAGACGGAGTAGAGGTTTCAAAATAACCACTGAAGAGGAAAGAGCGCGATGGCGGTCTGACATAGCAGACAGGACGACAGGAGGGAGATGGGAAGCACCGGAGGATAGGTCGGGCCGGGAGAACCAGCCTCTATTCTGTAAACATGGCGGAATCGAGTAAACTTGGCATAGATAGATGATGGATGATTTTCCCACACTACACCACTGTGCGGCCGTATCTATTTTCCCTGGGAAAAATAAGCACCGGCGTCTGACTAAGAACCTGAATGTGCCAGGTGTTGGCAGATCCCCCACTACACTATTACCTGAATGAAAATATACCACGACTTCCTGCTCCGTACTCACCACGATTTTCTAATAATAACAATTTTCAATAACCACGACTTTCCACACATATCCACTTACTTAAATAGAATTTGGAAATGTAATTATAATCTAGTTTGATAAATATACCTATCAGTTTAAAGTCTCTAAGATCTCCACTACTTGCTGGTTGAATCAATTCTTTTCGTTTCCATTGACGAAGAGACATCTAACCGAATTCTTGAATATGTTTAAAATATTGTCGCGTGTTGCCCGAAAGCTCGGCTTGTTGGCAGTTCATGTCACTGTCGTCCGAGAACGATCTGGCTCTATCCGCGTAATTGAGTCTAATTTCCCTCAAGATTCACCCATTGACGTATGTCTCCCTTTTTCGAATCAAATTTACAGTAAGGCATAGCAATGTTAATTCAATCCCATAGGTCGATGTACACATATCTATTCCACATGATTCTCTCGCTGATAGCTTAACGAGTCATTTGGAGACTAAAGAAACTTCCTTTGGGGGCTTGTCTGGAGCAGGTTTCACAAATTGAATTTCTCATGAATATCGAAGTTCCTGCAGCTATATACAAGATCAAACAACTGCAAACGAAACAATGCATACCACTCCCTCCCTGTCAAAGAAAAAACTCCAAATCTGGGGGTAGCCCCACTTGCTGTATGAACCTATCCTTTATGATATCCAAGACCTCCCTATGGGTGTAGGGACTGCTGATAAAGCGAAGGAATTGACCAGTGTCGACGTCACTATCGTCCTGATCATTTTCGGCTCCAGGTCCAAAATGCCACGTTACCAATGCTAGAACGAGCATTGCAGAATCGGACAGCTGGAGTAAAGCTTGGTCGACAAATTCTTGTTGTAAAGAGTCTGAGAACTCAACATCGATTGTTTCATATCGTCGATAGTATACTCTCAAGTTCGCCACCACATGAGTTTGGAGATTTCGCAAGAGAGTGGCATCTTGGTTTGGACTTGGCATGGGGCGTGGATCGAAACTGGATTTTAATTGTATCATAGCCTGTAAGGCAACCGCTGCAGCAGAAGACGTCATCTCCCGAGAAAGCTTTTTTTTTAGTAGATTGATAAACTCCATCAGCAAGTCCAAGACTTACCATCATAGAAAATGGATGCTTTGTCAAATAGCACAAAGTTGATTGACTGTAGTTTTCATGCCGACGGCAGGGTGCTTTATACATCCCATTGTGTAGCTTGAGCTTAATTCAAACATAGTACGGAGTACTCTGTATTCCAGGAGGGGGCAAAGCAAGGCCTGCATTCCTCTCAGCTTTATGGCCAATGATGGTAGTCAGCAGTATGCGGCGGAGGGCTGGCCTAAGTTAATGACCAATCAAAATATCAGGCATAACACAGCGAGGAGCTAGCCTAAGTCAATAGCCAATCACAACATCAAACAAAATGCGGCGAGAATTTTTTCTAACTTGGTGCCCAATCATCTTTCAGCACTTGGCTAAACCACACATATGATATACAGGCCTGGTGAGTACACGCGGTTGGTCAGCTCTATTTAGCAATCAGAAGTACCCGCCTAGATTGCGGTCCCCAAACTTCAGCCAATTAAGTGCAGTTAAAATGCCAAATCGAGGCATTGGGGTTTCTCAGGCTCATGGTTTTAACCCGGGCTATTATGATAGATGCGACAATCATAAAATGCGTATGGATATAAATATGTCTGTTTATCATTAGGAAAAGAGCTGACGATTCACCAGACGCAAAATTCACCTCCACAGTCTACCGCTCCAAGCTGACACCTTAAAGCGCTCACTTATGCCTCCCCAAGGTAGGATGGGTGCGTCTACAGATGGCGTAGACTTTCAGTTACTTCGTCAACTGGGGCCAGACCTAAGTTCGAAAATGGCGGTATCTTTTATCCAATTCATCGAGCCCCATATCGACTACACTAAAACCAAGCCGGCCTGGTGGCCCAAATCAGTGATTTTCAAGGGCCCCTCCGAATTTTCTGATGACGGTGTGTATCAAGTGCTCGATCTACTTAATCATCATGGCTTACTAAATGAATTCAGAGAGAAATAAGTTTCTATGGAGTGTCCTTTGCGGCGAGTTTCTTCTTATGGCAACTACTGAATCCTTGATCCTTTTGACTAAGAGCTCATGGGAGAAGATGAATCCTGGATCTGATGAGTATAGTTCTTTGGCTAGGTTGATCTCTGCCTTTGACTATCGTCGGGATGTACTGTTTCACAAAATCATTACCCAACATCAAGTCCCTGGTGAGACATCTTATCACACTTTCAATGAAAATACTCGCAAACTGACTATTTTAGCGCTCCAGCCTGGAGCGGTGCGTCCTATTCCGATCAGAACCTTGCCTCTCGCGCGCGATCCAGTACGAAGGATTCGGTCTGAGAAATCGTCTCAACAGAACTCCAATGTCGAATACTTCTTCGACTTTAATCCACACTTTTGCATGTTGAAAGTAGATCTCACCAAAGAGTTCTGGCTTGTATGGTCTGATCTTCTGCAACAAAATCCAAAGATCCAAGGGTTGCGATCCTCTTATCTTTATCAACGTTGCGCATAACCCCTAACATCAATCTTAGGAGACTGACCTGGATATCCTCGCGTGTAACGATGAAAAATGGAGTCGCTACACCAAGTGACAGTGAGGGTTACCGCATCCCATCTTTGTTACAGGATCCACTGGCCACGAAGATTATACTGAATGACGGCCGGGTTGGTGGGATACGTTTTCTTATTGGAAAAAGGTAAATGCGAATCCTGATATACTATCGCCTTCAAAACTAACTAAGAGTTGAACATAGAAAAAGCTCTTATATGTATGTATAGCTTAAGCATCTTCGGATTTTTGAGACTAATTTTACAGTGCTTTTACATTCGCCACCACTCAGCTGCAATGTATACCACTTTGGGCCGATCAATATGCATCAGCAATCGCTCAACACCACCGAGCTTACACATCCTCTGAATTGTTTCGAGAGAAATAGTTTCAGGAACTGAGAATTGATCTATATCGCTTTCTGTTTCTACTGTTATATCCTATTCTGCGGTTCTTTTTGTTGCGTGTGGGGTTCGCCCAACCCTGTAGATAGACCCGCTCCCAGCCTTTCTCTCTTCTCTCTTCTTCCTTCTTCTCTCTCTTGAGCTAGTCAATCGATCTGTTTCGCTCGCTTTTGCTTCTCGCCTGTAGGTTCAACAATTTTGAGATTTAATTCGATTGTCGAGATACTTCAGGTTTAGACCCGAATTATCAACAAATGTTTTCCCTCTCTCTGTGTGTCTTCTTCTCTCCAAACTATCTACATTGAACGGTCTGAGCTGTGAGGCGGCGGGCTTCGAAAGAAGGTCCATTCACTAAAAGAGACTAAAGCTAGGGAAAGAAAGAAGAAAGGGAACTACTGAGAGAATTTGGGAGGGTTGGGTTCCCGGGTTCGGGTGTGGATGCCTTACCCCCCAGGCACCCAACCCCCCGATTCTCATATGAGCCTTGGAAATCGGGAATCTTACTAACCTTCAATACTATATCGTAGATGAATTATCATATTATGAATGCATATTTTGTGATTGATAATAAGAGAAAGATATGACGAAAGTTCAAATTTATCAGGCGTGGGAATAAAGCGGCCTATAAACCGGGGCCTGGTCTGCCCTGCCCCCAGAACATGTTGAGATAAATAAGAACCAAACGTGAAAGAAATGTGTATTTCCAATCAAAGTACCTCGTCCACCTCTTCACTGTACGCCTGCAAACGAGGTTCTGGTTGGGTTGCCAGATGCTGCATCAAGGGTTGCTGGGGCTGATGTGCCGCAGGTAAACCAAAGGTAGTAGGATGGTGCGCTCCCGTATACTGTATGAACGCTCTCATATCGGGTTGAGATGATTGCTGCACAAGATTTGGTAACAGGGATTGCTGTTGTGTATCAATTAACCAGGGATTAGAGAATGGTCTTTGCCCAGATAATCCATTAGATACAGGTCTCTCCATCCAATCGAGCGGGCCTGAATTCAAGGTCGGGTTAATCATAGGATTCCAGGCATTGGGATTACCGCCGCTGAGGTACGGAAATGAAGACGGCTGGGTGAAGCCTGTTCCCGGTCTTAAATCCAGGCCAGAAAGAGATGAGATGGCATCTTTCAAAGCCATATCAGGATCCTCGGTAATTGCCTCTGATATCAGCCTATCTGCCTCCTTCGGGGACAAGATTCTTTTCAGAGCCGATCGTGAAATGCCAGCCTCCTGCGGCGGGGCCCCATCAGGACTCTCGAAGTAAAAGCCTACAACCATGAATGGCGACTTATTATGGCTCGCATCAACCTGGCCAATTGCTACCCAATTGATCCCGTATGTACCCCCAGCTGTGCTCCTTACAACATTTCGCAGGCTCGATATATCCTGTTCCCGCTGCATTGTAACGGGTACACCGGTTGATCTAGCTCCATCGATAGCCAGCTGGCCACCGGCAGCAGCACTAGATACAAGCCTTATCTTTCCATTGGCATCTTCAATAACGAAACGGGCACCTGTCATTCCAAGGTTCTGTATCATTCGAATTTTTTCCCCAGAAGACGTGTATCCGGGATTCACTGAGCGTGCGATTTTCCGAGGTACCAGAGGAATCGTTCGTATCCGACCCCCTGCATACCTATGCTGCAACTGCAAGGCGTTCGGGTTCATAGTTTGACCTGGCATATGGGAAGCTTGGCCGTGTAGGGATTGATTATGTGAGGCTTGTGGCGGCCGGGGACTTTTAACCGATGTAACCACATTGAAAGTTGCCCAATCCTTGGGATAATCAAATTGTGCACAGAAAGATTTGAGGATTTCGGCCTGTGATGTTGCCATTGACGGATCAGTGATCACCATTTTCCATGCTCCCATCATTCTTTGGTAGCGAATGATGCCAAGGTCTTTGTCTTTCGAGTTTTTTAGATTCTCACTTTCAATCTCTCTGTTGATGCCGTTAATGACCATGGCCGGCATTGCTACCTCCTGGGCGCAGCCAGCCGCCAATGGAACAGAGTGGGGATGTCTTTGCACAGCGAAGAACAATGCTTTTAGATAGGATGTTGCTTTCTGATGTGCATCCCTGTGGTATTGTGACAGCTCTCCCTGGATATATTCACGTGCTGATGATCCACCTTGAAAAAAGTTTTGACTCCTATCAACCTGACTGGGATATAGGCGAGAGGCCTCTGATTCGGCCCACTGAATCTCTATAACCCAATAAATATGCTGTTTCTTGAGATCAAGGTATTGATTTCTTACTTTGAAAAGCTTTCTGCGCCTCATCTTTCTCTTGTATATTCGGGAATCGATCTGGATGAATGGCGGCCTTCAAACGCCTGTAACTGATATCTGTGTTTTCGGGAATTTGTTTTTCCCATGCGCTTTGAATTGCTCGCACTTCTTCTGGGGCCGCTATAATTTCCTTTATGATCTGCTGGCGCTGTGCAGGGGTAAGATCACTTGTTTCACCCACGTCTTCCGTTCCTGTCTCATTCCTACCGGCTTCTGGGTGAAACTCCTCCCCCGTTTCAACCGGTATTGATGGTTGCCCTTGGGGGCGAGAGGCCGGTGCTATGTGAGAACTTAGGTTGAGTATCCCATTACCGCTCTGCTGCATATCTGGATTTTGAGGCATAGCTTTGAGACAATATTTCTTTCATGGAGTAAGTGCCACTTGCTCTTTATATAGCCGCTTTTTTTTACTTAGGACCACAGTTTGATAGCAAACCACGATTCCGACATGAACCACGATTTCCCCTGAAAATCAACTTCACTCCACTTTATACTCATCATAAACCACGCATTTGACCGTGAGATTAGAGCCAGATTTCGGATTCGGATTCCTAGGAAGATGCTCACTTAACCAGAATGTAAACCTGTGAGTTCTGAATTTTCATTCAGATTCTTTTTTCATAAGGAACTGTAGACCTACTATTTCATGAGATTGAATATATCTTACTTACATCATATCCAAAGACATAGTTGAGCTGAAGCGATCTATGGATCCCTTCTAATTATATATCATTCGAATTCCCTGGGCTCCAAGGCAATTGTGTAATCAATTTATACTTTTCATACAAAGAAATTCTGCTGTTCGATCTATAGACTAATAGATTGTGTGTTTCGTCCCTCTTCTTTTCGATCTTGCCAATAACGACGTGGATAAAGCTCGTATCTAGAAATGACAGATTAGAGACAATAAAATGAACAGACGAATCGATTGATAGATCAGGGAAAATGTTATATTTGCAATGGTAATAAGAAGATAAATTTCGGCAGCATAGAGGATAGAAAGTAGGAAAAGCCAAATTGCTTAGTTCTACTAAAACTGTGATATATAGGACTTCATTGCTAGAAGAACAGTTCAATACATAGATGAAACTCCAATCACATTGACGTCTTGCTGAGAAAATTCGAACAGTGTTTCCAATAAATCCACGCATTCCTCCAGAATTGATAGGAATCAGAGTCTATCTTCATTTGGAAATAGGCTGTTTCTGAGAGAAACTTCGCCCAGTACCTGTTGTAGCTTGGGATCACCTCAAGTAGCACCCCCATATACTTGTAGACTGTGAGATTGAGAAGGATCTGTATCGAAGCAGCCCCACGTTTTCCAGTACACAAGTACCAACGAAAATCTCTCCACAAACGGTTGGGTAGATGGTAAGCGCCCATCAGATATGTCCGACGCTTTGGGGTCGGCTTATCTCGCAGAAGAAGAACAAGATAAATAGCCATGATCTCATCTAATGACTCAAAAAGATATTTGGTCTCATCGCCGCCCCACGTAAGATCGCCGAAAGCGCTACCAACTGCCACAAGTTTCGAGCCAAGCGTGTCAAACAGCTCGTTCGTATCCTTGCTTGCAAGATATTTCAGGCAAGAATGCCGCTCTTGTGGGTCACCAAGACCGCCCAGAATAGTTCTTCCTGCCAGGCTCCGCCGAGCTGCATGGAAATATGCCCGAGGGATAAGGTAGTCGGCTGGATTGATTTCTTGGTCGGACAGTATCAAGATAAACCCCTTGAGTGCGGAAGGAATATCAACAAAATCAGGCTTTTCTGCCTGAAAGCTCTCCCACGAAGCGGGCCCAATGGCAAGATAAACAAGTATATCTGCAACAGCCTCAAGGTCCTTCCTTGCTGCATTTTCGGATGTATCGATATTTTGAAAGCCATTGAGCACGACCTGGGGTGTTTGCCATCTAGAGCCACCCAAAGAAAATGAGTCTGGTGTCAATTTTCCGTGAAAGAGATTGTGCGAATGCATCCATTCCAACCGAAAGATCAGTTGGCTTGCAATCTCCAACACTAGAGACATATCAAAGAATCTGTTGGACTTCTCGAAGGCATCCTCTAACGACATCCCAACAGTATTCGTTATGATTGTCTTTTGGTTATGAGTTTCTCCAAACCAGTAGAGGGTCTGAAAGCCGATTCCGCCAGATAGTGCTCGCAGGATTGTAGCTTCCTGTTCAAGATTTGGGGTAGCGTTTTCGGTTCGAATCAGAACCTTTTCGCGTGTTTCTATATGCTGGCCTTTTGAAATATCAACGGTATGCCTCTTGGTAGGGGTAGAGAAACTTACCAATGGCTACTGCTTTCGGTTGAAGCCAGTGAGTTATTTGAAATGGCCCAATGTCTTCTTCCATTCTGCTGCAGACTTCAGGATTTTTGGTATAGGATATAGGAATAGGAAAATCTCATATCAGTCTCGCTGAAATTTTTAAGGTCCGTATCAGGACGGTTATATGTATGTCGAACACCACGACTTTTTTCAAGTATCTCATATCTTGAACTAATGATGACCCCATTGAGAGTTACGACTCATGATCGTCACGCCGCGAAGAGCAACCCATCACATGTATCTTGTGGGTCCCCGAGCGAATAGAGGGATTCGTCACATCGAAAAATGCCTGTTCGATACGCCCACGAGTAGATACCACTCTTAAGCCAACAGCGCCAAATCTCATATCACAATGATCAAACCTACGAAGTTATTATTATCGTAGAACGCTTCAATTAGTCACCATCCTGCCTCAGATAAAGATATAAAGCAGACCATGATCAAAGATCGACTGTTCAACATTCTCAACTCCAATCATGCCTATCAAATCAAAGATGTCGACCGTTTGGAGAGAAAACAGGCGGAAGCGTGGTGCACAGCAAGATCCACACAAGCGAAAGAAGGCCGACCTAATGCGTTGGTATCGGGCCAAGAAGTCCTCATTCAAGAAGGCAAATGATATTTATATTGATGGTCTCGACACTGGCTGTGATCGTCGTGTTTATGTCTTGGTCATGACCACCAAGCTGTCACAAGTCCACTATGCTACATATGACTCGCACCCAGAGAATGATTGGATTCCTGATGTAGAAACTGTGGTAAGGCCTTTATTGTCTATTTTCGATAGCAGAACTAACCATTTTAAACAGACGAGTCACTGGCCTAAGCCGGAGGTTTGGACGCCATCAAATTTTAGTGACGACAAGCCAGAAAAGAACGCAGTCAAGCCTAATTCTATCCATCGCCCTCGCCCCCGTCGGAAGATGAAGGTTTCAAAAGCACCGATCCTGAATTTATGAGTGCCCATTCAATCCATGAATCTTATGATACTTAGGTATCTAGAAGTTCGTCGGGTTTGGTTATCGAGGAGGATGCTAGATGGAAGCCACACAATGGACCATAACGAAGGGTGAAAATTGACACTGCCTCCATTCCTGTGCACTGAATACTATCAGCCATTGAATTTGGAATTGATATCGTCTTTTGCCTACCTCAAAGATAATTTGCCGATCTAGTGGCGTAGGTGTAAGTAAAGAGGGGGCATCGCAATTCAGAGATAGTTGCATAATCCATGTATCCACATCGTCATAGCTTAGCCTGTTGGAGGCGAATCCGAGTTGATTTTTTTTGCGAATCTCTGCAATTTTGTTCCGGACCGCTGTCATAGATCGATCGAAATTGCGATAGTGAAGGAGTTGGGAGATTTTTATATGAGTGAGCCCTATTGACGCAAACCAAATCACAAGAGCTTTTTCTTCTTCTGTCCAAGAATAGCCCGCCATCTTCCAGGGGCTATAAAAACAGTTGCTATTGAATGATTTGCTATTAGAAAAGCAGAAGCTTGATTAACAGCCCAAAGAATAGATATTGGAAGAAGGATGAATTATGTTTACCAGATGCAGATACCCTCTTTCATATAAGCAGAGTCTTCAACGTAATTCATAAGCTTTACTTATTCAAAATGTTCAGAGGGGCCCACTAAGCAATCCAAGTACGAGTAAGTCGAAAGCATCTCATCACATGACGATCGGACAATGTACCCCGACTCCTATCTTTCTTAAAAAGGCTAGTAGGAAACTCATCACAGTGGGGCAAACCTTGGAATCTTTCCGAGTACGTCAACCCTTGTAGGTATTTCTGATACCTTACTGTTTTCGTCTCTAGTGTATTTACATTCATATTTACCCCTCCCGAAAACAGAGCAGTTAGCCGAAAATGAGGCTTGCATATGTTTGTATATTGGTAGATCGTGTTCATAGATACGAAGCGCCTGAGGTGCATCCGGGTTGACTCCGTGCTGTCGGGATCGATCGGCGATCAGATTTGATTGGTGATGTTTAAAACTCGTTATGACGCTACAAAGAGGCTCTTGGTTCTTTTCCTTTTATGTCCCTAGCGTATAAATCCTATGTGAGCGTATCGATATTTAATCAAACATACTCACCCATTGCATATGAGCAATTCACTCTTATCGCGAATCAATTATGGGGTCTATGAGGTGGTCTGCTTCGGAGACCTTCTTGTTAATCTCGCTACGAACCAGGTTTCCATATGACACATGGCAAACTTTGACCAGTCTTTACAACTCGCATCTTCCTTTGGATCGACAGAGATCCTCCGATGGACTCCAACAGAAGTGGAAGAAAACAAATCAAACAATGTATACCCAGTACATTTGCTAGGTGGTTAGCTGTCCCAGATACCTGATCCAACCCAAGACTATTTACTTACTTTGATCCCCTTTCATTTAAGGTTACAGGAATATTTTCATCCCTTCCTTTTCTCAAGGTAATTTATTATCTTTGTTCTCATCTATGGTAGATGATTGACGACTTTTACAGAGTTCAATAGCATAGGGGATGGATGACTTGGAAAACTATTTCTCTCTGGCAAATGATATTGACTTCATAAATCCTGATCCATTATTAGAGTACTGTGAAAATTGATTTATATAATTTGTAGCCCCTCTACTGAATTCATCATATTCTTCTCAGATGTGTTTGTTACAACAAAAACTTTAGAAATATGCAACACATTCCTCCTTTGAGACACTTACATCTACTTAAGTATTCATAATTTATGAAGAAAATTCGTGGTGTGAAGGCTAAAGTCGTGGTAAAAGAAAGTATAAATTTACCAGATTGCCCTCAATTCCCACTAAAAGCTTTTATTTTGATCGCTTGAATCATCCAGAATGGCGAGATGCGACCATGCTGCGTGGATCGAGCTCTGGCAAGGTGAAGCGGGGCCCCTACTCAACCACGGCTGGAGACTTCCACAAATTGTGAAAGAATTACCAAACGCTTTCGAGCAATCTCCACAAATCACTCTTTTTTTAGGCCGACATCTGAAAGACAGAGCATTACGCACCCTGTGTCAAAACAATTACAAAGGAAGAAAGGGGAAGAATAACGTCAACATCAGAATTGATAACCGTACAATCAATGCCTTGCATCCACAGCTGTTTGCAGATTCGGATCCGACAAACCTGAAATTGCAACCCATGCAGCCAGCAATAGCAGGATCTATCAGATGCCATCAAGACCACACTATATCAATGGACAGACTGCCTCTGGATTTCGAAGTGTATGATATTGTTCTCACTCGCTTACTGTTCATGTTCGTCGATGTGATTTGTATTTTTGTGGACGATGTTGGAGGCCCAGATGCCGTGCACAGTATGTTGTCAAACTGGATTCGTATTGGGCTGGCATCGACTCTCCCACGATCCATCCGACCAAAGGTCATCATTGTCACTGGCAGCAATATAACCCAAAGTGTGACCTCCGATCTACTTGACGAGACAGACTTCTTTTTCGAGCTTCAAACTCTACATCCAGACTTGTTCGACGTATTCTCTGATATCAGTTTCTCTCAGCTGCCTTCAGACAAGTTATCCTCTAAAGCTCAATTCTTAACACTCCACGCCGATATATCCAAACAGCTTCACAAGGCACGATTCAATCGTATCAAACATAACTTGATGTTCTCGGCGCCTCATCTAAGCGACCTGTTCAAAATAGCGACTCGGCATATAGGGGAACCATCTCCTCCTCGATTTGACTTCATCGTCGCTGCAAGACAACAAAACCCCCTTGATGGAGCATTTAGTTCTCATCTTATGGAGTTCCTCAAAACAAGTGGAAAGGCCACCCTACCTTATGATGGCATCGCATCTCATATTGCTTCTGCTATTATGATAGATGCGTATCCTTTTGGGGCTCATTGTTTGTCTCTTCATATCGATTTCGTTTCCCCCTGTCATAAACTGACTCTCAGATAGTGTTTTCTCCTCGAACAATTTTTGAAAGAACCTACTACGAAAGGTGTTATTTGGCTCATCGGAAGATATATAGCTCAGACGAACTCGCAAGAACCCAATGTGAACGAATTGGTGACCGGTTTCAAATTTTGTTTGACCGCATGACATTCAAATGCATATCCTCTGCAAATATCCACGCAGACAACTTGAATCGCCAGAATAAATATTGGGGCTGGCTGAGGTCAAACAAAACTTGTCTCATATGCATCAGGCGGAGTCCAGAGCATGTGCTCCCATGCGGTCACTCAATGTGTGATACGTGTGTAAAAGTCTTTGGGGAAAGTGTGATGTCAGGAGAGGAAGAGTATATTATCCCAAGATGCTTACTCTGCGGTCAAGAGACGCCCCTTGAGGTTCGCATCAAGCCTCCTACATGTGCAAGTCGAGTTTTGAGTATCGATGGGGGTGGACCACGCGGTGTTATTCCCCTCGAAAACCTCGAAATCTTGCAAGGGTTTCTTGGGCCGATTCCACTTTGCAATATGATTGACCTAACAGTTGGCTGTAGCTCTGGAGGACTGATAGCGTTGTCTCAATTCATGCTTCGCTTGGACATTCAATCATGCAAGCTACTCTTTCGAGATCTGGCCAAAAAGGTCTTTTCGCCGGCAAGAAAGAAGCACCTACTCAGATCATGGCTATCTGACAGCTTATATGATGTCAATTCTCTCGAGGATGCCTTGCAGGAACATTATAGCGCGACGAGGCGAATGTTTGACACACCTCAGGCCTGTCTATCAGCCGGGAAGGTTGCCGTATCTGCAAGTGAGATCAGTGCAGGTGCACCATTTATCTTCACAAATTATAACGGTGCAGCTCCCCACAGAGCCCAATCTGGTATGTTATTCTCCCTATTATGATTGTGGCATATCTTTCTTCGAAAACTCCACTGACTCGTCCATAGCTTATGGCAGGCTTCGACCCGATAGCGAGAATGAACCGTTTGTCTGGCAAGTGTAGGTCGATTCTCAACATCCTGAAATCATATGTCTTCCTAACCAATACACAGAGCCCGTGCTACTGCAGCTGCACCATGGTATGAGCTATATTTTGATCTGTACTGAACTTATTAACAGCCGATCGCAGTCTATTTCCAACAGTTGATATCCCAGGTCTCGGAACCTTCCAAGACGGCGGCATGAGAAGACATAATAACCCGATCAATCTAGCGCTCTCCGAAGCAAAGCATCTGTGGCCAAATTGTCCTAATCCGGATGTTTTCATTTCTCTCGGAACAGGCTCTGAGAATCACAGCCAGTCTCCGACAATTTCCAAATTCCGCAATGTGTTAGTTGACGGGTGGCTTCCACGCATCTATCGATCGGTGACTTCTTCTTTTGAGGGTCAAAACAATTGGAAAGAGTTCTTAGGAGTGGTAGATGAAAAGTCACGGGAAAGTTGTTTCCGCTTTGATTTATCCATTCCGGGGGGACTACCCAGGCTCGACGACACTGAATGCATGGACAAACTGTCTAATCTCGTCCGCACAAATATATCAACCGAACGGACACAAAGAGATGCTGCTCTTTCATTACTAACCACTTCGTTTTTCTTCCATCTGGATGCTAAGCCAGAATACTTCTCGGGGATGTTGAAATGTACGGGATCAATCCGTTGCCGTGCTCCAGCAAAACAAGTTATTGAATGCCTCAACGGAATTGATCCTACTCCTAAACAATTCTATAAAGACTCAATCAACTTAGGTCTTGAACTAAGTGCTGATGACATTTGTCAACATTGCAATCGGTATTCTAAACCAATACGATTCATTGTCCGAGATGAGAAAGACATGATCACTATATCATTGCGATTCCGTGGAGAACGATCAAATTTGAGTGCTTTTCCCAATAGCATGCAATGGTTTACCGAACAGCAAGGACTCGAATGGAGCTTCGGGTCTCCCGGGCGTCATGGAAGCCATTCTCAGTCGGGTTGCCCTATTTGCGAAGGGAAAGAAGCTGGGAGGCCACGGAAAAGGAAGCATGCAGATATCTAGGGTGCTTTTTGGTTCTTGCCGAGGGCGGCCAGGCATCGTGAAAGCGTTGCGTTGTATTCCTTCAATGTTTGGCGAAGATATTGATTTTGCTTTCTTAATTCATCAATGGTTTTTTGGTCTTCCAAATGCACTTTTTGCAGATATTGCGAATCACTGATGGACTTATTTTGGTCCATAGCTTTGAGATATTAGATAATCTATTAAAAGGACCTCAGGAATCACCATCATACCTTATCTTCAATGTTTAGATCTCGGTCTGCAGTTTGCCGTTGAAAGTTACTTTCAGGTAGTTACGGAGTACGGAGTAGTGTGATCTTTAAAAAGCACTCGTGAAACAGTTGTCAATCGCAAGTGAGGAGATGTGATCAATTCATGCATGTGATTGAATTGCCGTGCAGCGATAATCCATGTCAGCTGCAGGTTGGACCCATGAACGAGCCGCGTTCTTGTGGACTCTTGATCGAATCGCCCTCTACTCCGCATTTTGTACACCACGATAATTTCACTATGAGATAGGGAACTGTGGTTCGGGAAGACTTATAAAGAAAAATAAATTCCTGGTTTGAAACCGCTACATTCAATTACTGACATTATACAACGATATCCATTCACTATGGACAACTTCAGCGATGAACAATTCCAACATCTTTTGGAAAGCCTAACTCATCAAGGCGGTAACGAGCAATTCGAAACTTTCTTGGGTAATCTCGAGGAAATGCCTGATCTCGCATTGTTCAACTCTTTCTGCGACCCAACCTTGGTGCCAGCGATAGATGCACCAGAGACTTTTCTTTCGTTCCCGCCCCTCCCCGCAATCGAGGAAGAAGAATACTCCCCCCCCCGAAACGCTATCCCCCCATGTTCTATCGGATCAATGCTCTACGGCGCATTCCATTCCGACGTCGGTACCTGACATCAATGAGGCTTTAGAGACAGCACATTGGGCAAAATTTTTGGTTGACTCACAGCGGTCGCAGCAAGAGGCCATGAAAATTGAGTGAGTCACCCTGCATTGATCTTTGGCTCTCTGCCTATTGAATGACTTCTGACAAATTCAGATTGGATGCAATGCGAGCGTGAGTGAAACCATGGAATGATCAATGCACTCATTGAAGTAGAAGGCTGATTTTTTTCAAAGTACTGTTGAGAAAATCAGGACCTACCAGTTAGAAATTCTCAATCCTTGGGTAGAGGATGTTCACAATGCACTTCGGGGGCTAGGGTGTCTGGGGGAGGAGCCCCCAGCCTCTGCTACCGATGGTGAATTCGATATCAACATCATTGATCGACCTTGAGCACACCATCGAAAGAGATGCACATTATAGTGCAGTTCTTCCGGGGTTTTCGATTTTCTATTTTTTCTTTTCTTGATTTTTCCTTGGCTTTTCTCTATTTTATCTCAATTTTGACTCGTTTTTATTGCACTCGATGCAAGTCTTTGTTCTTGTGGGATATTAACCTTGAAAGGGTGTTGCGAAGAGGCAGAGCGGCCACCTGGCCAGGTGCAAATGCTTGGTCACAACGAGTGGGGGGATCCCGACAGTTACATACAGTGTCCGGGCGGGGCTTACGGGTCCGCACAACTAGATATTTGTGATAAGTACTTCGTACTCTGTATAATCCATATTTAGATCCTGGATCCACTTAGATAATCAAAAATTTTCGGGAATATTCTGTTGTGTACTCCGTACGGAAGAAGCCAGATTACATAGTTATGCTGCAAAGGCCCAAAATTCCTGCTGCACGTATCCGGACCTGACAAAATTGACCATGGTGACTAATCATAGATGCCGGTTCCAAGGTTGCCCCCTTTCCCCTTCGCCGGCTGTGAACTAAGCCCGATCAAGGAATTAACTGAGTCGCTCACCGGAAACCTTTTCCAATAACTACAGGGTTGTTGATCCTGGAGGATAGATCCCGCGTCTAGCACAGGTCTTAGACGCCAACCAATTCTGTTGGTTCATAATTTAGTCCTTCCCAGCGCGCTATCTGATACGATCCTACTGGCTCTCGATATCCCGTGTGGCAAGGGGGCTTGTTGCGCAGGTCCTGCGCAACAATGCAGGATTTTTCGATATTCGGTTCCCAAAATCGATAAAGAGCTGTGGTCTGGCTCCAGCTCAATATTTTCGGAGATGGACGACCCGTTTCGGCTATTTTGATGAATATGACGGGCATCATGTGGACTGAGGAAGAGACTGCAGTTCTTCTTATTTTTGCAATGTGGGGCTACAAACACGAGGCTATTGCGGAGATATTGACCAATCGACGCGCAGAGATCCGCGGGATCTTTCGCACAGATATGCAGCCGTCATATACACGAACAGTTTCAGCCGTGCGCAACAAATTGGCAGAGGTTCGAAGTCAAAACTCTCAACTCTGGTCGAAGGACGAGGGATGGGCTCGAGATGCTGTCCTGGAGCATCTTTATGGATCTTTGGTCGACCACGCTCATGTGAAGCGACTGTTAAATTTGACTCCTAGCGATGTGAAGATAATAACTCGGGTATGGACTCCCACCTTTTTGAAAGAACCGTACAAACTTATCATTGCAGACATATACAAGACAGTGAATCCTCCTCGCAGTTTTCTGGTATTCAAAATAGATGGTGCAATTCTCAAGTTTGAATACACAGATAAAGATGCCTCAATCCCTGGAAGAGATATGCTGGGGTTTGCGCGGAACCAGTGTATTGACATACAGCAGCCTTGGAATGCATTCAAAAAAACTGCGCCGTATTCCTAAATATTGGGCCAGAAGACACCAAATTGAGCGGCATGACCTCGTCTCATTTTGATCTTATGGAATTCTTTGTTTAAGATTTATCGTGCCATTTCTAACCTAAATTTGGTCTGCTGAAGCTGCCGAATCAAACAAACATCTCTACCGGGACGAAGCAAAACCCCTCTTGGGTCTATGTTGTACCGTGTTGCTATATATTCCCATTCTCTTCGCCCGATTAGTTTGCTCGCTTTGTCAAACTGTCGTTCCAAGATCTCAACCTCTGAAAATTTCATTTCAGCCTGATATTCCATTTGAGTCGCACCTAGTGGCCAACTTGCTCGCCCTGTTTTTCCATCCGCCAGCTTGATAATAAACTCAAGCGCTGGTGGTGACACCGTCCCTACAGAATAGATGATCCCTAAGAAACGAATGAATTCGATTCCTGTGAGGTCATTCTTGTCAAAAATAGTTATTCGATGCATCATGATCTTTTCAACTGTCAATACTCAATGTGAACGTTGTTGACGTATATCAACATACCTTCTTTGTCAACCTTCGTTATTTGAGATTGCAAGTCGAGTGCAGTGAGCGCCCTAGGGCTCGAACCCGGATATTCTGGTTTATTTGATCAAAAAAGAATCGTTATGTCAACAATCAAGAGCTCTTACTGTGCGTTGGCCAAACACTCCAGATATAGGTCGGGGCTAAACAATTGAATGCTTCGCCAGGGTCACTTTCAACTGGTTTGATAGTCTTCGCGATAGGCTCAACTACCTTTGGAGGCTGGTCGATATAATCACCGCCGTAGTCTTTGATGGACCAGACTTGCGAAGGATTACGACGTAGGCAGTTCAAAGAGGTAGCAGCGTGATTGCTTTGAAAAAACGAGAAAGAAATCTGAAGCCCGCAACAATTGAAAATACTCATTTTCAAGATGTACAAGGCGAGTTCAAATTAAAAGTGTAGTCTTCAATATATTCCGGGAATTGTAGCCCTCTTTAAAGGTATCTTGAAATTCGTCAAATAGCGTTATTAGGATATAAACTTGATTAGCAACTATAGAGAAAGCCACTCTGGAATACTAGCCAACAGTACTATTGTGCTTATTCAAAGTAAGGCGCATGTTCTGCCGGACTATTCATCAAATCAAAGCTTTCCTTTGAACAACTGAAGTTGGACGCGTGATATACCAGACTTTCCAGCCAATCATCTTCCTTGGTATTAGATCAAAGTCCTGCGCATATTCTGCCAAACTTTGCATCAAATGAAAAACCACCATTGAAAAGTACAAGTTGAAAACATAGGATATGAGACTTTCGGGCCAATCATATTTTTTGGTATTTTATCAAACTCAGACATGTATAACCATCTTCGAATCCAATACGTACCTAGGTAGTCAGCAAGTCTTTCACTTGCTGGCTAAAAAAGTAAACAGATACTCCATGTGAGAAAGCAAAATCCTATCAAAATGACCAAATTCTTGATGGTACCTACACATGGCGAAGAGTTCGAAGGTAGAGGAACGAAGAAGAAAGAGGGGCTACAGCGTAGATATATGTCCATTCTGCCAACTCTGCCCCCTCATAGATTAGACGGCCTTCTGCGTCAAAAACGCAGAGAAATCAGATCAGCTTCTGTTTTCTTTTTGGGATTAGTTCCTGCCTGAGGCCTTGATCAGACCGTCACACTCCGTACTCGTAGCTACGCCCAGGTGCCTAGGTGAGTCGAATAGAAACCACACCGCCTCGGACTAATCACACAAAAAAGAAAAGAGAATCACATGACCTTGGATACGAGAGGAATATAGAGGGCTCCCGCCTTCTCTCTTTTGTCTCCTGTCCAATGTCCAGACTGGTCTTTTGTTGGCTCAAGACAATCCGGCCTCAAATCATTCATAAATACGGAGTATTGTCTGCGTTATTCTCTTTTTCTTATGGGTTGGGAATAATTTCCATACGCTGTCTGAAAAGAGCTTACGCTGATAAAAGACCACGCATAGAAAATGCTCTGAGTTAAGAGAGATGAGGGTTGGATCTGCGGTCTAAGGTGAGAGCAACAAAGCAGAAAGATCCATCGTATGGCACTTGGTCACTAAGATTGGTGTGCCGCAGACACCAAACCATGTACCCATATCGGATATTCATATATCCACTCCGTCTTCCGCGGCCTGAAATCACAATTGGGCATTTGGCCAACTCTACCCCGCTGACCAAACTCGACACCAACAATTACTGTACTCCCGTCCTCCGGGTTATAGAAGATTACTCTAACTGGT